GGGGGGGTTATATATGGGGTTTCTGCCCACCTTTACATGGGCTGGTATTTGGGTGGATGTCAGTGGGTAAGGTAATATGGCTTTTTTGGGGGGAGCGGTAGAGGGAGGGGAGGGAAAGGGTAAGTGAGGGGAGGGAAAGGGTAAGTGAGGGTGAGGTGAGGGTGAGTATGGAGGGATGTCTCTATCTATCCTTCTATGATCCATCCAGTGGAAGTTTCTTTTTGTTGGTCTGGTGTACAACGCTACACGATATAGTTACTCCCTTACTCCCTTACTACTACAGTACATGGTGAACTTGGGGTGTTTTTGTTCTTTTTTGTTCTCTTTCTTTTTGGGGGGTTAGGAGGGGAAAGGTGGAAGGGGAAAGGGGAAAGGGGAAAGGGGAAAGGGGAAAGGTGGGGAGGGAGAGGGGATGCTTGGTATGGTATGGTATGGTATGGTGGTTTTAGGTTTTAGGTTTTTGGAAGAGGGGAGGGGTGGATTTTTTCCTTAGTGGGTGAGGGGTTTTGTAGTGTGGGGTTTGTGGTGTGTATATATATATATATATATATCGATGTGTAGTTTGGGGGAGTTATTGAGTGTTTAGCTTTTTTTTTGGTTTTGTTTTTGTTTTTTTGATTTCGTGAGGGGTATCTGTGATATGGTAGATTCGATCCATCCACCATATTTTTAACACGCAAGAGCTGGTGTTTAAAGCAGATTTCATGTCCTCGTCAACTTGGTCATTGATTCGGTGGCATGCCAGTCAAGTAGCAAGACTATTGCACCAAAGCCAAGTGCAGGGAATACGGTATCTTGCAAATACTCATCTTCCTCTCCTGGCCTTTATGGGAAACAGCGTAAAAAATGATTAGAATAGATTAACTAAGAGGGTCTTGATCTTAGTTATTCTAATCAACTGGACCTCCTAATCTTAATTAATCACTCGATTAATTATATAATCTAATTGAATTGATTAATACGGGCCGAAGCCTCGGACCGGCGAACCGAGGGCTCGGAGGGTGCTCGGAGTACTACGTAGGTGCTTAGCGAGAGCCCCTGTATCGCACATACTGTATCTTGTACTTGTCTTAACTAAGAACGTTCCTATAGCTTAGGAAAGTTCCTTAATGGTAAGGACATGCCCTTGTTTCTGAAAAAAATGATTTTAATTCGACTTTTATTAATTCTCTAATTAGTTGATTATAAATCTTACTATAAATAAAAAATATATTTTACTATAAAGATTGAATTCTTATATACTCCGAGGCTAACTAGTAGCCTTTCAAAAACTTCTCTAAGTGTATTAGTAGTATTTTAAAATATGTACTATTAATCTAATTAATTAGATTAAGGCCCTGTTTAGCACCGATTTATTTAGCTAATTTATATTACTTTTAAAAATAAACTCTCGAAAAGTACGTTTTCCTAAACACTTCTAGTTTATATTACTTTATTTTAATAAAAGATAAACTAGCTCCTACTAAAGTAAAATAATCGCCTTTTTAGAGATTATTTTATAGTTTATTTTACTTTTATACTCGGACTATATATAGCGCCTTTTTAGTATACCTTTAACCTTGTACCTATGTGATACCTATAACTATAGATACGACGTCGCTATTTAATAATAGATCCTGGTTATCTTAACTTTAATTCGGACGACGAGTTTAATAAAGAAAGAGCACGTACTACTATTATTTCCGCGGTATTTATAGTATAATATCTCGAGGATAATAAGAAATAACTACTGTATTCTAACCCTTTTGCTAAACAAGAGTACGTTAAAGAAGTACTTGGACGTCGCTATACTAATCGGGTCTACTAAGTTATACGAATATAGAGGGGGCCTTTATAAAACTCCTCGAATAGTGTTAATCTAATTATGGTCTTATAGACAGGTACTAGTGTCCTGGTATCCGCTTAGGAAAGGGGGGTAAATTATACGCGGTCGGACCTCGGAAGAAGTTAAATCCGATATAAATCGATTAAATAAATGGTGGTTTATTTTTTGTAAAAAACTCGAGTTTATTCAAATAAACTAGGTATATAAACTAGCTAATAAACCGGCTTGCCAAACAGGGTCTAGATAAACGCTCCTTAATCTATTTAATCACTGAAAGTTCCTAATCTAATTCAAATCTATTTAATTATAATTTAGTTGATTAGTAATTGAATAATAGAGCAATTTGTTCTTACGCTGATGGGAAAACATCTCGTCGAACTCGTCGAGGATGTTGTAGAAAGGCAGAGCTGTGCTTCAGCAATAGAGAGGTTCACTTCCTTCTTTTCTTGTCCAGCTGTGAGAATATAGGAAGTCCAAAAAGGTTTTCAGAAAACTTGCTGTGCTAGGTGTTGTTTCAGCAGTATTCCTCTGAATGTGCGATGTTGCTTTGATTGCTGAAAGGGAATACGTTTTTGCAAGAACAGTGGAGGAGCAAGAAACCTTTCCCCTCCACAGCTTCCGGTCATCTTCCCAACGGTGTCTGTTTAGGTATTCGCGCCTTTTTGGAGATTGTTGTCATTGCCTCTTGTTCATTTGTAGTCACTAATTTCGAAGAGACGAGCGGGGAAAGCGCGAGTAGAGCATATGCTGTTGATTCGCTACATCGATGGCTCCAGCTTCCATCTTTTCGTTGGTTTTGAATGACACTTTCGGCGATCTGGGAGAGCATAACTAGTATCTTGTCGGTTGTTTTAATAGTAAGAAAATCTGGTTTTCCTGTGTTTTGTAGCCCGAGGAGGTGGGTTTATGTCTGCGCTAAGAGCATATATGTATATTCTGTTGACCTGTTCTAGAGGATATGTATCATACAAACGCGTCAATGATTTTGCGGATGCAGCTTACCCGTTTATCTCTTATTGATCCCGAGGACCAGCAAGAGCAAAGAAAGTCCACGGCGCTCGAAATCTGTACTTCGTAGCTCGTTACATCTTCAAGCTGCAGTAGAGCGTTTAAAACGTTGCAATTTGCGCTAAGGCTGGGGGTTTGTTTAGACGGGTACGTTTGGAAGAGCGAGCCGTTGAAGAAGGAGGTTATCATCTGGCTTGGATCATTGTATTCTCGATTCAGTAGGGATAATGTGAGGATTGCTTTTGCTGTATCATCTGCATCTGGTATCGCCCCGAGAGCTATGAAGGGGTTAGTATATGTGTAAGATTGTACGGGTTCCTGTCATGGGGTGTATACTAAAGCCAACTGTACCCTTGGATGATGTGAGGGTCTTTTCCAGATATCCTCCAATCACCGTCGTATGATCCTCTCCGAGATTAGCAGCGGTAAAACCAGCTTCCAATAATGTTGATAGCATCTATTATGCTATGTTAGTTCGTATTTTATCCGGAAGGCAGTTGTGCTTACCCAGCTTGACTCAATTACCTCACTTGGAAATGCACTCGGAAATCCACCCGTCCCATTACCCTCACCATTCTTGTATACTGCTTGCAAGTAGTTCTCCGCTTCCTCATCCCAAACAGACGCGTGGATTAGATACGCAGCCGTCGACGCGGGTGAGGACGTGAAGTTTCCGTTCTTGAGCTGCGTTTTTAGTTCATCGAAGTCAAGCACGCCGATAAACGCCTCTAGAGGGTAAAGAAAGGTGTCTTTAGCCTTGTACGCCTTGTGAAAATCGAAACTTGATACTTTCTCGTCATGGAGCTTCATCAGAAATGGCAAGCCAGGAAACGGAAACTCGAATCCAAACTCGCGTAATAATTGGAGATGCATAGGAACGAGCATCTCGAAGCAAACATGATCGGTAGCTTCCACATCCCAGGTTCGCAGCTTTCTCTCAAGCCACGAGACGGTATCGGTGATTCGGAAATCAATGTCTTGAGGTAGTGTGTCGCCATTAATAACTGGGTTTTTATGTCGATGTTTGAGGAGGGCTAGTAAGGCGGACATGCTATTCAAGATGTCGTCTACTTCTACTCCTGTTATAAGGTCTCCCCAGCCACCATCTGCATTCTGACTTTGAAAGATGTACGAGAAAGATAAGGGGAATAGCCATTGTTGGTGTCCTGAGATGGGTTTGGATATCATGGATGTCCAGGCTGTGTCGTATGTACTGACTGAGGTTGAACCTTGAGGTGGTGCGTTGGATAGTTTGGAGGCGAGACCTGCTACAAGAAGTTGGGCTTCTTCGGAGAAATCTTGTGAAGCAGGAAGATCCATGACTGGAAGTTGGAAGTCTTGCGTTGAAGTGAGATGTTTTGTAACGTAAAACAAAATCTTTTAGTAATGCGGTGTTAGGATGCTGAGGTGTGGAGGAATCCGTAAATGATGAATTGTAAAAAGGATCTCCCTAAACAAATTAACCCATTCAACAGGCCAGGAATCTCAAACGTTTGCAATTCTGAAGATGACCTGTATAAAGAAGTCGAAAGGGAGTTGGCCAAGTTGTATCAGTTATGGACGCCGTAGTCCTACATCAACTGGATAGGGAATCTTCCCAACATTCGAGTTGTAAAGCTCCGTCTGTTGGTTAGCTGCGCCCTAAACCAGGTACTCTTCTATGTTTACCAGGGGGTAGCACACGCCTTCGATAAGGAAAATAAGGCTTAAAGGATGAAATAATATTTGTGTCCTTATTGAAAAACTCTTATCTTGAAACTTTTTGTTTGAAAGTTTTACCGGTATATGATTCTATAGAAGTTTTAAACATGTTGTCATGGTGCTTTGTATTGCTAATCATTACAGCCAGAGGTTTTAAGATAGTTTTTCAAGAATATCGGAAGCAATTAGCTTGTACGGCACAATTCAGATAACGGCGCAATAGAGTAACGTTGGTATTTGAGGGAGTACTGTACATGTGACTAAATGGTTGACTAATGCATATCGCTGCAGAATCACTTGCGGCGAGGTCCAACAACATGCATGTATCACGAATAAAATCTTCGACTGACGACTTGTCCAGCGCTTCGAGTCATTGATAATTGAGGCACATCATAATTGTTTCTGCAGCTTGTTGGTGATTGTGGCCTGGCAAATATGTGCTTGGCGTGGGGTACATGAAGTATCACCAACACACGTTCTCCGTTGTACTGTGTGTAGCAATGTGTGATTACTACCTTGGAGGTGGGCGTCTGCATCCAGCTGAAGATCTTCCAAACTGAAAAACAACTAGTTAACAAAACAGGCCGTTTAAAGTGGACGGGCCACTAGTACTGTGGAACGTTCAGATTCCGGATACAAAGATCGCTCTTTTTGTCGTTCCTCAGTCCCAATTTTCTTCGACCACATTTACCTACGCTCTCAGAGGACAACGTCTATTCGTTCTCAGAGAACATCTGTTCCCGCGCAATGCTGTCTACATATTCCCCGTTTATTTCCTGCTTGATTTTGATATTTTTGGGATGAGAGGCACCGTGAGCGTCTCGCTTAGAATTTCGTATTGAAAAATGGTCGTTATCAGTACATTCAGGTCCTTGGGGGGAAAGGAGGACGGTCACGTGATATTATCTAAGACAGTCGGTAGGTAATCTTCTTGCCTAAGCGGAATTCGTCTTGCTCTTAAATATTGTCTTCCAACGCTAACAGCGCAATCGAAGAAACATGTCATCGATGGGAGGGATCTGTCGAAAGAAAGGACCAGGTGAAAACCATCACTAAAACACAATGCCTTAATTTGATCACAAGAACCCGACGTTGGATCATCGACATTCTTCAAATTCAAATTCGGTATTCACATAAATATATGAGATGCTGCTCAAGACTGTCGTTCCCTTGATGATATGAATTACTCAAATGTGTCCTCCTCCTTTACTGACCCCACTTAAATGCCAAAATACATAACTGACTTGAACCATTCGTATACCGCCGTCTTCTCTCCCATAAACGTTTTTGCGTTCCCGGCCTAAAACTTTTCATTCGATATCCACAGTGGTGGTTAAGAAAATGGTGTTAAGCCGATTCTCATCTCGAGCCTTTTTGTTCTTCTCGGCAGGACTCGCAACTACCCCTTTGTATTCCCCACCAAGTGGGTTATATGGTCCTCTCTCTTGTTGCTCAATATTTGAACCACTTGGTTGTTTCCCTGCTGAGCGCGTACTCCAGGAATAAAGAATGTTACGTATTGACAAGGGAATTATCGAACGCGTAAGGATCGGTTTGAGCAATGGCAGATTTCCACATAGAACAGCTGAGGAGATAGAGATGGTTGACCAAATCGGACCACGGATATAAAGATCTGGTACCGTTTTATTAGTCACTCTAAACACAGTTTTTAATTGGAAGAGCATACCATTTGGCTCGTTAGGGTGGTATAGATATATGATTCGAAGAATTGATGTAATGCACACATTTTTTCAAGTACCATGTCAGTGAAGTGAGCTCCAAAAGATGAAGAGGACTATGACTTACAAACCACCGAGCATGAAAATTGAGCTTATCAATATCTTTTGTTGTCTTCCAAGCTTCAAATTTCGGATCATTCCAACAGGCAAACATATGAGCGTTATGTCTAAAGCCGCATTTGTGACTTCGTACCCAAGAATAAAACTGGGCAGACTGATACAAGAACCAGGAGTGGCTTGGTCCCACGCTTTATAGACTGGGATGCATTGTAAGATGGTGACCAATACAGAAGCAACAAACAATACGTAACAAAGTATTCCTACAGCGATAGCTTTTCGACGAAACGGAGGTATTGTGAATATTCTCGAATAAAAAAGAAGAAGGGATAGTTAAACGGCGATATTCGCAAGCTCAAAGATAATTCCAGTAAAACAGGAAAACTGTCATGGCAATTTAGCAATAGATTCGCTACCCACCCAGGGAAAAGATGATGATACCTTGGATATCTCTAAAATGACCTCAGGAGTGATTGCGGAAGTTGTCAGTTGTGCTGAGCCTAGATACAACACTGTTTTACATCAGCAGACAATGTGAAATGAGAATCTGATCAGGCGTACACACAATGAATTACTATGCCAATATAAGCAATGGCGGTTGCCCACGCAAATAACATACATCCGTCATCCCAACCCCTTCCGTGCCTTGGCCAAGAATCTCAACAAAACGGCAAGCGTGACTATAATAAGACAAACAATATGAAGTGCAATAGCACCCTGTGTAGATTCATTCAACTCAACCATCATTTGGAAAGTAGAATCGAATCAGAAAGCACGATGGACAACCCAGAGAGGTATATGTTTTCCAGTTCACTCGCGTATTTTATGTGGGTGCTCCATGATTTCTGGACACCAACAATGCAACAACAAATTATCCTAGTTAAATAATCTGGGCAATAAAAGAAAGACTCCATGTGGAAACCATAAACTAATTAGATATTAGTATAGCTACCAATATATTGATAATATAGCTGTATAATTAGGGTTGAAAATTTATAATAATAGAAAAGATATATGTAGTATTCCTATACCTAAATACTTCGAGAAATGAAAAATAAAGCCTCTAGTATATATTTATGAAGTTTTTTATAGAGAGACTAACTCTACTTGCTAGAAGCTAAACTAAAACAGGTATCATAAAGCAGACTACTCATACAATATTCTAAATGTCCCTTGAGTGGTGTAGTATCCAAAAATTAAGGAAGAGATTATATAGAACAATAACGATTTATGTTGCATGCTGCAGGACCGACGCACCAACACGTGATTTCCACAAACATCCTCCAGCTTATCAGCCAACAATCCTTCATGTTGGGTTCAAGAAACTTGGTTCTTTAGCCACACCTTCCGCTTCGGGTTAGTAATTGTGATGGTTAACATGCCGGTCGTTCCCAGCTTGCATACGCGCCCGTCCTGTCTATGCACACGCCTATCACAAATGTTTGAAATGATCTAGACCCCAGAACTGACCCTATAACTTCGCAAAGTGTGGGCTCATAGATTCCCGACAAAAAGATTATCTCTTCAATCATTGTCATCTAAGTGGCATCCAATCCTCCCAGCTCAGTGACCAAAATGGCGAATATTCAACCTTTTGTTTTCGAGATCTCCCAATCGGACAAGGAAAAGCTGTTGCAAAAGCTCGACGACTCGGTTCTTCCAGACGAGTTAGATGAGGTGGGTTGGGAGTATGGGACACCTTTGGCGGATGTGAAACGTTTAGCTGCATACTGGCGAAAGGATTTTGGCTGGAAAAGTATGGAAAACAAGATCAACAGTTTACCGAACTACACTTCGACGATTGAGGTTGAGGGGTTCGACCCCCTGGATTTTCATTTTCTACACACGAGGGGTGGAAATGACGATGCGATACCGCTGCTGTTTTTACATGGGTGTCTGTTGTTCCAATTCGTATATACTTAGTTTTGATACTGACGGGATTCAGGGCCTGGGAGCTTCTTGGTGGTAGAAAGACTTCTGCCATTCCTTATAAATGACGACAAAATGAAGGGTGTGACATTCCACGTTGTTGCACCCTCGCTTCCAAACCATATATTCTCTTCCGGGGTATCGAAGAGAGGCTTCGGATTAGGTCAATACGCGGGGACTTGCCATAAACTCATGATAAATCTGGGGTATGAGCAGTATGCTAGTATCGGAGGCGACTGGGTGAGGCCGTTGTCAAGCAGGTAAACAAGACTCACTAAGATAATAAATTTAGGGATCATCAATCACCCGAGTTATGTCGCAGCTGTATCCCCAATCTCTGAAAGCATGTTATCTCAATCTTGTTCCTTCTACTCCGCCCTCTCCAACTAGACCATGGGCGTTTATCCCCTTCATCGTGCGCCACATCCTCAACATGTACACACCAGCTGAGCAAGCGGGATTGGCTCGATCACAGGAATTTCAAAAGACGGGTATGGGTTACTTCCAAGAAAAAAATACAAAACCACAAACGATCGGATACGCGCTTTCTGATAGCCCTGTCGGTCTACTGGCCTGGATGTATGAGAAGATGCGCGATTGGACCGATGAATATCCTTGGACCGACGAGGAAGTTTGCACCTGGGTGAGTCTGTACTGGTTCAGCAAGGCCGGTCCCACTGCTAGTCTTAGAGTGTACTATGAATCGACAAGAGGAAAGTATCCCGCCCAAGCCGGGGGTTAAGTACCGCATGTGAAGCTTGTAAATATATAAAAATAATAAAGTGCATTGAAAACTCGCTAACGTCAACAAAGGGGTTGGCTTACTTCCCAAAGGAGATATTCCGCTTGCCCAAAGCTTGGGGCTCTTCTCTTGGAAAAGTGGTTTTTGAACATGAGCACGATAAGGGCGGTCATTGTGCCGCATGGGAGAGACCAGAGGCCGTTGCAGGGGATTTGAAAGTCATGTTCGGAAGCGGTGGTGGGGCCAATGGCGTTGTTAAATCCGGAAACGGAAAAAAGACGTAATTTTAAGCTCATGTCGTACTATCATATTCGAGTTTAGTATCTAATGAAGGGATTGATTCTCAATTAAGAGTATCTTCAAGTGATATCCTGTGTTGTGGGTAGGAAAAGTCGGTGAATACCTTGGTCTGCAACTTCTCCAAGACGTGAGAGTAGCTCTACGCAGGCTAGAAGCAGAGAACGAAATTTCGCTTGGTGCTACCCCGATGAAGATACCAACTCTTTTGCGCACAGTGTTTTCGAGTCATGGTGATTACAAATAGCGAGCTCATAAAAGTTGGAGTCCGGAAAGCTTCAAATATGGTTCATAAAGAGTTGACTCAAAGCTCTGATTGCTATATCTCCTGAGCCATATTGGCTCACTAACCAGACAAATTCTGAAGCTGTAGTCCTCGGTACGGCAATGCGATAGACATTTGAGTGGGGGTGATGTGCAGAAGGGCGTTGGGAACCCCAGAGTGATTAAGGGAAAATATCCGGCCACATTCACTGCCAGAAAAGTGAAGATAAGAATAAGTGAGGAACGGATGGACATAACGTAGCATAATAGAAACACGATTGATCCAGCCATTCGAGTTTCTTAGAGTAACTCAACTAATCCTTAGAAAGTTGAAACCTCGTCAAAGTACGGTAGAAGTCTTTTCATTCTAATTTTCTCACAAATTCCTGCCCTTCCTTCTGGTGGCGATGTGCAATTCAGTAGATGGTTCCTCAACGTTGGCTTATTTGAGAGGGATGAAAGAGTTCAGGATGTGACAAAGAGGATGATGTGGTAGATGGAAGGCTCAACGACAGATCGATCGAAGCGAATTACTTAGAGCCCCAGAGGAGAGACGTGGAAGTTGAAAGGCGCGATGCAACAGTTTATAATATAGGGGCTAGCCATATCGAGATTTCCATGAAGTGATTATAACTTCATAAGTTGCTAAACGTCAAGCAAGGCTAGGGAAAAACGAGGTGGGCAATCATACATTCTGTCTTTTTGAGTCTTCTCCTGCGTCCTCCGTACTCGAATTTACAAGTAACCTTTCACAATTACGTTGTCCTTGCCTTTTCGGCGACTGTAACACGCTTGGTGTCGAAGAACTCTAACAATTCCCTGAAAATAAGAGCAACCCTGCTCATACGCTCATACGCTCGCTCATACGACGAATTAAAAATTATACCCAACCAATGGAAAAATGTCGTGGATAACTCGAGGGGATCAACTATCTGTCAAAGTAACTTCTGACTCAGAAGTTCTGAGGTAAAACTGTCATGTGGTCAAAGCGGCTTTATATGGAATAGAGAAATTATAAGTTCTGTACGTAGTTTGTTACTGTTTATACGCTTTAGAGTTTTGTTGTTATCTTAGAGTGGATCAGGAAGAACCGCGGTGTTGCTAATTATAAGAGTTCCTGTCGCAAACGTGAACGATCGGCGGCGGGATCGCCAATCTTGGTACACGCTTGTAAATATACCATGATACTGTCAAACAGTAACGAGCGGGGCAAACACCAAGGCGGAGTAATCGAAATTGCCGAAAACCGCTTTTCCGTCCAATTGGAGTACAGACGTTCAGGAGTTAAGCCTCGCCAGATGCTTCTTGGTGAGCTTGAGAACTGGAAGAGGAAGCTCATTTTCATCTCCGTATGTGGATAAGCCTTTCCTCCCAAGATGTCACAAATGTAAGCTTTTAGGGGCATTCTGACCTGTAGTCTCCTTGATAAGTCTAGGAAAGGGTACTGTGTTTTGCCTGGAAATATGTATATAAGACCTCGATCTAACTGTACATTTACTGATCAATCATTCTGGTAATCATTCATCCATTCTATTCATTTTTTTGCATCAACCACCCAACCAACCAATTAATTATCCCTCTCGTCAAAATGAAGTTCACACACCTCCTTGCCGTTGCCTTTGCTTCTCTTGCCGTCGCCGCACCCTCAGCACTAGCACAGGTACCAGGTATGGCACTCTTTAACATCATAAACCACATTTTCAGGTTAACTAATCTATTCAAGGCTCCAATGCATTAGAGGGCGTCAAGTGCCCTCACCAGGACGCATGTGAAGCGCACTGTAAAAACTTGGTAAGCCACTTAGTTTCCATCTAGTGTTTATGTGTTACCATTGCTAATTGTTAATCGCAGGGAGGTATTCGAACAATCAATTGCAACAAATTCGGAAACAACTGTGCTTGCAACACAGCCGGATAGAGCGGATATTGGGAGTCAATTTATATATGTGGTCCGAGTAGTTTTCAAACGTGGAATGAGAAGGACGTCAGGGACGGACAGCCCATTTTTTGTATTTTACCTACGAATGCCATTTTATTATATGCACGGTGCACTTGACTTTATAAAATTGTGACCTATGTGGTATACTTACAGTGTTAAGTACAGTGTCCTGCCAAGGGATCTGACGCGTATTCCACCCCACATCCCCAGAAATTTAAGGAGGTCAAACACCTGCTCAAGAGCCAAGATCATTCTGAGAATCGGCATCTCATGATTTCACATTTCTAGGCTCGAGTCAAGGGACCAGATGGCTGGAACTGTATGCGATCTATATGAAGCTCGGCTATGTGGCTATTACCTCATCATGTTAGGAATACCAACATTTGTTTCCTTTTTCATTCAAACACTCGTCTCGTATTCTTGTTTCTTTCTGTTCTCTTCAAAGCCTCCGGTCTTCCTTGCTCGCTTCAAAAAAATAAATAGTGCCCGTTCTTCATCTTTTCTTAGTGAAGTGCTCACGATTGAGTTTGCAGCTAAATCCAAGAGAACAAATAACCTTAGAGAATATGGAATCTAAAAAACATAAGATTTTCAGAAGACGTAGTCCTGCAAGAAACGGGAAGATCCCTTCGGTTTTTTGTTTAGTAGTATAACATATTCAAAATGACCGCAACCCTTTAAAGATTTCCTGATTATGGGTTACAGAAGAAGTGGTTAGTTTGGCTTGTAACTCGGGTATACAGGAATATGTTCATAATTCGTCTCAGTATCCAGCTGGTCCCACAAACAATTCATCACTTGGTTCACACCTCCTAGAAATGAGAATAAAGTTGAGAAATTTCAGTTGGTTAGACTTATCATTGATAAAGACCAAGCCGTCCTTATCACCCAACGATCATCCTGTTCTCTATTTACAACGTACTTGCATCACACAAAATCCTCAGATCCACTTCCACATTTCACCAAGCGACGACACATTCTGAGTTGATCCCAATTATCAAAGTAAATCTCAAAGTTTTTCGAAACCACCAGATACCCACAGGAAAGTAACGAAAAGTCAGAGACTGGAATTAAGGAGGTGGTCGGGGCAATGAAATGGAACAGCCATATAATTTCACCTGCCGGTAGTAAAAAGATTACCTTGATATATAGGTAGGCTGAAGGTCTATGGACGTCTAATGTGTAAGGCACCCAGACTTGGTCATTAACATATACCATATCTATTCTAGCTGTCGTCACGAAAGGTTTGGAGACCTTATAAGAATTTTGGGAATTAAGAAATGCCGATGAGATAGGAGTTAGAGGGTTTAGTAAGTTAGCTCAAGAAATTATTGTGTTCTATAAAGACCACTGATTAAAACTTATTAAGTATCTAGTTTTTCATACTATAGTTAAAGAAACGAAGATTAAGGACTTAATTGCATTGAAGATATTAAAGAAAGGAATACGTCCGTTCTATGTTAAGTTTAGGGTCATGTGTATTAACCCAACTCCTTAAGCACCCTTCTGCAGTGAGACTTGCAGAACAAGAAAGGTTAGTACAGTACACTTTCACGTGATTGGATATTATTTTTCGTTGCTCATATCTTTTGAATATCCACCTATGTCCAGAAAGACAAGAGGGGTCCAGCTAGCAGCGACTGTACTGTGAGAGAAAAGATGAAGATTACAGAACATCGCAATAAGATATCAAATCCTAGGGACTGCTGGCTTGGGTTTCCATTGTTTCTGGAATCTTTTCACAATAAATGATTTTCCTTCTCTTTTTATGAGTACATGTGATCATGAATCTCCCAATCTAGTACTTCTGTATAATCTAACCTTTCCATTAGACATAATGCAATAAAGTAAAAATATGAGACCATCAATTCTATCTTGAAACAGCTTAAAACTTCAGCACTTCATCTAAAATTCAGGAACGATCCACATAGCAATAAATCTGACATCCAAATCGGCATTGAAACCCGAGGCCACACATTTGGTATACATATATAATTACAAACATGAAAATAAGGAAGAAATCTCGTCATGAGCGGGTATAAAAAGAGTCCCAAATAAAACTATGATAGCGCCCCAACTCCATCGTAAATTCAATAGCACTTGATAAGAGGTTTTCGTAGCTTTACTTGCCCAACCCTAAGCGAGAAGGAGTCATGCTCAGGAAGTTTTGTCTTTTGTCGGTATTTCGAATGCTTTCACCATCCCAGTTAGCACTGATTGGCCCAAGGAGCATTTTCCAAACGTTTCCAGTGCATGGCTCAGTGTCAACGATATCCCTAGAGTACTTATATTAGTACTAATCATGTCAGAACAGTTCTCGTTGTCAGTACTGAAGTGAAGGTAATCGAGTACTTGAAGTAATAAGAAACCCACGGATATGAAAGTTCCTGGGAGGAAAAACAAAGACACAAGGGTAATGATTCTCATGGAAACTGTTTCTCGCTTGGTGTCCACCGCCAGTTGATGCATAGCCTCCGTCATCTATTGCATCTTACTTTCACGCTGTTGAGATTTGACTAAAACTTCTTTACTAGCCTCGATTGTATTCAGGTTTAGTAGAGCTGATAGCTATTCTTTGTTAGTATCGTTAAAGAAGTTGATATGACCTTTTGACTTACCAGGCATTTTCGATTTTCAAGTAGACGGAGTAATGGCTCTGCTGTCGATCGTTGGATTTCTAGATCGCTGATAATATTGCTGATTCGTTTCTCAAAGTTTGAAAATTCGGTCTTGGAGCCCAGTCGAATTTCTCAGGGACAGTCTTCTGAATTGAGGATAGCTTGATAATGGTTTCTTATGCTGCTGACAATTTTAATATTTGCTTCCAGTACTAAAAGTACCTCATTTGCTTTATCCTCAACAAATTGTACTTGCTGCAATGTTTTGACTGATAGTATTTCATTGGTGGTATTATCTTCTTTTGGGCCCCCCTTCCCAGGAGGCAGCGACGGTGGAAGTGAGAATCCGGGAGGAAGATCAATTTTTTTCGGTGGCATTTGAGGGAAAGCTTCATTAATGGACGAAATTGGTGACATGGGGAACGAGCTCCGAAAGCTTTCATCTGTAGGGCTATCCAATGTTGACTTCCGACTGGTAATCTTTCTAGATATTGTCGAACGAAAACCCGAGCTGGACCGTTTGTGTAGTCTGAAATGCCCAGGATCCACATATTTAGATGCCTCTGGTATGTTTACCGCCAGTGAGTGGCGGGTGAGATCTTGAAGCCTTTTTTCAAGAAAAGTCAGATACCACCGTCAGTCTTCGTCGCACCAGTCGCAAAGCACGAGGTGCATTGCAAGTGTTGAGCTAAAATAACTAGCCGTGGTTTCAAAAGATTTAAGCTCATTATCGTCTGAGATTACTTTCGTTGATTCTTGAACACGCTCTCTGATAAGGTGACTTCCCTTGATCACTATCCAAGTCGCTTTTCCTGTGACCACATCAAATGAGTGATAAATGGCCGTTTGGCGAACCGACCATGGCCAGCTGTCTCTATCAGACGACTCTACAGACTTTAAACTGTAGCACATCCTGATTTCTTGGCCAGAACGACCCAATTCCGGTATTTTCAGACCGCCTTCGGAGAACAATCGGCTATCTTCGCGAAATCCGCTGAAACAGAAGTGTTCGGCATACTCTTGAAAGCCGAATGGGAAGACGAAGTCCAAAAAATTCGGCATGACTTGGTGATACGTTAGGGCAAGGCCAAACATTTTTCGGCTCACCCTGAGTATATCTCGAGAAGTAGGTGCATGTATGAAGCTTGAAAGAATATGATTAACAAGGCCACCATTCTACATCTCTGCGAATCTTACACGAATCTGCATCGAGGATCTTCTCGTGCCAATAAATGGCCACCATGAAGATGTGTCTCCAAATCTGCGCTGTTGGTAATACATGGGTTTTGAAATGCTGATGAGGTTTAGTGACATTCCTTGACGCAGAAATGATCCCCACCTTGCTCATTATCTTGAAACTCCCATATATTGAGACTAGCTTTGTTGTCTCTGCAGAATATTCTCTCATCTTGCTCATTGAGTCGCCGGAAGATACTACCCAAATGATTTCGTGAAGTTGACGAGCGAATTGTGTTTTGGGGAACTTGTCTACATTTTCACACGCTGTCAAAAAAAGTGATCGATATGACATGTTGAGAATTTGATTGCATAAACCGAATGAATGATTTTTTATCAACTTAAGGTAGAGAGATTAAACAAGCAAATACAATTATCCTCCCCCCCACCTTAGATTGCATGTGGCTATGAAATATATCAAATGGCTGATAATTGCCTCCCACATGCCTGCATGAAGGGGCGCATATCGCCCCGAGTGCCCACTCCTTAAGACTCCAGTGAAAAGCTGACAATAACTCTCACCGGGTTTCCTACTTCATCACGGTATCGCTCGAAAACTCCAATTAGCCACCTCAACTAGCGAACGCACTTTACTTAAGAACATTAGCCTTCGTCACATTTAGAGCAAGGCTCATGACGGAAGCAGGTACGAACTGTAAACCCACTTGAGCCTCTAGGACTTTCCAGCGCGTGGACCTTTGGATTTCAAATCTGCCTTCTCCTTCTTGTGGCAAGGTTAGCAGCCCCACGGAAAGCCTCGGGGGAATCAGCTTACCCTAGTCAACTTGCGAGGAATCCAAAACTGGATTGTATCGCCATCAGTTGCCTGGATTGTATCGCCATCAGTTGCCTGGATTGAAACTTAGTAAACGAATCAGTACTTGCGCAAAGGCACTGTAACAGATTTGATTCAGTGAATCAAATCTGTTACAGGCACATAGCATACTTCTGTGTAGAAATGATATTTTCCAAATTTTGCGACCAGAAATTCGTTAACAATTTCTACTAAGAGGTCGTATATCGATGTCGTATCCCAAGTCCAAGGTGCTGACTGGTCCGCCATATTCGTGGGCTTTTTATAGGATGATGAGCTGTTTTGTTTGGCGCGTGGCTGATGAGGAATTTCCGGGCTCAGTATGCCGATGAACGATGTGCTAGGCAGATTTTACGGAGGTGGGGAGCGTTGATTTATGCTTACGATCTGCCATGCGGCTCTTATGACTGCAGGTTTCCGGCAAATCTGTTATCTTGCAGATCTGCCCAAACCTGAGGGCCAGCAAAATGACTGGGTGCATTCGATATTACCATCCTCATTGTTTCTGGCAACTCGCCATTGTGACTGAAATGTTCTAACGAACAAAAGTTCTACATTCATATAAATGGATTCTGCGATGATCTCGTCACTGCCTTCGCTTAATCCAATAGGGGCTGATGGCAGACCGTGCGTGATTGGTTTCACCTCCATCTGCAAAGCATTTCAACAACAACCAATGAAAAGGTATAGATACATTGTTCATGCAGCAGTGTGGCACAGGTTTGCAGCCACATCTACAAGCACAACATCCAGATCAGTCGTTGGCTTATCAAAAGTGGATACGACCTTCCTTTCTTGGCAGTGCCATCGCCATCCAGTCTCCCATACTCGTAGCTCACTACATTAATACTGCTGCATCAGCCTGATACGAGGACTAAAGCCCATCAGAGAGTCCTCACCATGAGGCTCATTGATGGAAAACGAGGAACAAGAGATTGATTGACCTCGCCGATCCGCCCTCAGCGAGCAGCAAACATAGCCTTCACGATAACATGAGTAACTCTAGGCTTTCAAAGTCACAATATCATGTTTTGAAGAAAGATGGACAACTTACTCATCATGCGCAAAGCTTCTGAGTAACCGAGATTTTTTTTTTCAAGCACCTCCGTGAGAACTGAAAATTCGACAAGTCATACCATTGAGCCTTTTTGTTCAATAATTCATTACTTGGCCTCAATCTTTTGAACCGGCTCCGGAAAATCAATTTTCAGATATCCTCAGTCTTGTTTTAAGCTTTATATCAACCACCGGGACAATAACCAACTCGTCGAGGGAAATTACTGATTATGTTTTATTTCGTCAGATTTTTCATTTCAGGACACCTGGATTCTTTCTGCGCCTCTAATGTGAATATCTCTTTACTTCATAACTGATTATCTTTCGGCCGCCATTTACATGATTTGAAACCATCGAATGTTTGTTATTGCGTTCGCTTACACGAAATTTACCTGTATTAGACGTCTGATTCTACTATCAGATGTCTGCCCTGTCCCTTAAAGAGGGCAGAGGTTCAAGGAAAAAGGCGTGCCTGTGGGAGTTGTGTCCGACACAGTCGGACTTTTCCACTACTCAAACGGGTTCTTGGCTTCGTAAGTTCCCTTTAGTAACTTTCACTACTAAATATTAACGTCGTTTTTCCATGCATTTGAGCCTTGATTTGACCTTGTTATTGCATCCACTTGCATCCACCTTGAGTGTATGTTGACACATGTAGCTCTGTGGGTTGTTAGAGATACTAAAGGTATTTACTAGTAATTAGCTTGTAACTTAACAGTAAGCGAACACGTACATTAGCTTCAAGACAAGCAGAAGAAGACAGAAGAAAGTAATATTATGGGTACCAATAAAGCAGTGGAAGAAGTGAGGTTAAGCGAGTATGGTTGTACACAAAAAGGGACTAAAGAAAGCTTGAAGGGTGTAGGAAGTTGCAATAGTATAAGTAGCCTTTGCTGGCACTAGAATCAAATTCTTAACACTACATACATGGAAGAAGTCAAAAGATGATGAACAGCAGGAACCGAATGTTCAGCCAGCGTGTCGCTGGAGCTCGTATGTACTGTACTAACGTACGGTACTATGTATGGGTTCCATGTAACACGAGTATTGAAGCAATTTAACAGACACCTATTGAGCTTAGAAGCCTTGAGCAAATAGGTGCTACCCTGGACTGTTTTGAGTCGTCTTTAAATCGCGACTTAATCTACCACGTACTGTTCGCTCAACTACGAAACCCTATTCCTCTACGCAGTGATTATTTCCAAGTTTCAATAATGTATATATTATAGCTCGCCACTCAGTATATCTAGTTAGAGTAGCAGGAAATAATCTCTCAGGTTGAAACTCTTAAAGAAAACAACCCCAAAGCACAACTGAAGAGAAAGATACCTACACTCTTTTACCCTAATTCCAGCTAATTCCAGCTAGCTAAACATACAAACCAATCCACAGGAAACGTTCAATTCTACCATACAGGAGCTTGGAAGCCAAAACATTATCCACAGACTCTCAAAAGTTTCAGAGATAGATTGATAGTTTAGCGCCTTAAATAAAATCTCTAGAGTACTACCGTCGTTATATATTTTCATAGCGGTAAATCACATGATAAAGATATTCAGAAGAGCAGGGCTATATAACTCTCTGCTGCTCAGGTGAACAGAATGATTAGTCTTTTTTGGAAAGTTTCTTGTAATTATAGTCTATGACCTAAGAACAACCTTTTTAACACATCACATGATTTACACGTGATGTAAACACCACTGTGGAGAAGAAGAATTGGAACTTCCCCCACTATCATATCTCAAGCAAATAGCTGGTGGAGCTCCTAGATTTTTCGGATTCTTCAGTTTAAGATACTTCGAGGGATGTAATTACCAGCAGGTCATGGATGTTCATTCATATCAACATTTCGACCTTACTCAGAGGCAACCCTGTATTCTGGAAGATTTTATATCACCACGATCATATTGAAAACCTGCTGCGGTGAGATATATCGGTTTCACTTAACCACTACAATTATACAATGGTAAATCGTGGATTCTTTTCTGTACAACCTTATTTTTTTAGCTGGTGAGAATATTCAATATTGCCCATACTCGTAGCCCACCAACGTGTGAGATAAGCAATCGTGAATTTTGCTGCGCGAAGCTTTTTTTGGGATAGGTTAGGTTTGGAAACACAAAGGTAATCAAAGAAATAAAGAGATAGAGAGGTCAGGACTTGAATTCAAAAAATGAAGAAATAGGAGTAACAATAACTCGCTTAGAGAAGGACACAAATACTACAAGTGGAGAGTAGAAATTAGTTGGCACTTAATGTAGTTTGAATTTGAAGGTACTGTAATGTAGATATAGTGAGGCTTAACAAGCTATAATGAAGAACAGATCAGGTAACTAGTAGCTAAACAATAGGTATGTCCCACGCAGTCCTATCCTCGCCCAGGCCCAACCTTACCAATAGAGGCCGCCCTCCAGATTCAATCTTTCAACACACATCTAACATTTGGATAGTAATTAACGGTATTAGCACTGCCGTTACTACAGTACTTCAATAGAGGAACACATTGTCTACCATTAAAGCCTTTCGTTCCTAGGCCCTCATTACTGCAGTTTTTTATAGCTTAGATAGTCGTAGCTCCGATGAGCAAGGTTATAAGGATGGTGATGATTTACTTGAAGAAGAACATGGTTGTAAGTAGTTGACTTGGTGGGTAAGGTTGGATTGTTAGATTGTTAGTATGTTCGTATATTGGTATATTGATATGTTAGTATATTGGTTGGGAGTAATGAGGTAGACGATATTGTACTGGTTAAGGTTGGAGTTTAGTGAGACTATACTAAGCGAAGATAGGATGGAAATTGGATAAAGGTTTTTATAATCAAAAGGGTCGTACCTTATAAACCACAAAAGCGCGCCCTGCATGTACCATTATGTTCCGCATAATCGGACGTTATAGACGGTGACCAGTTACTTTCTAATTCTTATCCAAAAGTTAAAAGCAGGGCTCCCCTAAATCCGGGTAGTCGGACCGGTTGAAATATAGGCGAAACTTGATACTAGGATACTCGCTATAAGGATATCCCGGACTAGGTATATCTTCAACTTTTTGAGTCCTAATCTTTGTTAGAGATACTTGAGGATATCCTTTTTAGCTTTTTTGGGTTCTAAATGATATTCTGTACTGTACTACTGTATAGTAGAAATATGCTGACTTTTATTCTTCAAAGGTTCTAAATTCCGCGAAGCAGTTACTAGTCTAAGTAAAAGCCTAGCGTTTTAGGTATAAAAAGGTTAAAGGTAGGACTAAGTACCTAATAAAAATCAGAAGGTTGTACATACAGAACCAAACGTTTATAAGTATTACCAGATATATCCTCAACACTTAAATATACGACCTTGTTATCGCCTATACCAAGAACCCAATCTCAGTTTAAGAGTCTGACGATATGCGTGGTACAAGCAAAATATCGTCTCGACGACTCTAGGAAACCAGATTGCCAAGAACTGGGAATCCTGCTATAAGAATACTGTATCCTCATTTATATCCTTAAGTTTTTTCCCTTCCGTGAATATTTTTGTATCGAGTTTCGCCAATCAAAGTCGAAGGATGAAAATGAAAGTAGATAATGGTTATATATACGATTAGCCAGATTCTCGACGTCCTTTAGGACGAAGGAGCTCAGTCGAACTTAATATGACATCCTGCCTATACACATTTCTGCCATACCTATTTCAAGAATCTCCTATAGTATAAATATGGACTTACTAAATTAAAGGCTAAAGTACTTACTCGACCTTCAATACAGATACTCCGTTCCAGGCGAAATAGTTGTAACCTTTTCAGGAGTTTTTACCCTGTTGCCAACTTTTCAGCCTAGGAAATCTCCATTCACTTCGCCTAGGTAGGACGAAGTAGATTTATATACTTGTACGAGATTGTTCCCTTTCGAATGTCTTGTCCTCTTCTGGGCGTGGGGTTACGAAGAGCAATCGGAGGTTTTCTATCAATCTCCTCCAATTAAAGAAAAGGTTATTTTTCTGGTGGCAACACATCCAATGGCCTTTTGAATCATGGGGGGGAGGGAGTGACCAGGATACACCAGAAAGGAAGACTTGGGGGTGGCGACTTGACTTTGGCGGCATCTGGTGGCATGGGCCGCTCGACAGGGAACAATGCCGGGAAGATCGCAACTCTGGAATCCTGTGTTGGCAGGCTGATGGCCAATATTTTACTTTGAACTACTTCGCACATACAGTACATTTGGTGATGGGGTGGATTCGATATGAGGAGGGGTCTGGAGCTTGTGAGGAGCTACGAGGTAGAGGGTGTGATTGAAGGGGTGGGGAAGGTCGTATTGGGTGAATGGACAGATATGTGGCGGATTGGATTGGGGTCAAGACAATAAGAAAATGGATAGAGTGAAGGTTTGCGTTTTATCTCTCTTTCTGTTTGATGATGCGAGGCCCTTTTGAGGGATGTGAGAGGTGCACGAATGGAAGTCCCAAACGCATTACGAGTACGCTGCCTCGGCTATGGATTGTTTTTTTTTGCCTTCTTTCAGATGAGTGCACGGCATATATGACATGGTACTCGGAGTAATCGTATCATATGGCAATAACTAGAGGGATATGGGATATGGGATACATGCAGTGCGACTCTACTACTGCAGCTGTACTGTACCTACCACTCTGCGGTCCCCCATAGCCCATCGTGCTCTAGCTGCGACCTCTTTTGTACGGACCAGGCAACTCCAACGCCCATTTCGGCCCTCACGAACGGTCCTCATTATTTGGCAGCACCCAAACGACCGTCGCCTCGCCGTCGGACTTTTCTTGCTTCAGCCATCGAGGAAGAGGAATCATACGGGAAGCGACAAAAACTGGATTCTTCACGTGGAAAGCCCTAACCGTCCAACCGGACCTTGCAAGCTAAAAGGCCAAACTAAATGGCGATTGGAAGTTTCTTGAGGCAGAAGTTCAGACGCTCCACCTCCAACGCGTCGTCCATCTCCATCTCCAGCCAAGATTGTTCCCAATCGCAATCGCAACCCCAGAATCAGAATCAGCATCAACATCACAACCAGAATCACAATCATACACACGGCAGTCGGTCTACGAAATCGCGACGCGGAAGTCAGACACCATCACGACGAGCGCCATCGACGTTTGGGAGTGCGACAATTGATGAGACAGCAGAGAAGAGCGATGGAACGGCAACTAGCACTAGAGCCGAAGCCAAAAGTCTACTAGAGAACGCCAGCGGCGAACAAAGCAGCGATCTACACTCGCCCTCCTCGAAGCACATTTCCATCCCCGACACCAAAGCCATCGAGGAGGCGGATTGCGCAGACTTCCCTACCCCCAACACTGATACCATATCGCCGGTCGCGGAGGAGGAAGTGGAAGATCTTGATGAGATAACGCCGGACGGGAACGCGCAAGGGACGAGTGCGACCAATACGCCGAAAGCTAAGGCGCGCCCTGCTGAACTCCAGAGACGACAGAGTTTGGTGCCGCCGCAGCAGACGCGACTGATCAAGACGTTACTGGAGACGGAATTGCCTTCGGTGAACAGAGCGGCGACTCTGGATTATTTCACATCCAACGGTTCTTCGACCATCAGCCCAAACATGGTGAGCAGGAAGATTTGGGTCAGGAGGCCCGGAGCGTCAGCCACGCTGGTGACGATTAACGAGGATGATTTGGTAGACGATGTGAGGGATATGATCTTGAAGAAATATGCAAATACGCTGGGGAGAAGCTTTGACTCGCCGGATGTTACGTTGAGGATCATTCCTAGGGAAAACCAGCAGCAGAGGACTCTGGGCCCGGAGGAACCTATGGGCAGGACGCTGGATGCATATTTCCCAGGAGGGCAGACAGTAGAGGATGCTTTGGTTATTGATGTGCCACCGAGGAGGACGCCGAGACCATCACCACATACCGGAAGACAATATTACGAGGATGGACGGCCGTTGGAGAGCGCGAGCGAGTATTTCCCACCGATGGCTGTACCAGCACCACCTTCGCCACACCTACCAGCCTCGATACCAGTCAATGGATTGGCAAACCACAATCACTCCAATCTAGCAACTCACTCCATGTCCGTATTGACCACTGGTCATGTCCCGGCATTGCCCTCTCCAGGACGAAGACCACATCATCCCACCACGAACCGACCACGAATGGGTCGTCAACATACCTCCTCCCCTACCATAATCAGTACCCACCAACAACAAACGGTCATGAATAATGGTACGCATGCACACTCTCGAGTTCCTCGGGCAAGAACTCACTCCAGTGCATCAGAAAAATCCTCAAACCCAGCACCAGCTGCCCCACCTCTCCCCACGCCCCCAGCACCNGCACACTCTCGAGTTCCTCGGGCAAGAACTCACTCCAGTGCATCAGAAAAATCCTCAAACCCAGCACCAGCTGCCCCACCTCTCCCCACGCCCCCAGCACCCCTCCAAGCCGAATCATCTCAGATCCAACGCGTCGCTACACCACCACCTCGTGTCTCTTCTCCTCGTCCTAGAACCACCAACAGTCGACCAAAGAAGAAGAAGACAAATGCAGATCATCCTTCTCTCCCAGCCGGAATGCTCAACGGCGCTGTCCCCCCAATCAACGTATTAATTGTAGAAGACAACATCATCAATCTCAAACTCTTGGAAGCATTTATGAAGCGACTAAAAGTACGTTGGCAGACAGCCATGAACGGAAAGGAAGCCGTCACCAAATGGCGCGCAGGCGGTTTCCATCTCGTGCTCATGGATATTCAACTTCCCATCATGAGTGGTCTTGAAGCTACCAAGGAAATTCGTCGGTTAGAAAGATTAAACAACATTGGCGTTTTTAGTTCTTCTGCGGGAGCCGGAGCTGAGGAGGGGGGCGAGGTGGAGGCTGAGGAGGATAGACTGCCGAGTAGTGTGCTTTTCAAGAGCCCGGTTATTATTGTGGCGCTTACGGCTAGTTCGTTGCAGAGTGATAGACATGAAGCTTTGGCGGCGGGTTGTAATGATTTCTTAACGAAGGTATGTTTTTCTTCCTCTTCCCTTTGTCACTACGCCATTTTCGTAAGCTGTGACTCTAACAAAATTTAGCCTGTCAACTTTGTCTGGCTCGAACGAAAAGTCATGGAATGGGGCTGTATGCAAGCCCTCATTGACTTTGACGGCTGGAGAAAATGGAAGGATTTCTCGCAAATGCAACAGCTTGAGAGCGGAGAGGGCGGGGAGGAGAAAAAGAAGGCCGATGTCAAGAAGAAGAAGGGGAAGAGTAGTAGAATTAGTACCTCTGGTAGTGGGGAATTGATGAAAGTTGGCGAAGCGAGGGAGATGGGTGTGGTCTGATGAGTGAAAACTAACAATCAGAGGTGGATGGAAGAGATGGTGTATGAGGTGATGAAGAGGTAATGGATGGAACATGCATGGATTGAGCCCACGGATCGGGGGGAATGGAGGGAATCATCGTTTTCTCCTTGTTGGCGGTTCTTTTGGACGTACATATTTATCTCCTGTAGGATGAGAAGGTGGAGTAAGGCAGAGAGGGGGCAAAACATGAGCGAAGTGGAAAGGAAGCACGTCGAGCTGTGCAAATGAGAGAAAGACCTGATCTCGGGAGAAACAGAGAGAGGAATTCGTAAATATAGTTAATACCCATGAATCTTAAGATTTTCAAGATTTTCAAGATTTGGAAAGAGTTGTGTTTTATGGACTTGCTTGGTTTTTGATAAAATGGTACTGTATTGATATTTCTATATAAAGCGTCTACGCTGGACTAGACTATTGTGGATTTAGGGATGTGTTGGAATAGTACAACTGTACAAGCGCTACGGATGTAATGGGGATCTGGGACTGGACCACCTTCGCCTTGTTATAGAGCAGTGCGTCAGCGTCCTCTAAACTAAGGTTGTTCATTATGCTTATTTGTGGACGTGAATTTGATAGTTCCTACTATTGGTTCCTACTATTGCTCTGCTACTCTTATACCACACGTGATTTTAGTTTCTGGTGTCTCTCTGTAGGGATGGGTTTGTTTGCAGTGGGGTTTCTTTTTTGTCTTTGTGCGTTTTTGATCATTGCTAGGGTAAGGGGAAGGGAGGTTATGTGTTTCTTGACGGTTTGTGGGGAGTGAATTGGCAATGGTGGGATGGGTGGTAGGAAGATGGAAAGATGGGAGTGAGAAGTGTGGGGGGTAGGGGTAGGTACGTGGAGATATTGAGAGTTGTTATTATAGGAGGGGGATGAAATTATATAATGACTCCAAAACGCGCAAAGGGACTAGGATTATGATGAATCTGCAAGTTTCTTCCAGAGCACGGTAAATTTATATTGGGTTGAAAGGGTATTGGGTACTGAAGGTCATGGAGAATTGATTGCATTGTAAAAGGTAGCTATCTAAGGTGTTTATATAGAGTGTAAGGTTTAGGCAGACATGAAGCATTTAGGCAGCAGAACTATAAGTGGATCAAACAAGGAAGTGGAGCAAAAGAGAAAGTAGACCCAGCACAACAATTTATATAAGACATGTGCCCGACATTGTCAATCTCAGAGGTATACATTTCCAGGCATCAAGAAGAAATCTCGCTAATAATTTACGCACAGTGTCTAAAATGGGGGCTCACTACCGTCTAGGTACCCGAGTGACATTGAACGTCCCGAAGTGTCCCGAGTAATCTCTGCTTTTTGCAAAGGTCAAAGATATCTGACTTTCAACTCTTGTTGACCAGTAAGGAGATGTAGGGCCGCTGGTTTGTCGATCAGTACTGTGAGGAATCTAGGGTGAACTGACGTATGTTGTTTAGATGGTGGTGAATGTATGACTTTTCGATAGCAGTGGGAAGGCCGATGATGAATTTGGATTTGGATGGATAAGGTTCGGACTTTATCTCAACTACGTACTCACGTACTTCTTGTTTGTCTTGGTCTGCTAGTTGAGACACATACGCTGTCACCTAGAATATTCATTGCAGGTAGTTGGCATGAGTTATTCGTGTAGATGGCAAGACGGTTGTTGGCGCAGTAAATCCTATTCGTAGTTCTTAGGTTTGTATGTGTTGGTTATCTGAGAGCGTCTCTGAGGTATATATACACATACAAAAATGATTCAAATGACGCCTCAAAATCTCAGGTGAATGCTGTAGACAAGGCCTTCGGGTGTGTATCAATAACCAGCGTCCAATTCGCAGGTTTGGTGTTTGTCCCTAGGAGATATTATCTGCTGCCCCTGACACCATATTCACTCCATGGAGAAAATAAAACGGGATCGGATGAGATAGTAATCAGGATCGTTACCAGGTATTCTTTCAAGAATAAATCCGTGGTAATACGTTCTCCGGATCTTCCATCTTTGGGAATTCGGAGAGTATGGAGGATGTTACGATGGAAATAGAGAACAACTTTTAGTGACTGTTGCATCCCAGGTGTAAACTTCTTGCTTTCGTATGTAAGTTAACCGTGCGGTCTCGAGATCTAGACATGTGAGTCCTATATTATGGCGGTGCCTTAGACTCAGTTTCCGATTGCCACTTGGAAAACCAAGAATCTAGGTCGTATTCGACGGGTTGATGGGGGCACGTAGGACCGGGGACGAAGATGATTATTCTTGAGATGGTAAACAGATACCAACGACTAGGTTTTCCTCAAATCGCCAGTAGTGTATGTACAAAAGACTTATCTGGAGCATAGACCCCAATGAGTAATTGAAATCCAGAAGATGAACTTTACAAATGTAACTCCTCCCAGCAAACGCGACCGAAAAGTCACTCAGCCTGAGCTCTCAAAAGTTGAGAGATGTTCTGATGTAACACCATTACAAAAGTAGCAACAGTCACTAGAACCCCTATTTCACCTTTTTTCAATCCCGACTTCACCATATTGGTTCACAACAACACGCTGTGAGATGTGTATCTTATAGCCGTTATCATGATTAGTTTCCAGATCAAAGCCACGCTTATGCTTCTTCTCCATCTCCTCTCGGAACCCCGTCTTTGGCTTATCCTGCTTGATTCGAAGTTTTTCAAAGTAGACATAGGCAGCATAAAAAACCGCGGCTCGGTTTCCCGCATTCGGACCTATCTTCGAGAGAAATGCGTTGAATTGACTGGCCGATATCTTTCGATCATCTGAAAAGCATGCTTTGAACTGATTCATAAGGAAGGCCTTGGAGACATGTTGTTTATTGATAAGCTCATTGATGTGTTTTCGGGCAACATCACACGTATCGTAAACCTTGACGGCATTTTCGGTCTCGCCCTCAAGTTTATCGCGGTCCGTGACGTCGTACTCTTCCTCCTTGGCTTTGGCGGCTTCCTTCACGACCTTGGGCTTCTTGGGGGGCTTGATGCCGTTCAATTCGCGATGTTTGAAGAATGCCAAGGCCTTGGGGTATACGCTTGATTGCTCTCCTTTATGAGCGCCGGCTTGTCGCATGAAGTTGTTGTAGGGAGCTGAGTTGACCTCAATTACCTTTTGGAACTGGCCGACTGTCATTTCGCCCGTCTCGAGGTATTTGCGGACCTTGTTGCGGACGGCATCGCAGCTGATGTCTACGTCATAGCAGCGTTCGTCATCGATACTGATTTCTTCGCAGTCGCTGATTTTACGCTTCTTGGATGAAGATTCCTGTGCGCATCTTGTCGGCGAGGGTGCAAGTAAATAACGACTTCAGAAAACTTCGTCGTACAGTTGCGGTAGGAATATCGATGCCCTTCTCTGCGAACATCTTTTTCGCAGCAGTCGACATCTGAATCCCATTTGTTGGAGCAGCTACGTTATGAGTATTGCTGGTCTTCTCTGAAAGTGCCTTCTTTTTCGCAGGCATTGTGATCAACGATTGTGATGTAAATTCGAGGATTTAGTGGTGTAAAGTGTGTATTGTGGTTGAATTGGATGAAGGAAATGGCCTGGGAAGATGCCTTGAACTTACGTATAAGAACTGCGATGACGTCTCATGCTGATAATGATAGTGCTCAGATGTTATCTTTGACGCGTTTGATACAGGTATGACGCGATCTACCTGCCCCTCACTAATATAGTGGGAGCGGGAAGTGCACAGCCACCGAGGTTTAGCCTTTCGAGGCACGTGTACTTCCTCCAATCTTCCCCTTTGTTTTGGCGAAGTACGAGTATTCTGGAAGCAATGCTGACGATTTGAATTTTTTTCATTATACGATATATAAAACCAACTCACTTGATCTTTATCCAGTACTCACAAAATCAAACTCTCTCTGTTTGGGTTTCACAAATAGCTATTCTTGGGCTTAAAACATATTTCCTTTTCCCCTGCTCATTAAACGGACTTAAGATCAAGTTCCATGTCGAATTCCCAAACACGCCGAGCGACAAACACTTTTACCACCACCAATTCCATTCTAGAGATAGCCAGTTGAGGCTGCTGAGAACAGCTCGGAAGATGTCTTGAAATGGAACTGGCTGTTTCTAAGGCATGCATGAGCTCCATAGCTAGAGGGTTGATATCTGCCCTTGAATCACTTGTAAACTTGTTATTGGGTTCAGAAATCCACCTCTCGGGGAAGAACTCATCCGGAGGGGAATATTTACTCGCACTCCTGTATGTCGAGAAGTGACACACCCTAACGATTGTCTTTTCCGGCAATCGTCTCCCGAGAATAGCGACGCCTCCAGGTGGAACAACACGAGGAAGGGTACCAGGTCCTTGAGGATGAACTCGCAGTGTCTCTTGTACGCATGCATCCAAGTAACGAAGTCTCTGGGTTGACGTGTTTGTCAATTCACACAGATCACGGAAGCTCTTGTGTATTTCTCTAGCCAATTTGATGGAGAGTTCGTGATTTGAAATCGCCCAGAATAGGAAAGCAGATTTGCAGTTGTTGTAGGAAATCAAAAAGCAAAAGTCGCCCCAAAACATAAGAGGTACACCTCAACCATTTTTCCATTCAAATCCCACTAATACGTTCCACTGATGTGACCCAAGATTGGTTGCTGACGCTACACACCCAAAGACATGCAGATATTACGTCCTTACACATAGCAGTAAGATATGATGACCTAGATGGGAATCTAGGAATGAAAAGATACAATGATGAACTTTCGGCATAATTCCTTCCCTGCAGGGTGTTGCAAAATCCCAATGTCAATAGATATAGGCTTAACAGATCATGGAAAACGAGTCATGGGTCGAAATAGTATCACCTTCAAAAGATGGCGTCAAGGTTATTTAGTTACATCTGATTATTTGTTCAACTGTAGATCAAGCAATATCGACACAAAAGCCCGAGAGCATGCATAGTCTTCTTCTCGTTGCTGAAGTTGACTGGTAATAGTGCAGGAAATACTTTCCGGGGGTTTCGTTTCATTTCACGAGAATCCAGTCGCTTCAAGACAGTGATTGCTGGTTTTCGACGAGGTGGTCAGAAAGCTGGCTCCTACTTTATCAGTTCTATCCTTCTATAGATTCGAGGCCTGAAGTTACCAAAACTATTCAAAGAAAGCCCCTCATCTCCAACATGTCGAAATCTAAGACACGTACCCCAGAGATACCAATGACACAATCGTGGGGTCGCAAAACAGAAGCTACGAGACTAAATACACTAGGGTCCCTTTCCGTCATCGTCTCAGCACCAATTCTCTTGGTACTCAACGACAACGCTTTATCTCACTTCGACGGATCGCTCAAACGTGCCATCCAGTACCTCTCAAGAGGTGTTTTTCAAAATGGCCTACTTCCCAACCTGGAATCTGTACTTCACCTACCAAGTTGGACGGGCACTCTTGTCTATACAGTTTGGGTTCTTTTCCAAGCCGCTCTTTATATTTTGCTCCCAGGGAAGACGGGATATGGCCAACCAACTCCAGCAGGAAATATTCATCCGTACAAAACAAATGGAATATTGGTTTATCTTATAACACAAATCACTTTTTATGTTTCTATATGGTAGCTGGTTTTGATAGCCTGGAAATCATTGCAAATAACCGGTACGATCTGGCTTCTGCCGCTTCAGCGTATGGTTTCCTCATATCTTTCATCTGCCAAATAAAAGCACACTTGTGGCCGTCTCCTCAAGGAGAGCCAAATTTCAGTGGTGAGCTACTTTTACAAACAATTGAAGAAGAACCCTAATTCTTCTTAGGCAATTTCATTCACGACTTCTTCGTCGGAATCGAACTCAATCCCCGTATTGGTAAACTTTTTGATCTAAAGTGCTTCCATATTGGCAGGATAGGGATGCTTTCATGGCCTTTGACGTGACCAACCCCAGTGCTCAAATTCCAGGTTTCATGCTAACAAAATAAATAGCAATCTCTCCTTCTTTGCTCTGCAATACAAAACATGGGGCCATGTCGCGAACTCTATCCTAATCACAAACTTCCTCCAATTTATCTTCATCATCGACCTTTTCATCAACGAAGACTGGTATATTCGCACAATGGACATTGCACACGATCACTTTGGATTCAGTTTTGCGTGGGGCTCAAGCGTTTTCCTTCCAGCTTTTTACACTATCCAAATTCAATATTTGGCACAACATCCAATAACCTTGTCTACTACGAACGCTTTTTTTATTCTGGCCCTGGGTTTGATCGGGTTTACAATCTTCCGCGGAACCAACCACCAAAAAGATATTGTAAAGAAACGGGACGAAAGCAAGGACTTCTTTTGAGGTTGCCTCGTTGACTATAAAACAAATATGCCAAAAACAAGCTATAAAATAAGGAAGCATATACAAGAAGCCACAATTCGTCGGCACTTTTGAGCAACGTGTGATTTGTTGTAGATCCCCCGCCCATTCGTTAGCAAATGTTAAGGCCAGTTGACATAAACATTGTTAATAATCTGTCTGCACTCTATTCGAATAGGCAAGTGGAATATCTGGCTATCATATAGTAATAACTATCTAATCGCAGAAAATGGGCTCTGACTTCAATGTATTTCTGATCTTACACGACAAGTGGCATATCCGTAGATTTCCAAACTAAAGGCTAGTTTTTGAAATCTACATGGACATATCACACATGATATACTCTTACCTGACAACGACCAGTAGGCTTATACCAAAAGAGAACCTATCCAGAGCTCACACCATGACAATGATATGAATGTATTCACAATCAAATATCCTAGTCTCTTACTGATTCACCACAGGGAAGACGATCTGGACTACTTCCATTCGATTGATCATTCACCCTTGAAAGAAATTTAAGATAAGAATCTGTTTGCTTATTAGCATCATTCACTAAGATGTATGAAGATTTTATGTCTAAGAACTAAAAGCTCAAAATTATCTCAAAGCAGCGTTTAATACCAAGACAGTAGCTATACTCCTCCTCAGTCGCGCCGATTTGCCCTTCCTGAATGTTGAACGTATGTCTTACCATATTAGTACCTCCATAGATTCCATAGAAGAAGTTCACTGGAAGGTCAGATGACTCAGATCTACTTCCCCAATTCAACAGTTAGCTTTATACATGTTCGGCTTCAAACTGTACTCATATTAGTCGTATATTCTACCATGACACTATCAATCGTTGAAATGCAGGCTATTTAGCTCCTCGTTGGTGATACAAGGAATATCAGCTTATTAATAGTACCAGATTATAGATAGCTAGCCTTTTGGCCTATTGAATACTAAGCTTGTGCCCACTGTCAGACTCGCAACATCTATCATTCTCCATCCTAATGACACTAACTATCTTTGACCAAGGCGAATAAGGCGGGAAACAACACCTCCACAGAGATTAGATTACAAGAAAAGAAAATGAAAGAAGGTCAAGGGTTGAGAAACTGAAACTGAACGATGAAAAAAACGTAAGAATATAACATATTTCATGACTAGCTCATCTTGGTTGACTTTGTGCTAGGGTGGCTGGATAGATGGTATAAATAGCAGCAAATTACTGCCAAAATCTCGCTCAGTTATCCCATTGATCGAAAAGTCCGCATTCTCCATTCAAACACCATTCACCTATAATTACACGCTCAGCTTCACCGGAATCGCTCCCCTCAAAACAACAGTGTTCACCTAACCCAGCTAAAGAAACAATTCACTCTACTGTATCAAATTTTCTGACCATCCTCAGTTAATGAGGTTTACGATGATAGAAGCGAGTAAACAGCGAATCCTTCGTGACATCTAGTTCCGCTAGCTGAGAGTGCTTTTGTTCACACTCTGATTCCTGTAAAACTTCCTTACTATGCTGTGGCTCTTTATAGGTAATTGTTGGGAGACGGAAAGGGAACAACTCTTCAATTTGTAAATTAAGCCTATTAAGGTACAGGTGGGTATCAAATCCCCTGAAATAACGCTAGTGCTAGTGGTTGGTGAGTGGATAGCAATAATAGCCAAATCTTGTATCATATGAGAGAACGGTTTACACCACATAAACCCCCCACATCCCTCCAAAACTTGGCGATGAACAGCAGACTGAAAGGGCAACGAAATCAAGATACCTTCGAGTCAGATAAAGCAGGCAGCTTGTCAATAGACGATATCAAGTACCTGGTACCACAGGTATACATTCAGACCCCACTCGCACAAAAGTCTCATTCAACGCCGCAAACCCCCCTCACATGAAATACTCCACTGGAGTCTACGTACAAGCCTCAAAGACTTTGCGTCTCAGCCTTGGATCGCCCACAAGGACCTGGAGCCTTGATTGAGACCATCTGTCGTGATATAACTCACTACCTTACTACCTTAATAGTAAAAATCAAATACATTCCCCTCCCTCCGCCTCCCACCATAATTTCTCCAACCATACTTCTATAACCCACCTGCCTATCAAAGTAAAAATACAGCAGAAGCCCACTGGAATAGAACCACCCAAGACCACCAAAACGACCTATATACGCACACAGATCTACGTAGACATCGCGACAGCATGGTCGACATCACAAACGAGATAACAAGGTCAAGACTCGTACTTACAGTAGTATTGTTTATGCCGCAGATTGTATATGGCATGGATCAAAAGACTACGTATGTTTACGTGCACGTGATATCCACAACACATTAAGAAATATAAGATTACCCAGCTAGGCTACACTTACACTTACACTCACACTTACAGCAGCCGCATTCTTAACCCATCTAGTTAGTGTAAGTGGGGGTGAAGTCACAAAGTCCCCTTCGCTTCGAGGGACATGCACATGCATATCCGAGGTTCAGAAGTTAGTTAGTTCCCCACTAAGTCCTCAGGAGCCTCCCGACTACGACAATGCGCAGACAAGGAGCACTAGACATACAGGAAAGTAGTACAACACTACGCTACACCACACTACACAGCCGTGATACCGCGCACATGCGACGTGGTTCAGACCGGATGGCCGATGTAACACTCCCATACCCGCTCCAATAGCGTGGACAGTCACACAATTCCGAAAGGCACAAGGGAGGGAGGAGGGACGAATATGAACCAAGGATTATTCAATTCCGAAAACATCTGGTTTTCCTCCTGATTGTTGTACAATAAGACCCAAAATATACAGCGGAAATCCACCTGTGACCCAACCGATCCCACACTCGCAGCTCCACATTTCCAATCTCATCATAGCGCACAATCTCCAAGTTCGCATTCAGATTAAAGTCGACCACCCAGTCTCCTCATCCATCTCCTTTTCCAACCACTAGAGCCAGGCTCAAGAATATCAACACATTCCCTCGACAGCCTAAAATCAAAAAATCAAAGTCAGCTCAAAAGCTCTATTTCACAACTGCAATTATGACAGCTAGGAGAATGGAAAGAAACTAAAAAGGTCCTGTATTTTTTTTTATAAAGGCAGAGGCATATAGGTTCAAGCCAAATCTGGCCCAGAAAAAGAGTTCAGACAAAATCCGGTGGGAGCGGAATGGAAGTCCAATTACAAAGAGCGGAGTATGATGAAATCCAAAGTGGTATAAACAGGTGCGCAAAACCGGAAAGACTCTGTTTGGCCTCACGATGTGGAATCGTCGAGGCGAATACCAGTGGAGATCCTTTGAGAGAGACAAGAAGGCGCGTTGAGCTAACCGGTTCCAATCCTTGGTCCAAGTCGGTTCATTCCCTGGGTTCAAAAGGCCTTTTGATAGTGTCGTGATGCCGTTGTATATCTATCAGATTAGTTCAGTGACCTCGCTGATTGAGTATTTGAATCCTGATAGTTGGAGAGTGTGTGCTGTGAGCCGGGAGTGACTATCGATAAAACTGAGTAACCAAGGGCAGACTAGTAAAAACGTTCATTACCTTTTCTTCGTATCTTCTCATAATCGACGCACTTAAGCTATCGAAGTGGTCCCAAAGGCAAGTGTATGATCTCCAGAGGGTGGCCGGTACACGATGGGCTCCATAGGCTTCCAATGGTAAGGTTGTCGAAAGCGCATGATCTGTGGTATCAGTAAGAAGAGTTCCCAGGTCAGTTTTCCATGGAATGTCCAGCGGGAATAGGAAAACAAGGAGCGAGCTGTTGAGGTGGAAATATTCCGTTGAAATGTTCCAATAGCTGGGGATGATTATATACAAACACCTCTCCGTGCTGCCTGGTCCAAACCCAAGCTATTCTCTTTCGATTCCAGTATACCCACCATATGAAATTGTCCAAAGAGAATGTGAACTCGGGTGGTACAGGCCTAACGCAACAAAGAATCCAGGCAGCTAGCCGGCCGAGGGTATAAAAAAGAGCAAACACGGGAGCGCCACAATGGCCTGTATGTATGCTATCACTGATGCACCAAACAGTAGTTCTGCGAAAATTATCAAACATGTCCTTCCTCTCCCTGGAATCCTGGTTCGTAAATGCATTAAAAACAGGCAATTTGAGAATGCCAGATAAGTCCATGGCCTTGTGGTATCCCGGAAGCTTCGATTGTTGCTCCCGTAACTCAGTACATGAGATCAAAAGCTTGAATTCTGAATGATTCATCCTGGGGGTGTAAGAACTCCGGGTATTCAATTCTAGTTCACGTGCTTTTTAAAATCTTCGAGTCTGATATAAAGAGACTGGTGCTGGCTTCACATGGTCTGGAACCATAGAGTATGGAGGAGTCCTGGGCAAATTTCCGGGGAAGGTAATCCGGATGTGCCAGTAAACCTAAGAGAAAAAAAAAGAAAAACGCCAGATAAATGCAACCATTATGGAAAGGCTTGCAGAATGCACAAAATGTCCAGTCAAAACCGAAAGGATATCCTAACGGCGACTCCGGTGGGATGAATGTCTATCTCGTTCCTGGTCTCTTTCACGTTCACCTCTTCTGGCACTTTGATTGGCTGTGGCAGTGGTTGATGGTACCTGGGCGTACTGAGTTGTCTCTGGATAACCTCGATCGTGGCCATCGTCCTGGGGTTCACCATAGGCGCCTGTTGCCGGGACAGCTAAACAGTTAGAGACTTCTCAATTACGAAGGGATGGTTAGAGAAAATTGATTGTTGATTGTACGCACCACGAGGATAGTAGGGTTCTGTCTGCTGTACTCCGTATGGGACTGTCTGACTGGGCTGAGGTGCGGGATAATACAATGGAACGTTACCGCGACTTTCTGCATATGAAGTGGGTGGTTGAGCGGGATAACTTGAGCGGGGAACGGTTTGTCCTGCTGCAGATACCGGTGCACCTCTTTCCGGTTCTCGTGCCACTCCCATGTTACCTCCAACATAGTAATGGTCGGGCTGTGATGGATATCCTTGTGATGGGCCGCCATATCCTGGAGCGGGCTGGTTATAAGCAGACGCTGATGGGTATCCTGAATTGTACATATCCTGTGGAGGTGGTTGGGGCTGTTGGGATTGATATGAGCTTGGAGTAGTCTCAGTAGGGCCATAATACTGTCGAGACTGGTGCGTGGTGGAAGCTCGATATTCCACTACAGGCGTGTTAGATTTTCGAACCATACCGTTCGCGTCTAAAGGTATACCGTTGCTAGGATTTCTTGTAGCTCGTCGCTCAGCATCCCATCGCTCGGAATCTGCCTTGAGATCCGATATCATAGCCTGCGGTTGGAGGTTAAGTCAGTATGGCTCGATGTTGTGTGAGAAGAGTGGCATTACGGTAGTCAGGTTGCGGTACGCATTTATAAAGTATCCAGCCTGGATCTGTCGAGTTTGTGGGTTCTGCCACACGATCAGTTTTGTTGTTCTGCAACAGTTAATGATGGCGCGGAGCACCCACCTCGTAGTTGCCTGGCCGTACGAGAGCGTCGTTTCCTAAATACCGGCAGATGTCGGCGGTGATGACCTCTCTGTCAATGCCATCTTTTGGAACAAAATACTCATTCGTACGGGGGGTAACGGCTGGCGCACGCCTGTCGCGCTCACGGTTGTCCCTGGAAGACATGGTGAAAAGTCCAAATGTGAGAAAAGTATGTGAGAAGGAAAGAGAGTAGGTTCCAGCAACGGAGATGAGGATCAAATGCAAGTCACGCACACCACGTCAGCCTGGGGGAATGCTGGATCAGGGTGTATATGTGGTAGCACGGTCGGGGAAGAGCAGAAAAGGGGACAAAAGGGTGGCAGAAATCCAAGAAGTCCGGTGCGGCGGGGAGCCTTGCTGAACAAATAGTCCTGTAGTGGAGGCAACGCAGGTATTCGCGCTGACGGCGAATAATCCAATCCTGTGGTGGGCTGGCGGTATATCCTATCCTATCCTGAGCTTAGGTCCTCGGGTTTGAGGGGGCTCTAAGTAACGGTCCAATTATCCGGCGACGGTGAGTCCAAACGGAAAAAGTGCAGACTGGGGTATGCAGCACAACAGGTGAGCTGGCCGGCGATGATTGAGCGAGTGGGTGCGGGTAGGAGGAGACAACCTGAGGGCGATGTGTAGGATTGGGGATTGTGTGGCAAGCAGCAACAATGTGTGGTGGTGGCAGAGGGAAGAGGTGAAGGAAGAGGAGGGGGGAAGAGATGCAATGCGTGGATCGGGGATCGTGCAGGGCAGGCACTGGGCCTTTAACCTGTTGGGGTACGAGAGGGGGCTGCTTTAAGCGACCGCGCGGACGGCGTGACGGAACGGAGTTGAGGAGAGATGACGGGTGTCGAGCACACAAGGTTTGATAGTAGAATAGCACTAAGGGGGAGAGGGCTGATATTTGTTTGTTTTGGGGGGTTTGGAGAAAGTTTCTTTTGGGCGTCTGTAGGAAGAGCGGAAGCGAGTCCAGACGAGATGAGGCGTTCACGTTCGGTTCACCGTTCACCACTCCTGAAGATCGACGGTTCTTGGAGGCGCTTTTAACGAGCGAGAAAAGTGGTCTGAGAAGTGGGCGCGAGGAGTTGGCAGTGGAAAGTTGGAAGAGACGGGGAGGGGTACGAGTACTACTGGTACCAAGTAGTTTCGTACGGGATACCGGTAGGGCAGGTGTTGGGTGTTGGGCGTTGTTGGTTGACGTTTTACCACCAACGGTTCGTGAGTCTCGTGCGGTCTGGTGTTGTGCGAGTGCGAGGGGAAGAAAGGCGAGAAGACAAGCAGAACAAAACGTCTGGTCGGGAAATACACGATGTTGGGGATTCCGTCAGTTCTTTTGGTGTTCTCGTGGCAGCTCACGGCCAAGATTCTAGAAGGAATTTGTATTGCAGTCAACAGTAACAGCCTCCGCGCGCTGGCAGATATCACCCTTCTTAAGTTGAATTGTGAACGAGCCTGAGCCAGCACTCGACGAGGGTTCCTAACAGCGAATGCCATTCAACCGTCGTTCTCATTAATTGCCATTCAGGAGCAGCACTCGCATCATCATCACATTCGCCTCACGCATCAGGGTCACCGTCGTCAAATGAACCGGTGGGTCACCAAGACTGGCAGCTCCCTGCTGCTTCTGCTTGCTCCTGCTGCAAATCTGCTGCGTACAACGGTGCCATCATATTGTTGCCAACCGCCAGGAGTAACACTACCACTGTGCCCAGTATTCACCACAACGACTAGAGAGCAGAGCCAGCAGCCGTGGGAGGCCACTACCGTAATCTTGATACGCTATCGATCTCACGACGGGTCAGGTCTCCATATGCGTCCTCGCTGGCGTATGATGTGAGTGCGGAGTAGACCGTCTTTTCTGAGTTCTCACGCTGCTGCTTCTGCAGCCCCAACCGGGACGAAAGAATTGGCTCTCAACTCTCTGCCAAGGATGGAGGGCACTCCCAAAACATCACATCACATCCCCAGCGAGAGTGTCAGTCGAGTAGGTATTCGCTTTGTTAATTGCCTCATTCTCCTTGCACCCAGTTCTGCTTGTGTTTTGTGTCTTGTGGCATCGGCAACCCAAACAATGAAACGACTTGACTTGGTGACAACACCACCCACGTTTCCGAGAGTGCAACTGACGAAAAGATGGCAAAGCAGCCAGAGAAAAAAAAAAGTGTGTGGCAGGCTCAACTGTGTGGCGTGCACCTCGTTGGGCATCCATACATCCATCAAGGCCTAATGCCTAATGCTGCCTGACCCTGACCACCTGCAAGTCCTCGCTACCCTATTCGCTCCACATTTGGGTTCTGCAATGGCCTGGAGCCAAGACTACCCTCACCCTCATCCGATGCGGCTGGAAGGAAGCTCAAAGCCAAACCAACCGCCACACAAATTCAGACTGCGTCATTCCACGCTTCTTCTGGAGCCTTTTAACCCCTCCGCTATCCTCCGAGTCTAATTTGTCTGACTTCGGTCACTCTGGAACCGATCGCATGAATTTCGTTCAACTTTGAACTGTCCGTCTACCTGATTTAGAGAAGAACTATCTTCCGCTCGCATACAGTCTATCTTTATATAAGCCCTCCCATTGGAATATGGAACTTCTCGAATACGTAAGTGGGGAGGCTTCAAAACTCCACTTGAAGTCAAAAGGAATATTGCAGAGAACCTACAGGATGCATTGTCGGATGTAAAGATCCAGGATTGCAGCCGCAATAAGGTACTTTCTGGTATGAACCATACATGGCAGCGCATGAAGTTTGTAAACCATCTGCTACTCAAGGACTCGAGAGCCATCATGTCTCCTCGGTCCATCATCCTTCGTGAAACTTATTGAATGGTAATAACGAGGCTTTCACCTCTTGGTTATCTTGGAGCATCGCAGCGACCCCAGGCATACACCGGATAATTGTGGTAAATTCTTCAAGTTGACGACCAGATGCACTGAGTGAGTCGGTGGCTTTGGAAGAAGAGCGTGTGGCACATTCTCATAGGGGGTTAAAAGTCGGTGAGGCTGCATGAATTGATGTTGATCAATCTAAAGTGCCTCTAAAGCGAATTAGGAGAAGGAAGGGAAATAGTAGGACTCGCAACCAAATCAACCAAACTTAAGTTTGCTTTGCCCTTTCTCGGGCTGACTATGGCGCGCCTTCTTCTTGATTGAAGCTGCGCTAGATTTGTTGTTTGGAAGAATAGCAGAGGGTTTGGAGGCGGGTTGCTTTCGCTCTTCTGCTTCCAAGTCAGTGGCAAAATGCCAGTCTTGATGGTTCTGTAAAGTTTCGGGACACTCGAAAGCTGCGCTACAACGACTACACATGAATTCCGTTGTGCGTTGCTGGTGTAGGGCCGATTTCTCACTCGAGATGGCGGCCTGTTGGTCAAATTTGGTTGCCTCGTCCTCGTGAGACGAGTCGGATGTTGCAGTATCATCCACCTTTGCTGTCTTGCTCTCGATATCAGCCAATGTGTCTATCCCACCGGATAAGTGAGCGCCGAAGTCCTCATCATGCTGCTCCTCTGCGCTGTCCGTCTTGAAGAATCTTCCAATACCAGTGGTGGGAACAACACGTCTTCGCTTCTCCGGCCTAGCCTCGCCAGCATCTGAGTCTCGAGCACTCAAGGCTTTGGCTTCGTCTCCTTTCACAAGGAATGATGCAATCCCCATATTACCAGCCACGCCATCTTCAAATCCACCAACCGCCAGACTAAGATTTGCACAGGGCCATACTTTTCCCTCTAATATGATTTGGCCCAGGAGATTTGTAGCAATTTCAAACAACCCAGCTTCATCAATCTTCCTACCGAGAGAAATTGGTGCTTGCCGAGATTTGGTCTGGCCCCCAGAGCGGTGATGCAGGTTCATGGTCTTTGGTCGTCTCTTGTTTTCAAGGACCCCTTCCTCGACTAATCTGGAATAAATATCCGACACGAAAATACGTAGCCATCGTCTGGCTTGTTCAGCGTCATTGATGCTTGGCCTAAAACTCTTTGCGGACAGCATTGATTTGATCTGCGTGCGAGAGTTGACCTCACTATAAGGGACATGTCAGATTCCAATCAACATATTTGAGAGGAACATTTAAACTCACCTGTGATCATTTCCACGAATAATCTGATAGACCCTTGGAGAAAAGGAACAGTCAGCTTACATCTTTCATGGATAGGGAGCTCTAGATTTTTCAAATCGATGGACAACTCATTCCATGTTTCAAAATAATGAAAATAATTTAATCAAAAGAGTGAATGGATTCTTACCATGTGCCTGTATCATCGCCAAGTTTGTTCTTAAGTTGCTCGATGGAGACAGGAAGTAGATCCTTAACTGTATCAGTATTGAAACTTGAGGTTATCTGCTCTCCTAGCTTGCCTCCGAGCCCTCTGATCTTAGTGAACGTGAAATCAGACAGAAATCGTTGCACGGCGCGGTTTCTGATAACGGTCTGCTGATTCGGCTTCTTGTGTGCAGACCCTAATTTTGCAAGCATCTTATTCTGCGCAATACCAGCGGAGCACGTGTACTTGAGTTTTTCAAAGATATCAGCGCGGACCTGTCGGATGATTTCAGAACCGACCAAAATGGCATAGTCGTCCCAATCGGGATCATCATCTTCTGTCTCCTGAGGATCAAGGTCTACCAGAGCATCGGCCTTCCAGTCAAGTGCTGTAGAAGGAGGTAGTGGTAAGTTCTCGGTAGGATCATCATACGGTGCCGGGCCAGCTAATTCAGGAAAGCGTTCGAGAAGGATCGAGTGGACCTGAGCCGATAGGTCGCAAAAGACTTCATCCACACTCGCCTTCTCAACTCTCTGCATATTGGCTGGCAGACTCTCCTTTATACACGCCAATATCCTCCGGGACTCCAATCTATATGAATCCAGCGAGACTTTATGCGTCGAAATATTCTTTTCCGCATCTGGGTGATACGCCCACTTCGATTCTCCTTCTTTCCAAGTCGCAACATGCTGGCATATCAAATTCGGACATTGCTTCTTCGCTTCCGTGATAGTAACATGTCTATTGAGACCGAATTTTCTTGCGGGGTAATTAATCGCGATTAAACCTTGCCTAGATCAAGTGTGAGCTTTGTGGCCTGAGTATCCAGTCCTAGGAAGCAGAAGGTCCTTACCATTGTTGGACCGCCAAAGGCTGGTCTTCCGCAACACCCAAGCGCACCATTTCGCATTGCGCGTAAAAAGCATCCAGATCTGCGTGTGCGATAACTCTGAGAGGGCAAGAAACGGAAGATAAAGCGAGTTGTGCAAGGTGCCTGTAGGTGAATCGCGATTTCTTTTGACGACCTCCGCTCGCAGAGAGCGGCGACGATGCTTGGAAAGGCTGTGAGGAAGACATGTTCGACTCACGATTCGCTATCGATCAACAGTATCAAGCATACTGATTCTGGATTGCAAATGCCAATGTGGTTGGTTGTGCTTGAGGTGCAGGAGAGGAGAGGTGGGGTTTGTAATAAGACGTCGCGAGTGACGCCCTTCAAGGGGTGTTGCGCTGGTTCTTGGCAGTCACGAAGTCAGGTGCCGTTTTGGCATACATAAAGTACTGGCTGAGGAATACTAGTATATTTCACTCAACGCAAAGTTAATAGGAGCTTCGCTTAGAAAACTATGTATCAAAGTACCTCGTACCATCCATCTGATCTACTCTTATTCTTATATAGTTGTATGATTATGTTACTTTAATTTATTTAGTGTCACAAGTTCCGCCATACCTCTTCCGTTGGCATGCGTATGGTTGGTTCATCTTTTTGTTAATTTGTTTTGGATTAGGATAGCATATCTTTTGGTTGTTCGAGACTTTTGGAGTAACTATGATCTGTCCTAAGAGACTAGAGACAATCCAATTCACTACTGCCCTGCCGATGTCTGATCAGAGAGGATCAACTACTATCTTCATCTTCGAACCCATTCATTCTCGTCCTATTCCGACACAACGCAAGCATAAATAATTCTCATACACATCTATCTTATTATCTTTCTATCTGCGTTTTTCATATTTCAGATAATCATATCCACAATATACAATGTCAAGATCAGACACATGCTGTTAAGGTTCCCCACGGGTACTAGTGTTCCGTCGAAAATATTGATGCTCAAATGCAATACAACATGGTCACATCTCCTTCCCGATACCCATCAAGCAAAGATACGAAAGATACGGAGATACTGAATTTACCGTGATCTGGTTCCCGCAACCAGGTTTGATGTTGGTGGCGGCATGCAAGTGATAAGGCGTGTGCTCCTGCCGTATGGATGCATGATTCCGTGCCACATGAATTGAGTTTGTTTAGATAGACATGTCTCACAGACATTTATCACTAAAACCTATTGATCGATTACGAAGGGACATTTGCACATCGGATGTATTTAAATCTGATATACTTGAAAGATGAAAAGAGAAATAGCTCATGGCGGCGAGAATTGAGACTGCTGGGCAGAGGAGAAACGAGACGATATTCCACAGAGGGCATCACGCGACAGGAAGAGAAGAATGCACTACACATACAGTATCCAATCTCCTCTGCAGAGCTGTTCCAGAACTGAATCGCACCGCATCCTGATAAGCGGTTTCTCCGCGTTTACTTATCAAAAAGGTCGAAGTGCGTGCAAAAGGGAACCATTATCGATGCAGGTGGACGGTTTGGGGATTACTAGAGCCGTGATATGAATTTCCACTTCTGATTTGGAACACCCCGCAAAATCGCGAGAAAAGATGGTGTGAGGTGCTTGCAGATCTGAGGGCATGTTTTAGCCATGTCTTCAAAAGAGACTTCGATACATGTCGTTTCCCACATCATCTGATTCCTCGACTATGATAACTAGACGAAGTCTCTTCATTGATTTCTCATTCCTGTAAGCACTTTAAGCTGTCTTTTGAATCTCGGGTTTAAAGGCGTTGCCACCGCCCTTGTCTTGTACTTGCTCCAAGAAAGTGCTCGAAATATCATCCATAACTTACAAGAGTCATCAAGGGTTGGAGTCGCTACGTCGAAAGCAGGTCGGAAAGAGTGTTGTAACCCAATCTTCTGTGCATTTTCTCTCTGGAGTAGGCTCAGCCTTATGCGGTGAACTGCGGAAGGCAAGGTATGGCAACACTTCTAAGGGTCACACCAACACACGATTTCCCACTGAAGGAGCGAGGCTAATCCAATACTTTAATCAGTATTACAACGGGTCAACAATGGTTCCACCGGGCCCCAACCTTAAATTTCGAGGCAATTCGAAAGTGACCAAGAACCGGAAGTGGCCGAGCCACAAAATCGACAACGTGCGATTGATCGTTATCAAGTCATCTGGTACGTTGAGTACCTTGGATAACCTCTGTTGTACTTCGCCCCCGCCCGAGATATACAAGAATTTCAACTTTGACTCTTCTTCGGTATCAAATTTCCGACCATCGTTGCTTTGACGGAAGAGACCACGGGCGATGACGGAATGTAGTCCACTAGGTACAGTACATCTGACCTAAGCCTACATCTCTACTCCAGCCTTGTAATCTGCAATTTGGAAATCGACTTCGACGTAACGCGTTGCTCGTCTCCATTATGTTGCTCTTCCATATCCAGGGGCGAGTTGGATTGTCATGTCTTATGCAGGACTACTAGGTTCAGCGGTTGTTTTTGTACTATGGAAATCGGATATTACGCATAGGCATGGAGATTATGATCCCAGGATGATGGCAGCCTCGTCACCTCTCTCCTGGTCGCCTAATGATCTTTCCTGGAGACCCCGACGGAATTCGAAGACTGGATTAGCAAGCAATAGGAGAAAGCGCGACCGGAGGCTTAAACGGTGATGCCCAAAAATCCCAAAACTATGCCACAGTGATGCCACACATCTCAGCTCTAGGAAGGGGCAAATACTTCCAAAGTAGTTGGATTCTTGGTGGCGAGAGAATGAGGCTGTTATATCCCCCCCAAAGACCGTTTTTAACGCCATATTCCTTTTGACCTGGGAATTCCCTTTCTAAGCACTGCCCGAATCTAATTATCGCAAGCACTTTTGTAGCGAAACAAAACTCGCCTGGTCAGCTTGGAGCCCTATGGTGATGATGTATACCTCGCCTCCAACCTCCGATGTCCGGTTGACAGCTTTAATCGTCGCCCTTCGCTCGGGTTTGGCAATAGCGCGGTGTTTTCAGGCACAACGGCAACAAATTGACAATCAAGATCTGACACTCCTTGATGGATCCATGGAACCTTCGGTGACGATTGAAGAGTATAGTCCAGGCATGACGAAAGATTGTCCATGGGAAGGAAAGTGGATATACTTCAACGCCCTGAAAAGGCGCCGAAGGAGTCAAATCGAGGTTCAGGAGCCCGTGATGGAGAGAAGAGACCGGTTTTATTTGCGTATATAGCCAGCCGATGTCTTGCTCTTTGTAAATGGAAAAGGCCATCAACAAGAACGCATCCACAAAGAAGCGGTCCCACACCACCATATCACCTTTCCATTACTTAATTGCTCCCTTACTCCATTGCTCCATTTCTGCATTGAAACTTTGCTCAGAAACACCATACAGTCTGTGCAGAAGAGCCCGGCCTATCGCGCTAAGAATTGGGAGTACTGGTAGTTGCCCAACGAATTTGCACTACTTTCCATATGAAAGAGAAAACAGGGTGAGGAACTTTTACAAGTCCAATGCGGCTTTTGCTGACCTATCATAGATCAACATGGATCGAGGCGCTTCTATGAGAGGCTGGTGGAGGTGCTGCCAATGCTACCGCGAGGTCAATCCAAGCATATGGGGATACAATTGTCCAGATTGTGCCCATGCCAAATGCGATTGCTGTACATCGTATCCATAAGCGCTATTCAGAAGAAGAGCACTTGCACAATCTTAGACGCAGATATGGGTGGTGTCCATGCTTAGAATTTGGCGGGAATGACGATTCAGTCTGCCATGCCATATGCTTCCCTGGATAGCAATTGGAAAACTGAAGGCTGTCCAGTGCTGTAATTTCCCGCCATAGAGAAAAGTGTTGCAATCATCGGTATCGTACTCGTACTCTGCAATTTTTGTGGAGTGTTGAGTAGTACTGGGTAATAGAGGAGGATGAGGTGTTTCTTCGTTTCGATTGGTCCTTGGGCTCGGTTTTTTTCGTCACTTTTGAGTCTTGCCGTTGAGGTCTTTTGCTTTCCTTCCTTCATTCTTTTTCTTTCAAATCCGCATTGGCTTGATCCAATCTGCATATCCTGTTCTCTTTCATAATGTTTGATTGTTTGTCGGCATAAGAGGGTGGATTTCCATGATTGGATTGCTTTCTTTTGTTTTGCGTTTAGACTTTTACTTCGTCTCAATCTTATTATTTTCAAATCCCAATTGTCACAGCAGCACACTTGTAAACTGAGATGGTGGAAACATCATCAACACCTTCTTTGTGCCATGCAAGGCTTTGCTTCGATTTGAGTTGCAAGCTCATACCATATAAAAAAATTCGTGGTTCCGGTGGAATAACAGACACACGAAAAATATGACATGCCTTGCAACTACAATCAGAAAGCCGCAAAGAGAACGGTTGAGTACCTAAGCGCTATGTCAGCAGCATTCTTGGTTGATAAGTAATCAATTTTGACGGAAGCTTGCGAATGATAATCAGGGCAATTGGTGTTGGGTAGTCTCATGGCCTGGTCGCCCAGGCTCTGAAGTAGCAAATACAATGGTTGCAAAACATCATGTGAAATTCGCATGCTTGATAGCCAAAAGAAGAATGTTGCCTCATACCTTGATAGTCCGGAATATCCCATGTTCTTGTGGGAACAGGCTTACTCGTCCTGTGGCTCGAAAAAGTCCATATGCCATTCCACTTGCCGCTACGGCCGCTTATGGCTATTGACCTTGAAGGCCAGGCCATTCGTGAAGGAGCCATCCCTCAAATGGTCAACAAAGTACGATGGGGTTGTGCAGACGATGCTCATAGTTGCTGAACACTGCCAGACAAACCCAAGAATATCGTATCCACAGCCTCGTATGCCCAAGTTTGCTGGTTTGGTTTGGGGGTCGAGGATCGAGGATCGAAGCTCGGGGCTCGGGGAAGCGATGTGCCAATATGTTGATCAGTGACTGTTTGTATGTTGCGGCATATGGTATCTGTATCATATTCTCCGCTTATGAGTATTGGAAGGTACCGGCTTTCTCTTCCCTTTCACCTTCTTTTCATCTATTCTGTCATGTCTCTTACAAACAAGCTAGTGAGTGAACGCACACAATTTGAAGGAGAACGCAGGCAGAAGTCCCTTTGCCTCAGAGGCATATATTCGAAGGTTTGTCTGCAGTCCGCGGCGTTCAAGACTCCGATGGCAGAAAATGCCATTGCACGCTCAGCGCCATGGGGACCATGTTGTTTGAAGATATGTGCAACCAGAAGAGCAAACAGGATGAGGTTATCTGGTTGTTTTTTGTTGGGTCTTCCGATGTTGGTCTTTCCAATGCTATGGTTCAGACGAAGTGGTGTTGAGGAGGTGGAAAGGAAGTTGCAGCCAGGACTTTTCCAGCTAGGCTCCCAGCAGCACTATGGTCGGTTAGGGGTCCGGGCCAATTGCCCCTGGTGACCTGACCCGACCCTTTCGGGCTATAATATAATAGGAGATCCAAACTCTTAATACGGTAGTAGAAGTTTGTCAGCATACTCCTTCCCAATCAATATACTAGAAAATACTTTTTGAGACACTAGCGTCCAAAAGTAGCCTCAATATCTTACAATTAGGAGCAGTGAAAGAATGCTTCCTTCGGAACCTACGGAGTATATATCCGGCCTCGAATGATACCTTTGATGCGTTGGTCACAGAATTCTCACCCCTTTACTGTTTTCAAGAAAGATCACCGAATTTCAGCCTGCCTAGGTGGGAGAGGTGGCTAATTAGTACGCTTTTGAGGGTGGTCAAAACTAGCTGTAGCCTAGTAGTTGCTAGACACAAATGAGATTACAATGGACATTGCCAAATTGGTCTTAGTAACAACATCACAGCTCATTCGTTGACTACTTTGTGTGACACTACATATATACTGGGCCGCAAAGTCTACGCTCCTGAATCGTCACTTGGAGAGTGACTAGAACAAGGACTGTAACAAAGTCTCTTAGTGATCTCATTAACACTTAATTTCTGCCAGCCCATTCATTCTTATCCGTTATCCTCTAACCTGCACCAACCACAGGTCAAGGTAGTACCCAGAACGTATGTACACAGAAAACATTACGGATTCGCTACAACCAATATTAAAAAGTTCCTCTGTGCCGAATATACCTCATTATGGCAATCTCATTATCGAGCATTCCCATTGATAGTCCCGAGTTGAACCTGCTGTTGGGTATTGTCTGTGTTTGATGTCTGTTGTGGTGGAACAAAATTGCCCGCATAGGAATATGTGTGTTCCATAAGCCCATTCCTTTCTCTAATATGTTTCACAGCGTTTCCAAGAGTGAATTGGCTTTCTGGGTCCTCGTGAATAGAACAAGGACTTGTTGTGGGTAGAAACCAATCTATAACACTACTCCCCATCACAGTTTTGAAATTGGCAACGTAGCTACCCAAATCCCAGGGATTTTCGCCCTCTGCGGTCGTCAAAATAGCGAAGGTTCTAGTAGCCATGCGGTCCCTTGATGTTTGCGCCTGTACAGGGCAAGAGCTATTGTGAGGCTGTACGGCTGAAGTAGCTGTATGTGAGGAGTCGGGTAGAGTATTGGGCATAGAGACCACCACGACTGGAGGAGTTGTAGAAGCTGATTGCAATTGATTTGAAGCGTGATCTCCCTGCTCTGTGGTGGATCCCAGTAGAACAGAAGAATTTCCATTTTGGCTCAACCCATCTGGCACAGGCTTCCTGACCATAAGAGACATTTGATAATCATCTAGTGGATAAGTGACTTCACGGTAGTATGAGCTCCGGGTTCGGCAATGACTTGGTTTCTTGATGGCGAAGACATGGACCTTGTAATGTGCAGAAAGCTTTTCAACCGCTGTCAAGTTTTTCAATGCAAGATCACAGGAATTAACTGTCAGACTCCCTGTGAACAGCATAAAGAACCCAGCACTATAGACAAGCAGAGTTAGGACTGTTCTAAAAAATAGACAGGGTGAGTACCTACAGAGCTATGATGGCCACAAATTGTTTGTTGAGTTTTTCAGTCTAGGATTTAAATCAGTAACTATTTAGCAAGACTTCTTGGTACTGTAGTAGCAGGGTGTTGTTACCTTTGAAGCTCTCTGGCGAGATACGTAAAATGACATAACTATCAGAATATGAAGGCAGTACAAAGCCGTCCAGAATGTATATTGAATGAAAAATTTGAAGTTGTTTTCGCCAATAGGGCCTCCCACCCTAAAGTAAAAATATTAGGAAATAATTAACGGAGAAGGATATTGATAGAGGTACAGTAACATACCACGGACAAAAGTGATCCATTTTCTTGATGCAACGTCCAGATGCCCTGTCGTGATGGGTTCTGTCTGGTTTCCACTAATAAGAAATAATTAACAACCCTGATCCTATATCTTTGAACAATTTGAACCCTTACATTTTTGCATTGTACACACCAAATGGGACGACCATCACCTTCGCTCACAAAAACATCCTTTGTATAAAACAACTCAAGACCTGGGGAATTTGGATCGTCTTTGCCCCCTTTTTCCGTCATTTGATATTCGCCTGCTCCTAAACCATCTTCCTCAGACTGGCTATTGCCCTTGTCGTTCAAATGTTCTCGTTCGCGAATGGCAGCAGGACCAAGCGGCACATATGGAGGGTTGAAAGTAGTTATTAGAAACAATCGTAGCCATGAAACAGTCATCAAAATTAGTAAGATGGAGTATACGACAATAATGGCAATAGCGCTTCCTTTTACGCCATGGTCGCGAAGCAAATAGTCCACTAGCAGAAGGTCAGTTGAGTGTTTTCTCAGACTTCAGCATATCAGCTTACCACAGAGCAGCCCAATGGTTACGTAGGTAGTGTAGACAACCACTCCAAAGAGTATCAGAGGAATGATTCTAGCGGTCCAGATATTGATGATCTGCTCCCGCGCGCGCCGATCTTTCATTGCAATGCCATGGAGCTGTAGAAGCAGGTCGTCTGCTAGAATGGATAGAGTAGTGTTAACTCAGGTGAATGCTGTAGATTGGTGCAATACTGGTCGGTACATATTAGTTTGACGCGGTGTTGTGTTTTGTCAAGGAATTGGCAAATTGTTGTTATCAATGAGGGAGTCAGCCGAGCTGAAGTGGATTTGGAAATGCGATGATAAAAATAGTAACGGCCAATTAAAACCCATGTTTTTGACCTCGGTTGCTGACAAATCAACTTTAAGACTTTTCACAGAGGCATGATCAGCGCATCTGCACTCCACTTGAACCTTAAGTTACACCCCAATCCACTGCCGCGTTGGCAACACCAGAATCATTCAGGGTATTTTTCTTTCTCATTCAGCCCTCATCGCATGAAGGATGGTGAACAACCACGAAGAAAGTGTTCTACGAGCCATGTCCAGGTACGAAGTAGATTCAGATACTGAGTGATAGGGCTCCACTTCAGTCTAGCTCTTTATGGCGCGCAGACTTGCCCAGCTGCCCAAAGAGGAGAGGTAGACCACTCCAAACATTTCTCCTGCTCCGTACCACAGACACGAAAACATCCTCTTCTTGGCCTCACTATGATTGAATCCTGTGGGCGATGGGAGGTATTGCACAGTTGCCCGCATAAAAAGCGGTCATCGCTCCTCAACCAAACCTCAAACGATTGCCGCGATTGATTAACACGGAATCGGCTACTTGAATTTTCTTGATACAGGAAAGTGCAATGTCTCGGTCTCTTTGTAGAAAGATATTGAGCTTCGAAGTCTGAGCAACAAACCGAAGCCTGGACAAAAAGCCAACGGGCAAGAACGTTTAGTTTACAACAAATCAACGATGCGTTGCCGACGAGAACGTGGTACTGTGGGCAAGAATAGGTTCGTGGTCTCTTTTCAGTACATCCCTTAGGCTTCGGTTCATGAGGTTGCCTTGGCTCTAGTATTTCTAGCGAGGCACGATACGCTCTTCGCATCTTGTTGTTTTCTACACCACCATAGGGCCATTCTCCTGCGAACAGGGTCCGAAAGACAATCTGGTTGATCTTGGCTCGCCATCAGCCAATTTCGTTGGAGAGTCGCCTACATTGGTACTTGCAAGGCTTACTACAGTGGTAATGGAATGGGCAGTGCACAGGGGCGTTATGTGGGTGAGGCTACACAAACACATGGGTTCCATATGGCTTCAGAGCCTCATTCTTGTAACAATCCAATCATTACGGACCCACTATCTACACTCGTTCACTTTTTTTCTCATAGCATTCTTTTCCAACATATTTTGCCATTTTGTCCCTAGTCAAATTTTGCCCGGAAATCAGTCATACTTTCCGCCTCGGTAGCTGCAATGTCTTACATCAGATATTCGGTTGCATCCACCACTCTGAGTCTCCATGTAGCTCTTATTCCTTGGACTGAAATTGCCTAAACTTAATGTAGGTAGGGCAAACAAAGAAAGTGGATTTCAATTTTCCCAACTTTCACCCTAGTCATTCTAGGTACCTGGTAGTATTACATCGTTTCTTGCCTCACCGAACTTCCAGGCATCAGAATTAATCCGCGTCCCAGTCACAATCACTGAGTCGTTGAACGTTCCTGCTCGCCCCCTTCTGCCCTTACCATAATCTGCCAGTCGAGACTTGTAGCTCAGCCTACAATGTCACACCTTTCGAAAATCTTCATGACCGAAAAACGTTCCTCTAATTTGTCCTCATCGAATCCTTCATCATCATCAAACCATTCGGCACTAATGATTTTGAAGGCTGCTCAGCCATGTTTTGTCTTATCTGCGAATTTCTTTACTAAGTTTCGACCACAAAGTTCCGCTGGCCATAGCCCCATATGAATTGGAACAGGAGGCCTTTTGGGCGGAAGGGCGAATTTGTGGATTCAGAAACTAGCAAATGCCCATGAGATACTCGAGTCTTCATGCTCCCGCTGTTCAGCAATTCAAATCTTTTTTATATACCTTGGTCTTGATGCCAACTTTTGTAAGTATTTTCAAAGCCTATCCATCTCACAATCAAGAGCTCTTGCCTTTTCTTCAATACTACCACTCAGTTCGTACCCGAAGAACTCTACCAAAAGATCACATTTAGATCTCCATCATGGGTAGTGGCAGCGGCTCATCGTCTTCCAAACATGGATCTTCCAGGCATGGGTCCTCCAAACATGGAGGCTCCAGGCATGGGAACTCTAGCAAATCTCACAGCAAGAAAGAAGTAGTCTATGAGCAACTCTGGTACTGTTGTCAATGCTGTACGGTCTTGCCATTCTTCTCCTCACTTCAGATATCTTCCTTCCTATCAATATCGAGTACTTACACATCTACAGCAAACCCCACAGGCATGTCCAAGGACACAGATTTTTGCACCGAGTTTCAATGCAGAAGTCAGAGATGCTCTGATTGTACATGGGAGACACACGAATTTACAGTTGGGCGTTGAGAGATCGTATGTAGGTCCCCAGGTTTGCAAACTCAGTGGCATGATTGCTATACGCAGAACCTGAAAGGCAAAGACGCAGTGTGGCTAGTAGACCTTGTGGTATACATGGAATCATAAGTCCTCGAGGAATGGGCTACCCAATATGCCCCCACATGTTATCCTAATCAGTGATTTGCTTGAACTGCTAATATTTTCATGAAGGCAATTGGTCACATTTCCACTTGTTCCAGGTTGAAGACACATGAGATGCTTTACAGATAGCTATCTCAATGATCTTTTCTCGTGTGGCTTTTTCTTGAAGCCTGCTGATGTACAGATTGTCGCCCAGTCTACACTGAGTCGTTCCCGCATCGGAAAAGATTCGCCAAATCGTCCTCGATTCCATCAAGTCCTATATTATTCTTCCCACAAGGAAGCTGGGGAGCCTTGTCAGATCCATGGCAAAAGCTGTAATGACTCTCGTAGCAACATTTATGTTCCGAAAGGTTCCAGGAATCAGGCGCGAGGCTACCAGTGTCGTGACCACTGCCTAGACCGAGCTTGTTTGCGGCTCTGCGTCTTCGACGACATATAAAGCCTGCGCGCAAATTACTACACCCTTTAGGTATTTCTTTTGGTCTGATTGTGCTTCATGTCCGATCTCTTACTGTAAGAGTCGGGGCCTTAGAAAGATGGGCACCATTACCTTGTCGAACTCACCGTCACATCATATTCATCACCAACCGAAGGACTTTCAGAGTTGTGCTGTCATCGCGGAAAGCATGAAGAAACTTTGTCAAAAATGCCTCGATATGGCGATTTTATGCAGGCAATCCAAGCAAGCAAATCAACGAGGGCGAAAATCATCCCGATACAAGAACTCTGGACACTTCAATTCGATTTCTTATCTTTTCTTGTCAATTGGGTGAGGTTAGAAAGAGGATACTGTAAATCAGGTTTGATATGTCTTCCTATGGACATGTATCAGCAAAGCGCACTACCCTGTCGATGCAACTAGGGTAAGCATCAAAGTACTTTGTAACAGCTCCAAGCCCAAAGTAAGAGCCTCGCTAACCATATATTAGTTTCCATAATTTACAAGAAGATTTATAAAGCACGTAGCCATAGTCCGCTTGCAAATGGCGTTGTTTATTCAAAAGCACCCACTAAGGTCACGTGCACAACTTGGAAGTGGCCATCTTCGAGTGCGAACACTTTCCCCTGTCGACGTCTCTGGTTCTTGTCCTTGATCAAAAGCACTTGGAATATTAGTGCTTCTCTATTAATTCCTTAGGCAGTAACTACAACCTCCCAAAAATGTGGGAAGTGCTTTTTGGTCCTCGCCCGCCGGGTGGCTCAGCATTTCTATCAAGGCGGGCACCAGTCAACTCCATCCTCGCCCTGATTTTCAGCCTCATTTTTTTTTCGAAGTCCAAAGGTTGTGATATATGAGAAGCACCATTCCAATTCTTGACCGAAATTCCTAAAGAGCCTATGTGTTGGTACTTTTGGTGAGAGACTCCACTTTCGTGGTTACTGGTCACGCCCGATGACTTCAAAACCAAATCAAACCAAATTCTTCCTGCATGAAAGAACTCTCCGAATATCTTCATCTAGGATTCTACCATAAACAATGGTCTGACTTGCGGAGTCACCATTGTGTATACTTCCAAATCCAATTCATTGGTAAAAGGGGGGTTGAATTCAGGGTCTTAACCTGCTTCCCTTTTGGTCACCGAAGCTCAGTCATACCTGGATCCGCAATCGAACGCAATCTGTTCACGCTAATATAGTGTTATCAATAATAAGGGGACATATTGGAAGGCAGAAAGCTTTGCAACCAGGGCTCACTGATCTCGAATGTTTACGCCTGGGATGCCAGTCAGATAATCAGGATGGACTGGTGCCCTAAGAAGGCTGTTCCTATGGACCAACGCGAAGATGGCTGTGCTAGCGCTGGTGAACGTCCTCGATGAACGCCCTCGATGAACGTCCTCTAGGTGAATATAAGAACCCGAAGTGCCTCAGTCTTGGTTCCAAATTCATCATCACGACTCACTTCTTTCTTTGAGCAGCTCATAATATACAACTCTCGATTCACCATCAATAACTCCTTACAAACCCAGTAAAATCCCTTAAACAGTTATCATGGCACACGGCCACCACCACAGCAGCGGCGGCAAAAAGTCGTCACACAGCAGTGGCGGCGGAAAAAACTCGAGCGGCAGTAGTAAAGGCCGGGCTGAAGAGAGAGTAGAATGGTTCTGGTTCTGCGATAACTGCAGGTCAAGCCACGGGTTATCACAGTATACGGACTTCTGCCCGGAGTACAATTGCGGGCACCAGAGATGCGAAGGATGTACCTGGGAATCCCAGAAGGTTCGAGGAACCCGCTGAGGTTTGGTGAGAAATTTCCCTCCAAAGATAAATCGAATTATTTCTAAATGTGTGGGTATAGCTCCGTTCGTATATATGACAACCACTTTCCTTGTACCTGTTCGGCGTTCAAAAACCAGATGGGAACTTTGAGGAAGGAGCGCTTTTTTGATCCAGTTCCGCCTGTAATCAGTTCAGATTTGCTCGTCCGTTGCATCATATCTCGGGGTTTTAGATGGAGTTTGGATATACCCAAGCAACTCCAGGGGCTCACAGCACCCGGCATGGCTTGATTGTTTTGATCGTTACTTGGAGTCACATTTTGGGGATTTCTGGAATTTCGAGCTTTCTTATTGGAATGTGCTATTTTTGGGAACGGTCTTTCCTCTAGATTGGGTTTGAGTTTGCCTTGCTTTTGTACTATACTGTCTTTCTTTCCTTCTTTCTTTGGATTTAACAATTCACATTATCAATTACTCATGCCCATTTCCGTAAGCAACCTTTCATTGCATATTGTAATGATTGCGATCATTGTTCGCAGAATCTTTTATTTTATGGTTTCCTTCATTTTCGTTTCACGAATATCAAAATACCTCAACCCGAAATTCGCCATTATCTTAGATTTCGCAGCAATCTCTTTCGAGATAAACAAAAGTTTGCCAAATGAGGCATATGAAGCTATTCACAAATTGCCGTTATACTTCGGAAGACCAGGCCGAATAAGCCCCCAGGATTAACAACCTAAAATCCGGAGAAGTAAGCTCTGGTAGTCAGAGACATACATAAACTGACTCCATCCTGGCCTTGTCATACCTGCAGGCTGAAATTGATGCCCAACGCTTCTGGAAAAGAGCCTCTTCCTCACTCACAAATTGGGCAGCGTTTAATATCCATATGCAATAAGAGGATGGATGGATGGTTCGCAAGAATCCGCAGTCATGATGTGCCTTGGCACTAGACAGCCTGTGCTTACTCTGATCCGAGCAAATCAATTACGAGGATACAATGAGTCGAACTCTTTTGGAACCACCATTGTCGAGCTATACTTAGTTAACTCACCAGTTTAATCATGCCCCTTTTCTTGTCTGGAAGCTGGAACTTGCAGCATCCAGTGACCAAAGGTGGACCCAGTCCCGAACACCCATTGCATCGGTGTTGCTATGCAGCCCTGCAGAGCCGCAAGATTATGTATGGGAGCCCACATGTCATTGAGCCGCGTCGCTATATATTGATGCCGTGAACGCGACCCTATTCGCTGGACTACGAACTACTCTTTATTGCAAGGAAGCTTGGTCAGACCGAGACTACTTAATAAGCCATGCGAGAACAAGTACCAAGGGAAGATCAAAAGGCGATACCAATTCCTGGGTTGCCTTCTTTGACATCGTGCTGAGGACCAATCAATCGCCCCAAGGCAGCAATCCAGACGACCGCCTTAGGTAGTTAGTTCTTGGCTTCCCTTCGGAGTCGACCGATGCTGGTGAACTTTGATGCAATATATCATCATACTGGAATCTCAAGTAGTTGGGGGAGTATCAATGGAAGATGAAGGATCAAAGAGGTGAGGTTGGTTGATTGAGGCTCTTCATATCTTGGCAACAAGCCCTGCGCCTCCTTTAACCATCCTTCGTCGGCACTCTCAGCCGGGGGATTTCAACCGTCTTATGTCACATTCACTCGGATGAACAATGCCGAGTGCACCGATTGAACTTCCAATGAACGATAATCCGGAGCCTCAAATCTGTCGTAGCCGGGTTGGTGGATTATCCTTCGTATCTTTCCCCACAGAATCCTATGATTCAAGATACCATAACGGAAGCCTCCCATCCAGGCTTTTTATCTAAAAGGTTCAAGTAAGCCTTATGTTATTTGGGTCAGCGATCCTTCAAAGTTGCTTCTCGTCTTTTTCTGATCACTCCATACTCCTCTTTTTTTCAGCCAAACCCTGCGGGCTTGTATGATTTTGGGGGCCATATGAATGACCAAGCCTTGTTTCATATGAAAAGGGCCGGGCCTTTAGACAAATATAGCCACTTTAGGATGGGAGGATTGGAGTATTTTCCGCTTCTGTACGTCTTGTAGACTGAAAAGGGGAAATGCGAGTATGACAGAGCATGTGACGTTGTATTTGGTTCACGCTTGCAGTTGTGCCATCCCATGAAGGATAGTGTTTCACTGCAATTATTTTAATGCCTTGTTTGTACTTCGGAATGCCCGTTAAATTGTTTTTGATAAGCTAGTAACATGGGACTGGTTCTTAATCTCAGTCAGGTGGGTGTTTATTATCACGTGACTAGCACCATACAGCCAACGAACGCTCGCTTATAGATATAAGTGGGGTCTTACATAGATAAATCATTGAAATTTATTTTCTCACAGCTATAATCAAAATTCGAAGATGCACGATGCTGGCCATATTATTGTTGATTTACAACACATCTGGATGTTCAATTAAGATTAACGTGGTTTATCAGCGAGTCGATCATATCACCGAGTCGATCACTTTTCCTTGGCACTACCTCCTCAAACTTCAACACACGTTTTCTTCAACTATTTACCATGGAAATTCAAACTCAAGAAGCGCGAATTACTCTAGCTATCGAGGCTATTCGGTCGTCCAAAAAACTAAGCAAACGCTCTGCGGCAAAGATCTACAATGTACCATATACGACTCTTTCCGACAGAATGGCTGGCCGAACCTACCGCCCAGATTCTCAAGCCAATTGTCATAAGTTGACTGAGTTAGAAGAGGAAGTGATTATTCGGTATATACTGGATATGGATTCCAGAGGATTTGCGCCCCGGCTCGCTGGTGTAGAAGATATGGCTAATTTTATCCTTGAATCGCGGGGGGGAAGACGCGTCGGCAAGCTCTGGGCCCATCGATTCGTACAACGACAACCAGACCTTAAGACGCGTTTTAATCGCGTTTACGACTTCCAGAGGGCCTTATGCGAAGATCCTGACGTGCTAGGCGCATGGTTCCGGCTAGTAGAGAATATGAGGGCGAAATATGGGGTTACAGACTCCGACTTCTACAACTTCGACGAGACAGGCTTTATGATGGGTGTTATTTGTCCTAGAATGGTTGTTACTCGTGCAGACCGACGTGGTAGAGGCAAGGCAGTTCAGCCAGGCAATCGGGAATGGGCTACAGCAATTGCCTGTATTAATGGGGAGGGCTGGAGTATTCCTCCATTCTTGGTAGTTCAGGGCAAGAACCATCTCTCCAACTGGTATACCGACGGCGGCCTCCCACCTAACTGGGTTATGAAACCGACAAGCAATGGTTGGACAAATAATGAAACAGGCCTGGAATGGTTAAAGCACTTTGATAAACACACTACAGCTCGTGCAAAGGGTCTGTATCGAATACTAGTTTTGGATGGGCACGAGAGTCATGAATCGGCTGAGTTCCAAGACTACTGTACGAAACACAACATTATTACTCTTGGACTACCTCCTCATTCATCCCATCTAACCCAGCCACTTGATGTTGGGTGCTATAGTGTGTTAAAACGAGCGTATGGTCGGCAGATTGAGACGTTTATCAAGGCCCATATCAACCATATTACAAAGGTTGAGTTCTTTCTAGCCTTTACAGCAGCATACAAGGAAACAATGACAGTCCTAAACTGTCAGTCTGGATTCCGCGGAGCTGGCCTAGTACCATTTAACCCGCAAGCAGTGCTTTCAAAGCTTGACGTAAGGTTACGGACTCCAACTCCCCCTCGGACGTGTAGTGCCAACTCCCTCCCCTGGGTGTCCCAGACCCCTTCCAACCCAACTGAAGCCCTTTCACAATCAACTCTTGTACGAAATCGTATAGCCTGTCATCAAGGAAGCTCGCCAACTCCACTTTTTCAAACAGTTGCTGCGTTAGCAAAGGGTACAGAGCGAATGGCACATGAGATGACCCTTTTGTCTGCTGAGGTCCGTACCCTTCGCGCTGCAAATGAAGCCCTAAGTAAACGCCGTAGGGCTAAAAAGACTCGTGTCCGCCAAGGAGGGGCACTTATAGTAGAGGATGTACAGGATATGTTAGCTCAGGAGGATGTAGATGAGCAAGTACGACGCGACATGCGTGAGGCGGGGGTTGGTTATAAGGAGGGGCAACCTTCTAGGCGGCGCTGTAGAACTTGTGGAAAAGCTGGTCATAACGCGCGAACTTGTCAAGAAGTTATAGATATATCTAGTTCGTCAGATATAGAGAGCGATAATCAATTTAATATATTGTGGTTGATTTATTTAGGTGTAAAGTTCTGTGCCAAGAAAAAGTGATCGACTCGGTGATATGATCGACTCGCTGATAAACCACGTTAAGCTTAACCATAAAACTACGTGTATACCAAATCCACCGCAACAATCTCTTGGCGCATGTGGTTGCTAAGTGCGATTCGTTGGGCGCCACAATCATTCGTATCTTACAATGTTCGATCGCAGATTACATACCTTAAAACAACGACTTCTCCAGATCCCAAGATAGTTATCAAGGTATTGCTTGGATATGCTTTGAGTTGTTAGTGTTTTGAAGTCTTTCAAGAGACAAAATTCGTGACTAAATTACTGCTAAGAACTGTAAAAAAGATTTAGGTTTTAGATTAGATACTATTTAGACTAATATCTTTTTGGTTCTCTTACTACAAATCTAGATCAACTTCAAATGCCCCTTTGGCAAATTGCCCACTAGGCAGGAGTACTCTCGTTGGAATTCTCATTGTTATTTTGGTAGCTAGCTAATTGGAAGCAATTGATCATGTGCGGAAACATTTAGTGGTATATATTAAATCCTTCCTCTCCTCGCTATATCTTTGACGACAGAACTCAATTTTCACATAAGAGACTTCGTTAACGTTTACAGATTTCTTCTAATAGTAATGTACTAGTTTCGGGAGTTAGACATGTGCCCATGAGGTCCGAGCATGCCCTCGCTTCGCATCAAGCCAAGACAGCACAAAAGAAATCCTCCGATAAATAGCCTCAGATTTATCCTCTCATAATAACAACCATTTGAAAAGTGAAGATAGCACCTGTAAACGGCAAAAAAGAAATTCTTGCGTTCGCCGGGAATCGAACCTGATAATTGTTAGTAAGGGAGTTATGAAGGAATCAGGAGATGGAAGGAACTAACCCGGGGCCAATGCAGATGTTATCCAAGAGTTGAAGCTCTTGGAATTGGCAAGCATCGATTTTACCACTAAACCACAAACGCTGGGACTTGTTTTCAGATGAATGGGTCTGTTTTATTGTCGTACAGATTCAAGAATGGCAGAGTTCAGCCGAGGATACTGTAAGCACTGTGGTGGGTGAAGGTGGGGTAATTTCCTGGTTTTCAACCGCAGGCATCCCACCTTGTGGCAACGACACAATCATTTTTTATTAAAGATAACATACGTTACTTCGACAGTTATCGCATAGCACCAGGTGGTTGCTTATTTCTGGAGTTCACAGAGTACTTGTCTTGCAATCCTGCGTGTGGCTAAGTCCGGTAACAAGCCACCTACTTGCAGCCTGAATGTCCAGATGTACGAGTGAAGGATACCAAAGGGCGGCGAATCAACGATGAGATGCAGCAAGTGTAGGAGCGGTCTTATTCCGTATCTCACAAAGTCCTTGTGTGAAAGTGCCGAAGATACCAAGCGGAGTTCGCTAGATAGGCACTGGTGTCGTCATAACTTTACACGTAACGTATTTGAAGCGGGGCATGAAGGCCAGTAACCTTGTATTCTGACGAGAATCCCAGCGTAAATCACTATGAGTCGTCTTCTTATCAATCTACAATTGATATTACTGTTTTCCTTCTGCCAAGTATTCAGATAATCTGTTATCCAGTCAAATGGTAACGTCCGCTGATGGGGTGAAGCGTATCGGTGGTGGAAGCTTATAGCACAGTGTCGTGCATCAGCCCTAGCCTTGCGACCTTGATTTCTCGGAGTTTCCGATATTTAATCCTTTAGCATTACACCATTGCTCCTTTTTCCCTCTCTTTCCAAATGAAGCAGGTTTAAGACGCTTGAATTTCGATATAAAATTTCAGCAAACGCAATGGACGATGCGGATGCTGCAGAGTTGGCTAGGTTGGGACATAGAAGCGAGCTGAAAAGGAGTTTCTCACCTTTGTCAATGCTTGGTCTCGCATTTGCAATCCTCAATTCCTGGACGGCTCTCTCTGCAAGCTTATCGCTAGCTTTACCTAGTGGAGGCTCGACATCAGTTCTCTGGGGATTGATCAGTGAGTCAATACATTGTTCAATGGAATGCTTCTGACGTGCCATCAGCTGCCGGGCTATGCAATCTCTGCTTAGCTACCTCGCTTGCAGAGTTTCTGAGTGCTTATCCGACTGCTGGGGGTCAATATCATTGGGTAGCTGTCATTTCATGGCGATCATGGGTCCCATTACTCAGTGTGAGTTATTTCAATTTTCAGTTGTCTACTTTGTGCAGATTTGATGCCCTGCCTCATTTTACTTCAATGAGACTGCTTACCTCCCCGTTTCTCACTGATCCGCTAACTTGACTTGATAGTGGATCACTGGTTGGATCAATGTCAGCGGATGGATTGCCTTAGTGGCTTCCGGGGGTCTGTTAGGCAGTCAACTCATTCTTGGGCGATTTCTTTGTTCAACCCAAATTACGTTTCTCAAAGATGGCACCAATTCCTCATATATATTGGTTACAACCTTGTTGCCTTCCTCATTAATGCATTTATGACCGGGGTATTGCCACTAATCACTAGATCATCTTTCATCTGGTCCATCCTTGGGTTTTTTGTCATTTGCGTCACTGTACTCTCAACTGCCTCCCCAAACTATTCCTCTGCCGAATTTGTCTTCACCGATTTCCGAAACGAAACGGGCTGGCCTGATGGGATTGCTTGGCTTCTCGGGTTACTGCAGGCAGGATTAGGCTTGACGGGATTTGATGCTGTGGCTCATAGTTCGTCTCCTATTTTCCAATTTTCTAGTTGGGAAGCTAACTGGACCTCAGTGATTGAAGAAATCCCAAATGCTGCCGTCGAAGGACCAAAGATTATGATTGCATGTCTTGCCATTGGAATCTTCACTGGATTTATTTTTCTCATGGTACTTTTGTTTGTTGCTGGGCAGATTGATGGACCGGAAGGAGTGATTTCCTCCTCCGCTGGACCTCTTCTTCAGATTTTCTAAAATGCTACTCAAAGCAAAGCCGGAGCAGTTTGTCTCCTGATGTAAGTGCCCCGTATTTCGTTCCTTCAAACGGTTTCCACTCACAAAAGTAGATTTCCTCTAGTCTGTTTACTCTTTGCAACAACTAGTATCATGACAAGGTCAACAAGAATGACGTATGCATTTGCAAGGTAAGAATAAATCTTTCACAAGTTCCTTTTTTTGCATTTCAATATGCTTATAACCCTCCTCCAACTCCTCACCCAATCATCTGACCATCCAACCATTTTCATTCCCCTCACATTCTTCGCCTTAAGTAACACTTCCATCCAGAGACGGCGGCCTGCCTCTCTCCCATACATTTTCCCGCATCCATCCTACCCTAAATCTTCCTCTAAACGCTCTCTACCTCACCGTCAGTCTCGTCGTAATCTTCGGCTGCATATTTCTCGGCTCAGACAGCGCTTTTAACGCCATTATCTCGGCTTCGGTCGTTGCCCTCGGTGTCTCATAAGGAATTCCTATCGCTATAAATTGTCTTCGGGGACGAAAAATGTTGCCTATCTCACGTGCTTTCAAGTTGCCTGAGTGGTTTGGTTGGGTTGCTAATCTGGTAAGTAAAGTGTATTACTAGAAGACTTTAATGCTAATGAAGTGTCACAGATTGGATTGGTATATCTAATCGTCACAACAGTCCTGTTTTTGTTTCCACCCGAATTGCCCGTCACAGGGTCGAATATGAGTATGTCCTTCTCACATTCACTCTTGTAATGATCGCTAAGAAGTATTAGACTACTGTATTGTAGTATTCTTCATTATCCTCGTCCTCTCCATTATGCAATGGTTTATCGATGGAAAGAAGAACTATAATGGCCCAAGAATCAACATTGACAATTTGCAAAACGCTGAGGTGGAAGGTGTAGATGCGAGTCATGAAGAGGAGAGCTCGATTGAAGCTGGGAAGGTTACTAAGTGATCTTGTAAGATAAAGGAATGATTTGCTTTTTAAAGACTATAGATCTAGCCAGGGAGTAAAATATGTACAGTACATAATATTGCAGAGGATTTTGGCATTAGACACAAATCAAAAGTTACAGATTTCAATCTTTGGAAAACCACTCCTGCATAGTAAATGCATTAACAAAGTTCTCATATCCGCATTGCCCCTATCTCACGATTTATGTTTCCGTCATCACTTACAAAACTGTGACAGAACTTGGTCCAGAATTCTTGAAGAAACTATGAACCCCTTTCTTGGACGGAATCTGAATTATAGGACCTGATGAAGAAAGAAGACATTTTCAGGCTCAGCTCTTTGTTCAAGTGATCGATCTTCTATACTCTATTTACCATAATTAGAATACTACTACAGAGACTTATATTATTACTCCACAACACTTATCAGGGTACAAATGGGTCGCTCCGCTCTTCTGAAGAAGACTGGCTAATGCTAACATTACGCCAGCGCATCTCGGGGACAGAGGTCTCTTGCTTCGTGATTGAGTCTTTGCGAGGATATTCCCAAGTGTTAGGACCTTCGAAGATTTATTCTCGGTGCCACACTGAGTAGGGAGAGCACAGATCAACCCAACCTCTTGCTGGTGAGGAATGTGACAGAAGTTTTCACACCGTAGTGCAGGGAGACGTCGGTTAGCTCGGTTCGATGCAGAATAGAGACCAATCCTGTTACGCGCCTCCGGAGAAGAAGATCTCTTCTGTCCTATTGATCCAATACACGCCATATGAAATCTTCTCTATAAGTCGATAAATCCGCTGACCTACCGAAATCGATTTGTACCAACGCTCTTTGCAAATTAATGCAGGAGGAAGATCATCCACACGAGTAAACTCAGTGTGATACACAAGGAAGTTCTTTTCTTTCTCCGAAGAAGCGTAAAATGAAGCTGCTACTTGTTTTATTACAGCGGGAAGTTGAGTACTTCGGTAATCCTCATGGTCGTCGAGATTTTCATTTGTCGCAATCAACTATTCCTGGTCCAAGAACCTTCTCTAGTCTTCTTTCCATTGACTTACGTACCTAAGATGACTGTGTATTCCAAAAAGCATCAAAACAGATGCGGAAAGTGCGATGAGGAAGATCGTGCCGTGGCTCGAACTGTACATCTTGCTCAACCTGGGCTGAAAGGTCTCGAAGAATCTTTCCAAATGTCGTTTGAATGGTATCAAAATGAATATGAGTATTCTCATCAATCAAAATTTGCTGCCCTGACTGACCACCCGAGCGTCCGCAAGCCCAATCCGGCCCACACTTTGAACCTTTCGTATTCAATCCTCATTGATGGCTCGGCGCTTCGAATCATGGCATTGAACTTTTCAATTATACAAACGTAGGTTGCGGATTGAGCAGGAAAGAACAGTCTAGTAGAGACTTGTATCGCGGTCGTTGTGAATGCTCTAGTACAAGCATATCTCGGATAAGTCGTACCAACCCCTTATGATAGCCAAGAAGATTAAGCGAGAATTCCAAGACATCGGGCTGATGTTCCACTGCACCGTTCAACACATGCTCCCCATGAAAGGTGTAAGCCGTCAAACCATAAGCCAATCTTTCAAGACGGCTTTTGTTAAACTCATTTACCCCTTCAGGGCCATAATGGAGGAAAGGTGCGATTTCGAGCAAGACACAGCCGAAAAACCATATATCACTTGATCGACTTATACGATTCTTTTCATAGTCCGTGTTCCAACTTTGACATTCAGGTACGAGATAGTTACCAACTTCACCAAAGGAATTTGATGCGGAACCTTGGCCTTGCTGCTTCAACCTGGACAATCCGAAGCCTGAAAGGACAAAAGCTTCCCCCTTAACGAGGATGTTCTTCGGCTTCAAGTAGTAGTGGCATCGAACCAAATATATATCGTACTCAGTCTGATTCATTTCGGGCTCACCCGTTGAAAATTATTCGTCATGTTTTATCCTGTTATTCCTACAACCAGAACATCAACTGAAAGTTCCGAAACGGAAATTATAAATAGAACAAGAAAGTGTTCGGCACGATTGAGATATCTAACTTTGCCGGCTTTGATGGGTTCGTGCAGAGTCATTGCATGAGGGGAAGAGTACGGAAGATACGGAGACAATTAATTCTATGGGTCTCTATTGTCGCGATATCAGCATTTCGAAAAGCGGGGTGGTTCACGTGACACGGAATTGGCTGCCATCCTCTACAACCACACTCTTTTAGTTAGAAAGATATACACGAACAACCAGAAATCGATGTACAGTATATATCCTAAGTGAGTTGTACTACCATCTATCTTTTGATCTCGGTATTTCCAAGATTTAGCCACTTCCAAAGTTCTGCAGGATTGGCTTATAGAACACAGCCCCCAGGATCAAGATCACTCACCGAAATTAAGTAAGACCATACAGACTTCATGAACCCAACATCTCGGCTCTTTTGGTTTATCATTCAGCCCTCTTCAAACTAACCTATCATGACTCTCCTCGCAAAAGCTAAGACTGCAAGCTCATGGCCACCAAGTTGCAACACTATATCTGATGAGTACTATAATGACTAGAAATTATGCCATTAAGATCCCAGCAACTCGGACTCTCAGACAATTTTAACAAGATATCCTTTCGTGGAGGTTCTTGCTAGATGTAAGAGCAAATCAGAAGGTATTTAAGATTTCACATCTCCGGGAATATGATAAGGGAAGACGTAGAACGTCCTAAGAATGTTAGTTTAATAAAGAGCAGAGCCAGAAGATACGTACATTTTACAACGCCTTCACTGAGATGTAGATGATACAAGAAATCTGATTAGTAGAAGCCTATATCTTAGAAGTTGTAGAAGCCCCACCTCTCAGTACTTTGAAATTAACGATCCATATCCAAAAGAATTTAGACGGGAAGATAGCTGACTTGATATTTTAATATAACCCACTCATTCATAGAAAACAGGCTTTACACACGCAAACCAGTACTCAAACTATCCAGCATATTTCGACAAAATTTCACATGGGGTCACTTCAATCTTAGCAGAGAAATGTTTTCCCTAATTGTCTCATATATACATATTTTCCCGGAGTACTATACATAAGTTTCCTCCAAGCTTTTGGTTAACTTAGAAGACGACGATGGGAACTTCGGAGGATTCCAGATACGAGTATATAAGAACACATGTGACGGTACCAAACTCGACTTCGGTACGAGAACTTCGTCATTGTGTTGGAAATAGCGGGCCCCTCATTATAAAAATCAACTTTTCTTCCACCCCCTACTTATTTCCTAACTTCTCTTCTTGATCCCGATAGACTGTATGGCAGACGGGCTATGCGTAAAGAGGTAGAAGATAACAATCGCGAGCGTGTTGAGGGTGGTCGTTGGCCTACGAACGCGAGGTTATATTAGCGGAGGCCGTTTAGGGGAACAATCTTTTTACACTTTGCTCTACATACTCCCGCCTTCCCCATTAGTAGGTAATAACTTCTAAATACAAGTTCTATGGTTTTTAAAAGTTGGATGGTGGGGTAAAAAATCCGGACTGCTTATAAATCCGGACTACTTATGAAGTACGTTAATCTAATTCGCTAAGAGGGTTATATTATAGGCTTCTACCCTACCTATACAAAGTCGTATTTAGGGGAGTAGGAGACGTAAGCTATCTAGACCCTTTACTAACCCCGACTCCCGAGGTAGGGGTACTCGGCTAAGTATACGTAGGCGGACTACCTATCTAGAGTTAGCTAGCGAGCCTAGGCGCGCGACAGGGTATTCTGTGAGGGCGTGAATGTGGCTCGGTATAGTGTTTTGGTGCTTCGCTTAGTGAATGCAATAGTGGGTTGGAGTTGCCTAATCGGAGATAGTATGGAGCTGCCTAATGGGGAATAGCGTAGCCTCTTGTTGTGTATAAGTAATAGCTAGCTCTAGGACTTCTTAGCTGACTCGCGATCAATCTCAACCATATTCTGGAACAGTCTTTTGTACGCTCCTAGTGATACCCTGACATATTCGACCGATACTACTTAAGTTACTTATAAGTTAATCGAGTACTTAGCGAGTTAAGTTGATTAGTAAATTTAACTATATAAATTTACTACGCTAGAGCCCTAGGGTCCTCTTTTCTCGCCCGCTACTACTCCTATTTATATACTACTATTTATATCCCTATGTGAGGGTTAGAACCCATAGTGGGGCTCGGGCCAAGAGCCCTCGCTAAGCTAAGCGACCCCGCCTCTGGTGTCACGGATGCCAACAAAGGATAAAGTGTATACAGCTTTTGAATCAATTGCTAGAACTAAAACCGTAGGTACGAAGAAATCAAACTAAAGAGAGAAGAGAATCTGAAAGGAGCGAAGTTATTTAAGTTGTTCCAATGCCAAGTCTCGTCACGTGCTTGGCCAAGCGAATGAAATCCTGTCAAATGAAATCCAGCTCCGTCACATCTGGAACGCCATGGAATAAGATAGAATGCTATGACGCAGAAGATTGGTAATACTATGGAACAGTGTTGAATGCAATGGATAGGAGCGAAGTTATTTAAGTTGTTCCAATGCCAAGTCTCGTCACGTGCTTGGCCAAGCGAATGAAATCCTGTCAAATGAAATCCAGCTCCGTCACATCTGGAACGCCATGGAATAAGATAGAATGCTATGACGCAGAAGATTGGTAATACTATGGAACAGTGTTGAATGCAATGGAAATGCTACATTTAGTATAAGAGTAGAGGAGGAACACGTATTTACAGACCACGTAGTTCTTAATTGAATATTGAACCCACACCTTTGAGTTGTTCGAGGTCTGGCCTCTCACACACTATAACTATACTACTATTATAGCTAGCCTTTTTGTTTCTATTTTAGAAATAGGAATAGAAAGAGCGTATAGTACCCTAGGGCTCTCTAAGCCCTAGGTAAGAGAGGTAATAATCTAGTATATACTCTCGCCTTAATATAGATTTTTCCCTCGTTTCTCGGATCCCTAAAAGAGACTCTAGAATTCTTTATAAGGTCTAGAACGTTAAACTTTATTTATTTACTATATTAGGAAAGAAAAAATAGGTACGTAGTAAGTTAGTCCTAGTAGGAGTATAGAAGTCTATAATACTATAGACCTAGTCTATACGGTATAGACTCCCGTTTATAGGTTATAGACTCCCGCGTACTCTATAGTACCCCGGTGTCACGAATCACGTGTGAGCATGTGACGAGTGAAGACGAGGCGGCGCCCTGACAGGTTAAGCACTATCGTATCTCTTATAGCAAATAGGGATCGTTTAGGGTAGCTAAGCGATCCATGGATTTCATTGTAATGTAGTCACGTGACCGAGCGACCATTGTTGGTGTCGGTCGAACCGACTGTCGCTCTGAGCGACAGGCGATCGAGTCGCTCTGCGATGATCGACAGAGAACGAAGGTTCTATATAAGACTGGCACGTCTGCCATTAGATAGGAGCTTCGTGCTCAACTTAGTTATCAATCTTATCATATTAGTTTGACATCTTTGATACAAGTAACGAGTTCACCTCCAAGTGAACAACCCGATAGTCTTCTTCTTATCATAGCATACCAACCAGCGAACACCTAGCCAAGTTTAGTTAGCCAGTNGACATCTTTGATACAAGTAACGAGTTCACTTCCAAGTGAACAACCCGATAGTCTTCTTCTTATCATAGCATACCAACCAGCGAACACCTAGCCAAGTTTAGTTAGCCAGTTTGTGTGACGGAGCTGGATTTCATTTGACAGGATTTCATTCGCTTGGCCAAGCACGTGACGAGACTTGGCATTGGAACAACTTAAATAACTTCGCTCCTTTCAGATTCTCTTCTCTCTTTAGTTTGATTTCTTCGTACCTACGGTTTTAGTTCTAGCAATTGATTCAAAAGCTGTATACACTTTATCCTTTGTTGGCATCCGTGACAGTTTGAGTATTCGTTACATAGCGCTTAATAATCCTACCTTCCTTATTAATTTCTACCTTAATCTCGTCGTTACTATCTACTATTTTACCCTAGCTTTATAAGTATAAGATATACCTAACGTTCTCGTTATAAATAGAGTTACTAGTAAAGCTTCTTTTATAAGAGATTAGGTATAGAACTAGTAGTAGTGTTTTTAGTCAAATTTAGAGCGTTTTAGTAGTAATATTAGTAATAATATTAGTAATAGAGTTATTAAAGCTAGGGACTAAGGGGTAGAATAAAGTATACTAATTAGTCCGGTTCCGGATTTATAGTTTTTATATATTATATATAGTAATAATCGATAAATTATCGGTTATCGCTGAATCTAATATATTAACTTATACTATTTATTTCCCTTCAGTAGTAAAATTTCATAGAATTTACATAGGAAAAGATGCAAATGATATGTATTTGGAAGGCGGCGACAGAACAGCACCACTTCTGCCAACTCAGGCAAGGGGGCTGGCAAGAGCTATAAACAATCTTATTATGATTGTTTGTCGGAAGACATACTCGTTTCCATTATCACCTTGTGACATGGAAACCACATGGTTCCCAAGAATTTGTTTGATTTTTGTTTGATATTATCTTTTTCAAACTGAGTCCAGTAAAAATACCTTAGCCCAAAGAAGAAAAATGCAGTCTGAGAATTGATGGAGGAATACGAGAAGTCTCTAATTAGACAGAGTAGTATGGTAATCGGTCAGTTCTACAATTGCCGAATGCAACTGGTGCAACATCCGACTGTCCAATATTTGCTTTACCAACCACCCGCCGTGGTATGTAAGCAACTTTATTATTGGCAAACTAGAGTTTATAACAATTCGTAAAACAATTCCTCAAGTCCGGGGATTTCAAACCACCAAATCTTGGCGGTACTCAAGACTTCCGCGACCCCTGGTGGTGTGCAACGCAACACTGTATCGACATCACCCAATCAATAACCAAAACCAAAGCCACAAAAAAACAAAACACCAAGAAGCACAGCTGAACCGACTCAACGCTCAAGTCTCAATGTCTATTTCTATACTCTCTTACATATCATCAGTATGGTCATCATATCAATATGCCCATCCCAGTTGGACTCGGAAGCACCCTTAAATTGATAGCTCGCCATCCTCTCGAGATCCTCCTGGTATTTGGCATCAATCTGCTTGCAAGAATCAAGACAATCTTTGTGGGCACCTCATCAATCAGCCATAACCCAAACTGACCACCGCATAGTTCCGTAAACAGCTTTACAGAAATCTTGGCCCCAACGAGCTCCGTATACTAAGGTTTCTTGCCTGCTCTAACTAATCAAGCCTCTGAAACGGTGCTACTCATACTTGAACATGTCTCCCTCGAGCATACCCCGACCTACAAGGCATGGGACGAGCAGACAAATCCAGATCTGCGGCTGTGGAGGAGATATATCGCTTGGGCTCAACACATTGGAAAGACACTTGTCAAGGATCGAGATTTGTTTGAGCAGCTGAAACGTTTCGACTGGGGAGATTTCACAGCGCTCTCGTACGCATGGGGACCTAGTGATCCCAAACGCTACATCATATTGAATGGGCGGTTTTTCCAGGTCAATCCGAATTTGGAAGCGGCACTGCGGGCTTCACGAGTTCAATTTGATCCCAGAATTGGTCTATGGGTCGATGCCTTGTGTATAAATCAAGACGACCTTGAGGAACGGGGTGTTCAAGTGCGACGGATGAGAGAGTTATATGGTGGTGCAATTCATATCTTGATTCATCTCGGAACCGAGCCTAATGATCTTGGTATGAGAGGCATTCGAAGGATTGCCGAAAACATGAAGAAGGGATTTGATTGGCGCAACTATTTCTTTCATATGGCCACCAATATGGAGGATAGTAAGCTGAATGACGAGAGAGACACATTTGTTGCAGTCTTCAAACTCTTAGTTCTTCCCTACTGGACGAGAATGTGGATCATACAAGAGTTGGCTATGGGCCAAGATCACATCTGTTGCAGTGGAAACGAATGGGTACCGCTTGCTGATATTCGACAAGTGTTAAAGCTTCTTGTCCTCAACATAGATAGTCTTAGCACTCTTGTTCCCCAGGACTTGCTAGAAAAACACATGCGAGATTTCCAGTCGACCATAGGTACTCCTTGGTGGATTGGACGGGCGAGGGAATTGACAATGCTGCCACCGAATAGGGAAGACTTTACCTACGCCGAGATTCGCTCACCCATACTATCTCTTTCTCAATCAGCAAATGCGACTGATCCTCGAGATAAAGTCTACGGCCTATTGGGGCTTTTACCAAACAAACTTGCGTCTAGGTTGGATCTGAAGGATAAAAACTACGCAATCTCGACTCATGCTGTCTTTCTAAAATTTGCGAAAACTATCATACAGGTTACGAACGAGCTTGATATCATTTTTGCTCGGAATTTCCGGCAAAGTGAGGACTCGGAACTCCAACTCCCTAGCTGGGCTACAGATTGGACCTTGAAGCCCATTCGGACCACGGGGGTTGGCAATGCAAATGAATGGTATTTTGGCGTCGAAGAAGGCTACGAAACAGTGGAAGAGTCTAACAAAATAATACGAGAGTGGAATGGAGAGGCGAATGCATTTCATTCTGATGGTGGAAGGAAGCCCATTATCACGTTTTCCGACAACAATAAATTGATTTCCTGTGAAGGCTTCTGTATCGGCCGGGCTGATGGCATGGCTGCGGAGTCTCCTTCCGCAACCACAATGTCTTCCACGCCGGATCGTTTTATTAAGCCCACTACTGACCAGACCCTATACGCAAATACATCAGATACTACAAACGCAATCTTACGCACCTTGGGCCTTGATCCTTCTGGGGAGCAAACAAAAGACTCGGGTCTATTCCACGTACCTTGGTTCGGCGCTGAAGCAGACTCGGATGCAAATGGCGAATATGGTGCCTTCAATATGAGTACGGAGTACTCGAATCATTACTTTGGCCTTTTCAGGGAGAGAGGCTGGGAGCAAAATGAATTTCTTGGGAGTTTCTTCTCCTTTGAATTTGCTCGGCGAAACTTGGGCATGCGATTTTTCGTCAACCACAAGCCTTTTAAGGACTATTTTCCAGATTATGTTCCACAGCGACCTGAGAAGACTGATTTTAACATCTTTCGCACAGTCGTGGCAGTAAGCAAATTCGACTTATCTCCAGTTTTCCTTTTCTTAATTCCCCTCCTGAATGTATTTTCCTGCCTCCTAGTGAACAAGAGAAGGAAAGGCTTAACGTACCGTGCCTTTATAATTTCTCTTTCTAGCACTAGTAAGCTAATACTTACTGTCGTCTTTTCTGTCTACGGGGAACCTAACTACCAAAGCTTTCTCAACCAATAAGCTAACCCTTCTCTACAAAGAATCTTATAGGACGCCGCTTGATTACAACACAGACAGGTCACGTTGGCATGGCCCCTGCCACTATCGAGCTCGCAGATAAGATATATATACTTGTGGGATCTAGTATGCCTGTAGTTCTACGGCCTAGTGGAGAATACTATGAGGTTGTGGGAGAATGCTACGTAGACGGATTCATGAAAGGCGAAGCGATGGAAGGCCTTGATGCAGGTAAATATGAGCTTGAGAGCATTACAATATGCTAAAATAATATCATACAATTGGATATATAGCTTTTCGTTCCCTCGCTCCACAGAAAGACCTTCATTCGCACTCAATTCAAACAAGTTCTCCCTATCGCAACATAAAACAACATACTTTCCTCCCCCGACACCACTCCTTCCCCGCGAACCCGATTCTCCCAACCAACCCCCGTCGCGACATCTCCCTTTCAACCCACATCTTTCTCCGTCGCCTCTCCTCCTCCTCATACTCTTCTCTCTGTCTCTTCTCCTCCTCCTCCATCTTTTGCCTCATCATGAACTCCTTCAGCGCTTCCCGTCGACGCCAATACCGGTCCTCAGAACTCTCTTTGCGATCCCTGTCGCTCGAGGTGGAATATTCATATTCTGCGCGGTCCCGACACCATTTTGAGAGTTGTGGTTGGTGCTTTGCGAAGGATGCGAATGAGGGGTAGGGCGAGTGAGCTGTGGGAGGCAGGGATGAGAGGTAAAGTGTAAAGGCTGCTTCGTCTTTGAGTTTGCGGGTACGTTTGGACTCTTGGGGTCCGGTGGATAGGAACTTCATTGTTGTGACTTCTTCCTTCTTGTTGGTTCTGGGGGTGGAGAGTAGGCTTTCCCCTCGTCTTAGCAAATTGTGGTAGTGCTGAATAAATGACGAAGCTCTTATTTGACAATTCAAATGATCAGAAAGGCTTTGTAGATGTGATTCCCCTCTCTTATGTTTGAAGTAATGATGAATCTCGTTGTAGAAGTGATGGGGGGGTCAGGGAACCTGAAATAGAGTCTCTTTGTTGTGTTGGTCAGCGCGACCCGAAGGATATACATCCCACAACAAAGGCCTGGACCACGTCAATTCATACCGACCACCAGCTCTAGTTCAGGTCTAGGCAAAGATTTTGTATCTCCCCATACTCCCGAGGATACTAGGAAGGCCTCGGTGAGGGTACAGCCGTTAACTAAATTAGTGGGAGAGCTCCCGAGAGCTCTAAGTGGCGAAATTACGTGGAGAGCTAGGAGCTCGGAGCTCAGCTATTTGGGATCACGATTTAGCGGAAATGGGCAGAGCATAGGTTTTGAATGCTAAGGTTGGCGGTTACTCAATACTGAGCTGGAGACATGGAGTATACTGCTCCTAGAACTCGATTGATTGCAAAGTCGTCATCATTCTCTCAGCATCACACGTTCCTGCTTCAACATTTACAGTGTCTATACCAACGTCTTTTATCTACCAGTTCCAACCTGCACCCGAATAAAGTTTCGGATTATCGAGACTTGAAACGAAGCTAACATGACCCTCGAATTTCCTCGTTTCAAAATTTCTTGGTTCTCAGACTGGAAGTGAGCTGACTGGCGAGAGAGCCTTCAGCTAAAATGCAGATCTCGCTTATGGGATCCCCTCTCTTATTACATGTAAGGAATCTTTTGTAGGTGGGCGTCGAATCAGAAGCTCAGAATACATACACACATGTGGCAAAATAAATTCTTAGATGATATCTGACCCCGGAGGAAAATTAGTCTTAGGTGGTATACAGAATTGGAAAGTAATCGCGAGGAGAATGTAGACCTTGAAACGTATGACCATAGTCCCTCCATACCAGGTATATTGGCAGAAACCTCGTTTATCTTGTCCTAACTAAACCAAAAACTATTATAATATATTATCTAATTGGAATAATTAAAGTGATTCATCGAAAACGATAGCACAATAAAGATGATTGTTCTAGATATTTTAAACATTTTAGTACTTCGAATTAACTTACGCTAATAGTTCAAAAAATGAATCTCTGCCACTTTTCTCGTACCACCTCCTCCCCCCCCCGGGAGCCTGCCTATCTTATCGTCGGCTTTAGGATATCCGACTCTTGTCACTACGTTCCTATGATTATCTCTAACGTGGTGCAAAGGAATGGTTATGGGAAATGGTCTATAGATGGTACGTATGAGCTCACTTTTCTTGGCTCATGAGGGGTTTAGACAGGTGTTACTCCTTTCGTTCAAATCTCACAAGTCCCTACCAGCAACACTCCCACACTATCTTCTCACGGATTGAGGCCTTCAATATATCATGACTCCAAAGACACTGCGAGGCTGTGAGATCCAGTGGGGGAAAACGACTTTCTCCAAATCTCCTGCTCAATTGGTGGAAAAGAAAATTATCGGCTAGAGGTCTTGTCCAAGTTGTGTAGAAGAAACCTTCCCTCCCTCAGTCCAAATGCAAGATCCAGATTATCACTGAACGTCGAGCAGAATACGAATACCCTACATTCACGGAACTGTATGCCTCAGGGAATCAAGTCAAACTATATTGGAAAGGCCCGAACGATAAGAATCTGTACTCCCTGCGCTCCCTGCACTCCCTGGAAAGCGAATGAACAATCGCGAAGATGTAACGAATCTCGACTAAAATCACGAATTTCTGCACTCCCAGAGAAGATAATTTACCACATGGCCACAACAGCATAAATATCTAGAAATCACTCAAATAGCATGTATTTGGGTCGTGAAATCTTTCTCTATTCCTTGGCTCAAGTCACATTGATCACACTATCATCACCAATTGCTTCAATATCTGGTCATGTTCAATATCGTCATTTCCGATGTTTTGCTTTATGCATTTATGCTTGCTGACCAGCTCATTGATGAGCAAAGGCTAATGAACAACCCTTATGCACGCAAACCCATTTGATTTCGCCCCGAACCCAACGTGGAATATCCCCCAAAACGCTCAGTAAAAGGTTGATGGTCGCTTTCCGACGAAGATCTTGGTGCCGGCAGCCTTGGAAACACGGTGAGGAAGAGGGAATTTGAGGTTCTTGGTGAGGAGTTGCTTGATGTATGGGCGCTTGACGTCTTCTGTCTTCTCGAGCTCGACGACCTTAAGGATCTGTTTTGAAAGTGTTAGTGCGTGCATTGGTGAGTCTGGATGGCGAAAAAACGTACGTGAACGGATCTGAATCGGGATCGATGTCTGGCTGCCATATCTAGGTAGAGAGCCTCAACTGCATCGGTTCTTGACATCTCACGGTACTCTTTGTACATGTTGTGGGTACCTGAGCGAGAATCGTATCGGATCCAGATACCGAAGTTCTTGACCTTCAATGGGCGCTTCTCGTGGATCTAAAAATTTGCCATTAGAAATTTGTCTATCGCGAAAAAATCAATTCTACCCACCACGTTCAAGCTGACAATCTCTCCGTTTGCCTTTTTGACCTTTCGCAACTTCATCAAGAAGTACCAGAAACGAGACTTGGCGACCACGGTGTTTGGCGCAAAGATTCTCATGCGGTACAGCTTAGGCGCTGGGTTTGCGTCCGTTGGCAGATGGCGGCCAATGACCTGGTATTCTGTGAGACGACCTGTTGATTGTTAGTCTTCATCCTTCGACCCTGTTACAATCCTAGGATCTGCTATCTCGATCGCAGACATCTTTTATCTCGTCGGTCGGTCGGTTTTAGCGGACGAGGTCGAGCCAGGTCGGTCAATTCACTGCTCTGCAACTAAGATACCCATCTCAATGATCCAGATTGATGGGAACTTGAGCGCTGGAAGGAACGTGGTGGGGTTCCATCGAAATGGCACTTTTTCTCCCTCCTCTGATGGCGGCTCATCAATCGATATCGTTTCCTTTCACAGCAGCTCTTCGAGACCTCCCGCATCGACCCATCCTACCCCGTGGCTCCCGTCCTCGTTCTCAGTCGCTGTATAAAATTTTCCGGGTCGAGATTTGATGTTGCAATTCAGGTCCTGAGATCCTGAGAGGAGAAAGAAGGAAATCTGTAGCTTACCCATCTTCTAGACATTAGCAGGCGATCTATACATCCAGCAAGAGATGCAAACTTACTGTGAATATGTGGCCGTTGTCGGTGTCGTATGTTGTCGCGATTCAACAATTTCTTGGGCAGAATTTCAAGATTTGGGGTAGGGCATGAATTGTGCGCTGCCCTCCGCTCGCTTGTCGAATCGCGCTTACCAGATATGGACTAGCGCAATAGTCTCGGCGGAGCCCCAGACTCCCTGCGGTTTGGTAGACAACAACACTTTCAAGTCGGGGAACTCTAATTGAGTTGATTGGTCCTCTTCTGGATCTCATTGAATTGCATCGATTTGGTACAAATTTTCGTCTGTCCAAGAACGTCTCCCATCATTCACTTTTGAGATGTTGCATTTCATCCGGTGAGACCTACTTCCGGCCTAAGGACAAAATCTGGTTGGCTTCAGCAAGAGACAGCAAAAGACTTTTACATCAACACTACTTGATTTACGATTAATAAGACAAGAACCAGCATAATACATCATGGAGTCCGTCTTTCAATGTTTTCAGCGGGGTTACGGAAATGGCGACGGCTATGCTCTTTCCGACACCCTCTCGCCCATCCCTCCCGAGTCGCAACCAGATAGACTCAACAACTTCTTTCGAAGCACCAACTTTGCCAATGTGAAGAGAGACTTTAAGCAGGCGTTATTGAGAAACTCGGAGGTTGGCATGTCAGAGGAAGAATATAATGGTTGGGTTGAGGTCTACGTTGCCTATTGGAAGGCTGTCGGTGAACTATTGGCTGCTGATGCAGCACCAAAGTCCAACTCAAAGGTGATGATATATTTCCTCTATGTTCGTCTTTGTGGTTTGGGTCTGCAAGTTGATATGCCTCCCTAGTCTCTGAGCCATTAGGTTCGTTGAGCTCATTAGTCACGTGTTCGGTTTAAACAGCCATCCCGTCCCCTCAATTCAAAGATATCATTTTAGTTTCAGTTATTGCTAATCAAGTCGTTGAGAGATTCAGGCTGATATATTCATAGGCGGCATGGACAAAAACTTATGATGCCTGGAAAGAATTGACATCAGTCCTCCACCGCGGTTACAGCAATCACGGATTTCCATCCTGGACGTTGCCTTGTCTCTATGTTGCAGGGAAATTTCTACGAATATTTGCAATCAAAGCAGACGAGGCCACACCAACAAGCATGAGTGCGGTCACTAGTTTTGGCGACGATCTCAATCCAGACGCTGAGAAGAATGAGAAATTGGAAGACGCTGCGAGACAACTCAACCGAATTTTCAATCTCTGCTTAAGTGACAGGTTAGTTCCTGCAGTAAAATTCTCCTCTGGTTTCCAGTCACTAATCTCTTTCAGAGAACCAAATCTTGCCCTTTCAAGAAAATGGGGTATCTACTATACCACTAATCTATTACTAAAGACCTACTTCAAACTGAATCAGATCGGTCTATCAAAAAATATTCTCAACGCCATTCGAGCCTACAAGGGCGACATGCCACTTCTCGACAAATTTCCAGCTAGCCAGCAGGTGACATATAAATACTATATCGGAGTAATTTGCTTCCTAGAAGAGAATTACGTCGAGGTAAGATTGATAGATTTGGTAAAGTTCGATACCTTGTCAGAGGCTAACAATCGCATCTAGGCTGAAAATAATCTAACAGAAGCATGGAACAAATGCCATAAAGATGCAATCCGCAATAAGGAGTAGGTGCATCGCCAAATATTCAGTCATACATGGCATGTGCTTACAGACTTCATAGACTCATCCTCACGTACCTCATCCCGTGTCATCTCCTAACCACTCACACCCTCCCTACGCTTGCCCTACTTTCGCCCTACCCACGACTCCAAAAATTGTTTCTTCCTCTATCTCGCTGCATCAAGAAAGGCGACCTATCAGGCTTCGATACAGCCCTCGTAGCCGGTGAAGACGAATTCGTCAAACGTCGTATCTACCTAACCCTAGAACGAGGCCGCGACATTGCCTTACGCAACCTCCTCCGCAAAGTCTTCATCGCGGGAGGATTTGAGGAGCCCAAGGAACCCGGTGCAGCATCAGTTCGGAAAACCAGAATCCCAGTTGCGGAATTTGGTGCGGCGATTAGTATCGGTAGTAAAGAGACGATGGATAATGACGAGGTGGAATGTCTTTTGGCAAATATGATATACAAGGTTTGTTTTCCCCCTTCTTTTTTTAAACTTCTTACTTGCCTTCTGCATCTTTTCGGTTCCAGGTTGCAGCTCGGGCGAGGCGTACATAGCTGCCTACCTATCAAATGCCTTCTTCACAAGGCACTCCCCTTCTCCTCGCCACGGCACCTCCTCACGCGGAGGATTTCGGGTGCCACCACTGCACCATGAGTCAAATCCGAATAAAAATCTGACGAACGCCCCACAGAATTTAATGAAAGGCTACATAGCCAGGGATCGCGCGACCGTAGTGCTGAGCAAAGGCGGAGCGTTCCCCGGAACTGGTGTTTAACAAACGGGTGAACGGGTTGGCCGGTGAACCAATGAACGAGGAAGAATAGAAGACGATGGTGAACGAAGCGATCTTATTTTTGAACGTATGATGGTTTTTGTTCGAGAAGGTTCGAGGGCGATGGTGCGGCTTTATGGTTGAGATATGTTAGGTGGGGGGCGGTACGGAGGTTGACTCATACACTTGCTCGCTGGCTTCTTGGGGACTACACTGCACTGCAGTACAGTAGCTTGGTACCCAAAATCATGCAACCAAGCAATCAAATCAATAGTCAATCAATCAATCAACATCTTCAGACTCACCTTTCTCGGTGACCAGAAAAAATCAGATCACGCCCCCACACCATCCATGGTCCATCTCAAATTCACAAATCCTCACCATTCCTCACCATTCCTCACCACCCCTATCTTCCCACTACCACACACTTCTACACACTACCACACCATACAACCCACTAAGCCCAAAAGCAACCCCCTACACCTACCCTACCCCTTACCTCAACCCAGAATCCCATGCCAAACTCCAAAAAACAAACTCTCCTCCCCTAATTCGTCAATGGCAACATCCCCGGGGTCCACGAGGTCCAAGAGCCGAGTTCGGGTATGAATAAGTGGAGTGGAGTGGAGAGATGTGTGACTCATTACTGGTACTTTGATAGAGTACATCAAGCCTACAGTACATACAGTGCATACCCCGGGGTGAACGTGCTATGTGGAGTGTGGAGTGTGGGTGTGGAGTGTGTGTGTGGAGCTGGCTAATGGGTTGGGTTTGCTGGGTGTAGGGTTCAGGTAGGGTTCAGGTAGGGTATGGGATGGAATGGATCGGAAGGTTGGACTATGCGTGTGTGCTAGATGATGGGATATGGGAGGAAGAATGTATTACTCTTTTTGGTTTGGTGGCAGTGGAGTGAGAGGGGGGAGTTGAGGGGGACAGGGAAGGGAATGATATTGCATGGGATGTTTCTGTGAGGTTGAAGGACTCGCTTAGGGGAGAGAAGTGGTGTTTGTTCACTTTTCGTAGTACTGTACATTCCCCGGTTGACAGCCTGGTCTGTATTGGTCTATTTTTGTAGCTGTTGATACTTCCGAATCTCGCATTCTTCAAGTTCTCATATTTCCAAACTTTCAAGCTTCAAACTTCACTATTTCGCTATTTCACCAAACGCTCAAAATGTCTCTATTCCTCTTTAAAAATAAAAGAAAAGAAAATCAAATAAAGTGTTCTCGGCTGTGATAACGTCTCTATCAATTTCCGACCCCCTCCGATTCAAAAGATCTCCAATCTGGCAATTTGATCCAACCACCCATTTCCCGTAAGACTACAGTAAAGCTCGTAAGAGCGCACTTATTCCATCCATCTGAGTTCGCAAAATCCAGAATGAACTCCCCATGAGCATCAGTATGGGATGAGAGATTGGAAGGTCCCCTGAATCGTCACCATAACATTCGCTAGAGATAGAAACCCGCACACCAAGAGGATTATTATACAAATAAAGAAAGGTAAACAGGAAGGGAGAGGGAGAATGCTCATCAATTCCCAATCTGACCAACCCAACGGAACCCACCCAAACACATCCCAAGACTTTTCATCCTACACAATCTCCCATTTCCATCGCTGGTCCTTTCGTCCTTTCATCTCGACCGTCCCGCAACAGGTGGCAGGAGGTAAGTAAGTATTATATCCCAATATCCCACCTTCTTTCCTTCCTTCTGTAAAAGGAAAGCTAAGCACACCCAAGTACCAACCACCCGCATCAAAACCAACCAACGAATCTGAGATAGTCCTCGCAGCCATGACAAGGAGGAATACGAGGAGGTGTAATGAATAAAGAAAGAAATGAAAAAAAAAACATCGTAAAAGAGTAGTGATACAGCCCAGATTCCTTTCGTGTCGCCGCCTGAACGCCTGATGGTATCAAATAGGAAATGTGAGAAAGGAGGGTGAAGAAAATGTCGTGATTTGAAGTGGGAATGGGATATAAGTGGTGAAGTCTGGGAGATGGGATGGTGAGTATGTTGAGTCGTTGAATGTATCGAAGTTGCATAGTGCGAGTGGGAATATGCTGGCAAGCTTTAAACAAGGGCCTATGATGTTAAGCTTGTGCTTATGCTCGATCATTCTAATGATGCGTCCGGATGCTACGTAGTGAGCCTCTACACGAGAATTAGCAAGTTGCCTTCCAATACAAAAAGTGAAAAGATGGCGGAAGAGAAGAAACTCACGCAACACTAGCAACATCATCAACATGATTACACAACGCAACAAACAAATCAAAGAACAATTGACTTCCTCCAGCATGCATCTCCATTTGCATCGTCCCGCTCCTCTTGAACGTTCCCCGACTACGAATGATCAACGCGAGATAGTGAGCTCGAAGCTTCGAGTCGGTATCCGGTGTATTGGCATAAGCGTACCGAGCAGAAGATAAGATAGTGCTACATTGAATACCAGATTCTGCATAACAACCGTTAGTGACTCACAAACCAGAAGGATTTCAAGAAAGGGTACTCACGCAAGCCCTGTTTTCGTAAAGCCACACGCTTCAATTCTTCCAAGCCGTATTTCTCCGCCGCGCAATATATGACCGTGTCTTTCAATAGATCGCCCTCGACACCTTGGTGATACACAGTGCTTTCCGCACTCCCTCCACCCTCTACACTTTCCAGCTCCCAAGTATTCTTCCGCTTATTATGTATGAGACGAGGAAAGTAATCGCCTTTATAGAGGTACTCAAGAATAGACGAGAAAATCTCAGGTTGTTCGTCCGGAAGTGAGATCCGCTTATTAGCAGCCTCCATATACTGGCCCCGACACGTTGCCTGGAAGAAAGGCGAGTGGCAAAGAACATCTTCGTGCGCAGCGAACAGTCGCTGTTCCCGACCGACGACGAGAGTGATGATCGATGAAGTGAGGGTGCTATTTCCAAGTTCTTGTTAGCGACCGCAAATAGACTTCCGCATCACAAGGGTTTGAGGAGTGTTTGACTAACCCTCCCACTGCGGAGACCTCCTCGCCGGGTGTTCTGCGAGCAGTGCGATCTGGTCGGTGTTTGGAGACGGCGTGCTCGCGGAAGGAGGTGGATTTTCCTTTGGTGGAACTGCGCTTTCGGGAGAAGCTCTCGCCTTGGGGTTTGTTGATATTTCGGCTGAACATTTTGGTCGGTCGGGGGATTTGTCTTCGGGGTCAGTCAGCTCGGTTAGTGGGTCGTCGATCGGTCGGTCGGGTGATTGTCGTCGTGGTGAGGATGTCGAGGAATGTCGAGAATGGGCGATGTTGGCGAAGGCTGTCGATGGAAGGAGAAAGAAAGAGCGTAAAAGAACGCAAACTGGTGGAAGGGACGGCCTCTATTTAAATAACAGCTCAGGTCACATACGACAGGGCCCGTAGGCTTCTCGATGCCTGTTGCAGGTAGTGTGGGTGGGTGTGTGTGGGTGTAGGTTGCAGAATTGCGAGGCCTGAACTCACGGCCGACGGGAAGACGCGACTGGACAGGGGCTCCTGCAACCACTTTACGCGGATTGGACACGAAGGCACCTGACTTTGACTCACGTGCAAGGGTAGGGAACGGTTTGCGTGCCTGCTAGCTCCGCCTAGCTCCAAATAGCTGCGACTAGCTCTTCACACTTCCTTGGACTCGGGTGCCATCCCAGTCTTCCGGCATTGCAGTGGGCAGCGTTACTCAAATCGGCCACCGAAGTGGAGGGTGGTAAGACAAGGAGTCAATCAAGGACGACGATGAAGGAGACGACGACCTTTTTCTCGGATGCCTGCACCATACCACTTGGCCTGGCAGCACCGGTGTAACAAGAGAAGAAATCAAACGAAACGGTGGCAATAATAAGCATCGCTTTTCTTTTCAAAAGAAAAGAAAAAAACGAAGATATAAAAAGAAGATGCCTTTCTCACGAAGCTGTGAACAGTATCAAAGTTGACAAGGTCGTTTCGACCTCCTTTTACGGCACAGTCACGGAAGAACTCTCTCTTAGCATTTAATTGCATTCCCTCGTCCCGATTCCTCGGTTCCCAACTCTGGCACCCCTGGCAAAACACAATTGACTGCAGGTGGGGTGCCACAAAAAACGAAATAAAGTCGTGCTGATCTCTCCCTGCGTCCGTTTGAGCGACCGACCGGAGTGGCCAAAAGCATTTAATGCGATTTTTCATTTTCATTCTTTTCTATTCAGTGACCCCGTGTAAAAGCAGCTTGCCTTCCTTTCTTCTGTCAGACGAGTCTGAAAAGAGATCGGATTTATTTTGCCGCTGAACTGGAGGTGTTGCGGTCTTCAAATCGACATGGAGTAAATGATCGAGGAAGAGCGGATCGGATCTTTCGTCAAAAAGAGACTTTGTTGGTTCTCGAATACCTGCACTACTAACTAGCCTTGGAAATGGGTTGGATTGAGTTGAGTAGCTGTATCTACTCAACTTAACCCGAGTAGTATTAGACCTACTAAACTCAACTAGCCAAGTACTTAAGTTAAGTACATACTACTCGAGTACTACTTGGAGGTCGGGCCGAGTATCAGGCAACCGGTTCAACTATTCGGACTCAGCACAACCCCCTATATACTATATTTGTAAATTCCGGAATATGGTAGGCAATAATACCTAGCTTAACCTACTATTATTACTATTTATAGTATACTATTCGAGTACTTGAGTACTACTCAGCTCAACTTAACCAAATCTACTACTCGTACTTAACTTAACTTAATTCGAGTGACTCTAAGTAGTACTTAAGTTATTAAGTAGTTCTTTCGAACGCTGTTACTATGCCCGGCAACCGGGCAACTATGGTAGAAAGTGAAAATCTACAAGTCGTACCTCCTTATTCAATTCAAATATATTAATCTAGGCAAGTACATGTACAACGCATTTCCTATCCATAAAACCATACCCAGTCCCTTCCTTCTATAACCAAACTATCTTTCACATAAAACTATAGCCTTCATGTCACTCCCTCGATCTCATAAGTATCATCAACAACCCTCCCTCACACCTTCAACGAAACCCAATCCTTCCAATCTCTACTCTCTTACTCTCTTACTCAAAATACCAAACCCCCTTCCACTTCATTCTCCATTCTCCATTCCCAACCAACCCCCCACAACCCTTACACTTACACTAACACTAAACCAAAACCCAAGCCCTCTACCACCATTCTCGAAACTTTTCTGCAAAGTCCATCTCCCATCTCTCATCTCCCAAATCCTTACAAACGAGTTCCTAAAGAATAATTTCTAATGATAAATAGTAGATATATAAAGCCTTGAAATCACACAGTAGGTACTCAAAGTAAACCCAGCCTTACCACCTACCTAAACTTCTCATACTATACTATACTATACTCTCTTTCTATACCACACCTCCCCAATAACCCTCTTTGGAAATTAATCGGATGCTTTTACCTCTTTCTTTCTTAGCTAATAGTTAGTAAGTCTTTCTACTACGCGTGTAGAAAGACGTACTGACTATTAGATTCCGAGATTTTAGAATTTAAGATATCAATAAATCTCACTCACAACCCCCCTTCCCCCCCTCACCCCAGCTTCCCCAACTTCCCCAGCCCCTTAACCCCCATCACCCTCAACCGAAACTTCTGCACCTTCCCACTAGCCGTCTTCGGAAAATCCTTGGACCAGAAAACATACTTGGGCACCAAATNACCCCCTCTCAGTCACAACAAAAACCCCAACCACCTCCCCATACCTCTCATCCGGCAGTCCCACAACCGAAACAGCACTCACCCCCGGCATCCCCAGGAGACAATTCTCAATCTCCAGGGGATGGATATTCTCGCCTCCACGGATGATCAGGTCTTTAATCCGACCTGTGATACTGACATAGCCCCCGGAGTCCATGATGGCCTCGTCGCCGGTGCGCATCCAGATCTGGCCGTTGGTGTCGGGCTGCAGGACTGACGCCGTTTGGATGGGGGAGCCGAAGTAGGAGGTCATGACGTTGTAGCCGGAGATGAGGAGTTCGCCTTTGGTGCCTATGGGGAGGAGGTCGTGGGTGGACGAGTTGGGGGGAGGGGAGGGGGAGGGAGTGATGATTTTGGCTGAGACGTGGGGGAGGAGGCGGCCGACGGTGTGTAATCTTTTCTCCAGAGGATCAGTAGGGAAAGTCATACATGACACTGGAGAAGTCTCCGTCATCCCATAGCAGATCGTGAGACCATCCAGATTCAATTCGTTCGTCAGTCGCGACATGAGGTGACTCGGTATACTACTCCCCGCCGCGATTCCCGTGCGCAGATACTGGAACCCCTCTCTGGAGATCTTGCCCGAGGAGAGGAGTTCGAGGCATGCTGTGAACATGGTAGGGACGCCGTACAGACCTGTGGCTTTCTCTTCTTGAACGGCTAAAAGCGTGGCGACGGGGTCGAAAGCTGGTGCGGGGAAGAGGATGGTAGAGCCGTGGGTTGCGGTTGCCATGTATCCCAAGATGGAACCGAAACAGTGGAATAATGGTGGTGGACAGCAGATTATGTCTTTGGGGGTTAGATCCATCCGACTGCCGATTTGAAAACCGTTGTTGAGAATGGAACGGTGAGTTAGCGAGGCGGCTTTGGGGGCGGAGGTGGTACCGGATGTGAATTGGATGTTGATTATATCGTCTGGGGAAAGTGGCGAGTCGGGGGTTACTTTTATGCTCGAGGTGCTTTTGTCGAAAAGTGACAGAAATGGAATAGTTGCTCTCAGAGTTGAGGTCTCAATTCTTCCATCTGAGTTGTCTACTAGAAACAAATTCTTCAGCGATGGAACTGTGGGAGATCGCAAGTTTCCTCCAGATGTAAGGTCTGGCACTAATTCCTTCAAAAGTGACAGATTCTCTCTTGAAGGTTTGAATGGAAGATTGGTTTCTGTTCCAATAATCAAGTGAGCGGCGTCAAGATGTGTAAGTGCCGCAATAACTTGAGGCGCATTGAAAGAAGGATTTAAGGGGACCTACATTAAAGTTAGCTAGCCGATTCATATAAACCATATAGTCATCTGTAAGATCTCCAAACCCCCAGGAAGCCACTCAAAAGAAACTCGCTAAAACAACAGCACTTACCAAAATCCCCCCCAACTTCCAAATAGCATAACTAGCAACCGCAAACTCCCACCCATTACCCAAACTAACCGCAACTCTATCCCCCTTCCTCACACCTCTATCCTGCAATCCCATCGCCATGGAATTGCTCAGGTGATGTAGATCCCCATAAGTGATCCTACTCAAATCGGGTGCAATCTGACTAGCTTCATTTCTCGCTGTCTGTTTTTTAAAAGCTTCATTCTCGCTTCCAACCTGAACCGGATGGGAAGCACTAGCTCTCGAAATAACAGCCAACCCATCCCAATTCTCCTCTGAAACACCCTCAAAATGCTGCGGTATCGTCTGTGTAAGAAGCGGTGGCTTTCCCCTTACAGTATCAGCAGTATTCCCTATTCCTTTCCCATCATTTTGAAACCATCCAGAGTCAGGAAAAAACATACCTCATTCGGACCTTTACAATAAGACTGCGTAAGCAACCCTCTCCTCCAAATTCCCCTTAGCTCACATAAACGCACCCTCGAACTTAACCCCGACTCCCGATTCCCGCTCGAGAGTTTGAAAATCGAAGGCCTTCGAGGATGTAAAGTCGTGGTTGAGGTGGAGATAGTTCGCAAACCCATCCTCGATTTGATACCCATCCCCCGCAACGGGAAAGAAGTACGAGTATTCGCTCTCCTCATCCCTCTCATCCTAAAGAAATAACCCACAACACCAACGAAAGGAAGCATAAAGATCTCTCTCTCTCTCTCCCTCTTCAAAAACACCCTCCCAAAAGACCCCTCAACAACCCCCAAAAAACCATTCAAAGCCTCCCACCCGGTACCAACCAGGATTCACAAACCCACCCCACGTACGTACTACGTCAAGCCTACTCGTAATGACCCCGCAACGTCCACCGTCCTCAGTGTATCAGACGAACTAATCGGCAGGAACTGACTCAAGACCACTTATCACACCCTCTTACCGTATCTCGAAGAAGCATACCTAGTCTGGAGTTCGAGGACAATCATGGAAAACTCTCAGCTCGAAGACCGTCGTACTAATTCAGTACTCGACTACTGGTACTACCCTTGAGTGGTTGTACAGAAATACCACCGCCAAGCCCGTCCCCTTCCCTGTCCCTACAGACGACCGTTGTCGGCCCGCTTACAGCCCGGTACTGATGGCAATAGTTGAATTCAATTCACTTGTACGGAGGTACGGTCCTCTGATAGGTACTGTAGCAAATCCATACAAGCTCACATAGCAAGAGTTCCAAATCCATCCCCAATTTACCTACGACCACTATACCCAGCCCTTGACCTACCTCCCAAATCCCGGTTAAAACAAACGGTAAAATACTTACCTTCACAAGGTCTTCAGATGAGATAGGATAAATTTAAAGCCGGTGGACACCGACCCAAAATAGGATAAAAAAAACAAGATGACGTAGTCGAGAATCACGAATAGGTAGACACACTATTTCATTCCATCTACCAGCTCGAGCATCTAAATCGCCCAGCTTTCCATTGAAATCCTCGCTTCGACCAATCCCCAAAGACACGGGACATCTATTACACCCCATCAACCCCCTTCCGAAAACTAACACACAAGACTTCAGCTCTTGAAAAACTCGTGTCCCCATATCTGCTCACCCCCTGTTCTTCCTCCACGCCCTCAATTCCCTCCGTCCCATTGATCCAAGAAAACAAAAACCAGGACTTTTCGATTCCCAAGTGTAAACGACCTTTTCCTATTTCCAACAGTCCCAGTCCTCTTATGAATCGACAAAGTATTACACTCCGGATCCAGAAAATGGCGTGCTCACAAACAAACAAGCCCCTTCCCACTCAAAAACTCCTCAATGAAACCTCCCTAGACTCTAGATTCCATGCGCAAGAAAAGGACAAAAGGAAAATAGAACCGAGGAAAAAACTCCGCTCTGTGCTCGCTCGCTCGCTGATAAGACCGCGTGTTGCTACTGGGTGACCGAAATTGGATGCCATGTCGCTAATGCAATCAAATTAAATGGGTACGATGAAAAAGGCGTCGATGATGTAGACGACGCATGTGGGCGAGTCGGATAATATACAATGAGATGGTCCTAGAGAGGACGTGGGGTTCGTGAGGGTAGCAATCCCTCTATTCGATGATGATTCCGATGTGCCTGAGATGTTCTGGTTTCCAGGTTCCTGCGGGGATTATTAGATGGAATTTTGGAGAAATAGAAGATGAATACATACCCTCAAATTCGTGCTTCACGAAAGCTCCAGGATCATCGTACTCTCCAGCGCCCATTTGTTGCACACCCGGACTGAAAGCTGTAATGGGTAAAACAACCACGTCTCCAACCTTTCTCGAAGTCTTCATTCCTGTAAATTCTCTCCAAGTGATGTTGCTCTTTGAACCAGACAAGTCAAAGTATCGCTCGTCGTTCAAGAAATCGAAAATAATATCCGTCCATACGGCAGGTCCAGTAAATTCAATGACATTCTTGTCCCCATTCTTGTCTTCGAAAACCTTCAACGATCCATCCTTTGCCCTTTTCAATGTCTGTTCCGTGATGTTGGCCACGATTTCTCTTAGGACTGGATGTCCTGGTTTGGACTGAATGGTCCATTGACAGAATTGGATTCTACGAGAATACCACTCTGCCCAATCTTCGCGGTCTGGGTCCGCCTCAATGCCGATAACCAAACCAATTTTATTTCTAGGAACATTGTCTGGGAGCCATTCGGAAGCGGATTTGAGAGCGTGAGTATCGATATCGGAATAAATGCCACCTCTGGCCAGCAGAATCAGGTAGCGAAAGAAATCAGCTTTCAACACCGGAACTGGAAGGACGTTATAAGCCTCGAGCACTTCTGGCACGGATGCATACAGGTGGCGTATCAGATGAACTGCGACCTGATCCGTGATGACTTCGTGAATGAAGCCCGGATGCTTCTCTGACCAGCTTGCCTCTGCTGGACGAAAGTTCTCCCCAAACTCTCCTGACGCTGGTGTGTATTTCCAAGTCTGCCAAATATATGCTGGGAACTTGGCCTCGACATCATACTGGAATTGGTATGCCAACTTCTCCCGTAATGAGGCTTTGGCGAAATCTACCAATGGCTTCTGGGATGTCTTCCCCTGTGTGGCAGCCATCTTGCCTGAGTCGCTCGAGGCAGGCGTTGTTGAACCTGCCTTTGCTGATTTGTCCCCTTTTACGGACTTGTGCGCAGCATCGCTGGATGCCGAGTGTTCTCGGTATGGATGTGGGGAGGGATGCGATCGAGTGACGAGGTAGATCATGGTCAAGAAGACGGCCGCAGCTATCAGAGCTCTCTTGAATGTGAGCATGGTGGGCACTGAGACGTGGTCAGATGCAGATGGCGAGGCTTCAATGTCGACACTTGACCGTTGTCAAGGTCGTCTTCGTTGGGCGAGACGGCAGAAGATGGTCGAGTTGCAGTTAGGGGAGAAGGTGTATTTCGTATTATTGTGCTGACTGTACAGGCTAGAGGAGGCCAGAGCCCTAGAATTAGAAGCCAAGACGGGCGCCTTGACCGGTGCCAAGAAGGGATGTGCACTTCCAGTCTTTCCAATTATTACTGGAAGCCGTCGTTTCAACTTCCAAGCCGCCGGGAACGTAAAAGGCAAAAAGATAGGAACCGATGACGACAGTCAAGATTCCGGGTACGAGTATACTGTATGCGGTGGTTGGCAGCCTTTGCAATCACCACTGCGATGCGACTTGTTGGTGCAGAGGCGATGATGAATGGCAAAACTCCTACACGATCTTTCCTTTTTACTCCGTGACGTTTCACCAGACACTCGCAAAGGTCGCTCTTACTGCAGCCGTCAGAGAAGGATCGACTCCATTCTTTAGGGGACCCCAAGCTAAAAAGGGCAGGAGTCAGGACAGGCCATCGAGCCCCGGCTGAGGTACCCGTAACCCTAAAAATAGGATGGTCCGCTTTCGTATGAAGACTCCTGACTGTACGAGTACCGGTACTCCACCACTGAAGAAAACATGCAAAAATATCTTCTCTGCACTGGAATCCGTCCTCAATTGCTCTCCTGCCACCGACGGATTCAGGCATGTGAAGGAAGAAAGCCTATAGATGGCCACGTCATGAGCAGAAAGGCTCTCAGACTGGGCAGACACTCCTCGCAGCTCCCCGCGCATCGGGAACAGCTTTTATTCTTTTGACACGCATGGAAGTCCCAGTAGTGATGAGGTTCCCACAAGCTTTCTACCAGTCGCTGAAATCTTCACGACTCTCACATCTTTGAAACTCCGTACGTGCAATGGTTCTCTTACGTAAGCATTCCTGACCTGTGGGATGGGTTTTTGTTTTTCGGCGAGTAATCTTCCTCTGCTCGTAACGAAATACGAGGACCAAGTACTCGACTCAATTCACGAGTAGAGAGTAAATACCTCTCCACTACAAGAAATCCCGCTTATCCTCCTTCTAAAAGAGCTTCTTTGAGTTCTTGGTATCATTGGCAAATCCGAATACATTTCTCGAACAGCTAGCAACTTAAATGTGGCAAGCTTGACGTAAGAATGATTTAAGTAATACCCTTAATATCGGAATCCTCCATAAGCTTATTCTTCCAACCAGTTTAATATATATTACGGAGGTACCTCCAACAAACACTCTATATAATACAACCCTGTAACAAAGTCCCAGAACACATCCACATCTTCTGGACGACTTGAAAAGCTGGGCATATCAAAATGCTTGGGTTCGTCTAATCTCGTCTTCCTTTCTTGGAAAGAAACGCTACCTCGGTTAGGAGAGTCAACCCCTACTTCACAAGAGAAAGCTTGCTTTAAGAATGCGAGAAACCTGGATAATAGGAAACGCTCTCTAGAGCCGGCGGTACGCACATACTTCGTATGTGTACTCTACTGTAAGTAGCAAAGTGGAAACGAATGTCCTGTGGATGATCAACTTTGTTTGGTGGTAGTATCGAGGTAACCTTGGACTCTGTCAAAGTAGATAAGCATAACCCCTAATAAACCTACACAAATCCCCCATCCCGATCCCCAAAATACATTTCTATCCTCAAAAGAAATTCCTCAGTTCAAAAACAGTAATCGTTCCATACACAACAAATCAGTCCCCAATAAACCATTAAATCCAAAGCCATCCAAATCCAACACAACACATTTCCTGCCTCAGGTAACTAAATTAAGGCACAATACACGTGACATTGGACATCAACAATTCCAATTCATCCAATGAATATATATCTCTCCAACCATCAACATTTATACCTCCTCCAAAAATCCCCAAAATGACCGACGCAGCACGCTGGAAAGCAACAGTCTACATCGGCGGTCTCTCCCCCTTAGTCAACACCGACAACCTCCAAGCCGCATTCCTACCTTTCGGTGAGATTACAGATGTTTCGATCCCGTGAGTCCCCCCGCCCCCCCCCAACATCAAAATCCAACCAAAACCAAAAATCAATAAAAGATAGATAAACTAATTTGGAGGTAGTAAAAACGACACCCCCAACGCCCAAGACCCCCACCGAGGCTTCGGCTACGTCGAATTCTCCAACGCAGAGGACGTCAAAGACGCAATCGATAACATGGATCAATCCGAGTTATTCGGCAAGGTGATTAAAGTCTCTGCTGCGAAGCCGCCGAAGAATGTGAATGAGGGGTTGGGAAGCAAGACGGCTTTGTGGGAACAGGTATGTTTATCTTTAAGTTTTATTTTCTTCTCTTCGTATTTTGAAGGGAAGATGTCTTGTTTTATGTTTGAAGTGGAAGGGCATTTGTTGATGTTCTATGGTAGGAGAGCTGGCTGGCGGAAAATGCTGTGAGTGAGGAGGATAAGTTGGTCACGGAGAGGGCGAGGGCGGGTGTGGAGGAGAGACCGGAGGATCCTATGCAGGGACTTGAGGGGTTGGATGTTGCTGGTCCACGGCCGGAGTAGAGAGGCTATTACTGTATCGTCTTTTGAAAGGGATTGTAGGTGCATGGTATTGGCGTTCTGAGAGCTTGGAAGGAGTACAAAATAGGAGTTTTTATGAGGACGTAATAGCACGTATTGAGAAAAAAGAAAAGGCAATGTCAAATCCATCTGGTCGACGTCTTCGTATTGATAAAGCATACCAGTATCAGTACTACTTTGGTTTGTACACTCCCACCACCGGTATCCATCCATCCCTTCCACTCTCAATGCTCTCTCTGGTCAACCTTTCCCTTACGGTATCGTGTTCCCAGTTTGAAACATCCCTATCTCCCTACCCTGATCATCCCCCNCCCGCAAAGCAAGATCTAGTCCTTTCTGTTTTGACGGGTAAGACGCATCTGCTTATCGACCACCAACTTCCGGCCCAGAGAATAAACGGCAAATCCCACTGCAACACCCACGACCACACCTATATCCCAATTAGCACCGCCGTCTCCTCCGGAAAACCTTGGCTGGATTCACATACCGAGGGGAATCAACTCGGGGGGGATTTGCTTAAGTCTTCGTAGTCGCTGGGAGATGGTGTGTGCTATGAAGCAAGCTGTATTAGCACAGAAACCATTTATCGCGCATGTTCCAATGTTATATTGGAGAATCGGCCGTGGGATACGTACCGGTGTGCTCCTCCTTCTGTGAAATTCACCACTTTGGTCAGCGAGCACGAAAATCGGGCGTCGGGAGCCCATTGAGAGGACTTACGGGCACGGGTCTCAACATCCTCTTCGTGGGCTGGAACATTCTGAGAGCGGCGGTTCGCTGCATGGTGGGCTGGCGGTTTCTGGCCGTGTTCAATGGTGGTTCTTCGTGGTCGTAATGAGGGTCCTAAACATACTTTGGCGACTAAATGATTTCCAAGGTCCACGGAACTGCCCGGGTTAACGATTCGCCGGGTCACGTGAGATAACTTGGCGTTGAGAACTTCTCGCTTTGCTGGAGTAGAAATTGCAGCTGTTCACTGATTTCCGTACCTAGTTCCATTTCCATTTTAATTTCCATTTCCATTCCTGACTTCTCTTTCTTTTGTCAATTAGTATACAAAGTGTATATAACTATAAGAGTCTTGATATCAGAAGTCTAGCTCCACATCAACTAACGAGCTGCTTCAAGTCGCTTTTAGCCGCGACCCATTTCTGGTGCTGTGGAAGTTTCCGCTGCCAACTCCAGCACTGCAGGGGCAATTGCAATCAGGCTAAATGTATAAAGGCAAAGGCATTACTTCATAAGGCCTGTAACGAACCGATTGGATGATTCGCATCTGAACAGACGCGTCGACGCAGCTGTGCAGATATGACCCGTCGTTTGTATTTATCCGGAACGACCCCTCGATGTAAAAGTGCTTTTGATAGCACCAACGACGATATCGTAGGTGAAAGTCCACGTTAGGATTGAAACGAGAGGGTCAAGAAGGATCCAATTTTCGGGGTAAGAGGCACCGGGAAAAGTCGAGCATGGCAGTACGCGATCCATGGATGGCCGGCCATTGGTGTGGAAAAGAGAGTTGGCGGGGCACCTGCACCAGAATGTACCTGGTATTCGCAATCACCAAAACCCGGAAAGAAACACATCAGATTGTCACGAGTGTGGCAATCGCAGTTGGTCGCTCTTGCCGTTTGGTAAACTTTAGAAGGTTGCATGAGCATATATACCAAGGTCTCCCTCTTCGCCTCCCTGAAAATGGTCCTGTGCATGTTACCCAAAGTTTCACTTACACCACTCACAACTTCATCAACCATCCAGGTAGCATCGCTCATGAAATCTACCCAACTTCGCGCATTCATACGGTATGCCCAAATTGCCCCTCTCCAACCCCACCATTCACCCCACCATCTGCTGGCACAAAGACTCACTCTGAGGGGTATATTAGTCCATCGTCATTCCTTCGACTAGCATCTGCTGTGCCCCGCTCCCCTCCAGCCATTACCCCGCCACGAGCTTCAATCCCAACTCCAACACCAAAGAGAAACCACTTTCAATCCAGATTTTTCGCATCCACAGCAATTATGGCGTCTTCCACTCCTCAACTCAAGCTTAATAGCGGTTATGACATGCCACAAGTTGGTTTTGGTCTATGGAAGGTTGATAATGCGACTTGTGCCGATACTGTTTACAATGCCATTAAGGTTGGATACCGTTTGTTTGATGGAGCCTGCGGTACGTCCAACACATAAATACAATGGGATTCAAACTAATTTCAAGTTTGCAGATTACGGCAACGAAAAGGAGGTCGGAGAAGGTATTGCTCGAGCAATCAAGGATGGACTTGTTAAGCGCGAGGATCTCTTCCTTGTCAGCAAACTTTGGAACTCCTTTCACGATGCCGATCAAGTAGAGAAGATCGCCCGAAAACAACTTGCGGACTTGGGTATCGATTACTTTGATCTCTACCTCATTCACTTCCCAGTTGCTCTCAAATACGTTGCTCCTGAAGTTAGATATCCACCCGGATGGAACTACGAGGGTGACAAGGTTGTGCTCAGCAATGCCACCATCCAGGAGACATGGCAAGCCATGGAGAGCTTGGTTGAGAAGAAACTTGCCAGGTCCATTGGTATCTCGAACTTCCAAGGTGCTTTGATTTTGGACTTGCTGCGATATGCCAAGATTCGACCTGCTACTCTCCAAATTGAGCACCACCCATATCTCGTTCAACCAACACTCCTCAAACTCGCCGAGGCCGAGGGTATCAAGGTCACTGCATACTCCTCGTTCGGTCCTCAATCCTTCATTGAGCTTGGCTGGGACAAGGCGAAGGATACGCCAGTTCTCTTTGAGCATTCCGTCATTACCTCTTTGGCTGAGAAATACAAGAAGACTCCTGCCCAGATTCTTCTCCGATGGGCCACGCAACGTGGATTGGCTGTCATTCCTAAGAGTAACAATGAGAAGCGTCTGCAACAGAACTTGGAGGTTACGGAATTCGACATGGAGAAATCTGAATTGGAATCTATTAGTGCTTTGGACCGCCATCTCAGATTCAATAACCCAACTGATGTGAGTTAAGTTTTTGATTCATCTAGTGCTGATGCTAATAACGTGTATAGTACCTCGGAACATTGCACATTTTTGCATAGAGTACAGGACATATGGTTGAGATGCGGAATAGGCAATGCTTTATGACCTGGTATTCTTAGCCAGTAATTCTAGACTTGACAGCTGAGAAGTCAGATGAGTTGAGGAAATGATATCCACGTTGCACTTCAATTGATTCATATGTATATTTTTCGACATGTGCCTGAAGTATCTCTCTAGCTGTGACTAATCTAGACAGAGCCTGTGATCTTTCGCGACCTTCCAAACTCCCCTTGCCAGTGCGCCATACCCCGTGCTTCTCATAACAATCAATCCTCATTTCCAACGTCCTCCCGTTCCTTCCTATGATACTCTTACAAACGCTGTGACTCTGTTAGCATCCCTCTTCCACCACCTCTACTACAGACATATTTAAGGGAAAGACTTACTAGCATCAATCTGCATGACCTGAGGTAAAGTCAACCGGACCTTATTCCGATACAACGTCGGATTCCTCAACTGCAGCGGATTCCCCTCGAAATACACGGTATTCAACTTCTTCTTCTCCCGCAGCTCGCTCTCCACTTCGGCGAAGTCGGCGATTTGGTTATAGCTTGCCCATACCTCTTCTAGTTCCTCGAGTTGTTTGAGGCCGACCAGGCTGCTGATTTGGTTGTTGCTGATGTCTAGGACGCGGAGTCCTGGGACGGATTCTAGCCCCGTGAGGGTGTTGAGGGCGTTGTGTGAAATATAAAGTTCTTCTAGTGAGGGTGGGAGGTTGGAGATCTCCCGGATGCGGTTACTTTGTATCGAGAGGATTTTGAGGTTCCGTAGGGGAGAGAGATTGGTGATTTCGGTGATTTTGTTCTTGCCGAGCCAGAGCTCTTCGAGGCCCGTCAGGGTGTCGAGGTTCTCGATTGTGCGGATTCGATTTGCGGCCAGCTCGAGATTGCGGAGCTGGGAGAGCCCGTCGAGATTCTCGATTTTGGTGATCTTGTTTTGGACGAAGTAGAGGTCCGTTAGGGAGGTGAGGTGCGAGATCTTTTTTATGTGCTTGATTTTATTGAAGGAGAAGTCGAGGCTGGTGAGCTTGGTGAGGTCTTCGAGACCCCGGATGTGGGCTATTAGGTTGTCGTAGAGGTCGAGTTCTACGAGTGTGCTGGCTAGACAGGAGAGCCCCTCTATCTCGGTGATGGTGTTTTGGCGGAGGCAGAGTCGGGTTACGGCGTTGAAGCGGGAGAGCCGTAGGGAGGGGATGGAGGATACGCGCGAGTGGACACAGTCTATTTCTTCTGTGTCAAGGGGGTAGTCGTCGAGGAGATCTGAGGTGGGACATTATCAGTACCTGGATTTGGTGTTGTTTGGTTGGGTATGGGCATGGAAATGACCCCGCGCGATGCGATATGAGGGAACCAAAACTAACCCTCATCTGCTTCTATTTTCTCTCCTTCGAGCACTTGTTCCTCGTCTGAATACTCCGGGTTGGATATGGCCTCTGGGTTCACCAGCTCGGCTTTCTTCTCTAGTCGTAACTTGCCATCCCAGCCACTGCTACTTCGGGGCGTGGTACTGCCTTGGGGAGAGTCTGCCTCATGGCCTTTCGCATCGTCGCCGTTGATGGAGATGTGTGATGGCGCGGTCGTTTCTTTCTCCGAGGAAGGCATTGCGAGATATTCGTGCGCTGGGGTCAAGAGTTAAGTTGTTGAAATTATTTCGTCATAAGGTCATGCTGGTACTGGTTTTTGTTTGTAAGGGGAGGGAGGGTCTGCGGGGGCAAAAGTTTCCAGGGGCCCGATTGCGATGACAGAGCGGGCCAGCAGCGATGAATGGTTTCCTGGGGTGCAGTCCGTAGACTTTCCTTCCCTTTGATTCACGCCAATCGAGGGACTTTCAACAACTCAACGTGCGCCGTTATGCGATGGCATAAACCGACGTGGGACGTTGTGGGAGGGACAACACGATGCTTAATATTTCCATTCCACCACGGGCTAAATTTGGAGGTGTTCTTCAACAACGATGCATGTCCCGGTCAACTCTCCCTTTCACATCCCCATTTATAGGACCCTCGAAGGCGATCCCGTGGAGGCAATTGATGCGTCGTGAATCATATTTATATGCATATGCCAATCGCCGTAGGATTCACACGGCTCTAGTACCGCCTCTTGTGTTTGGAGCATTAGTGGTCACGTTATGGACATGGAAATGTCTCATGATGATTCTTTTCCAGAATAAGATCATTTATATGCCCGGGTTACCACCAAATGCCAGACGAGAACAGATTGCGGATTAAAAAAATCAGAGTGGAGGGATCGTTTGGCGTGAGGAGAGGATCAAGTCTCTGGATGGCACTCGCATTAGTTTGTGTATTGCCAGTGTGGAACACGGGAGTAACACTTTAATGAAGTCCCTTTTGAAGACGGTTTATATTTTGTATTTTCAAGGTTGCTCTCTCTACCTTATTCCTCATTCTTGTATTCTGGTTAGGAGCATAAGCTAAGTGGCTACAGGAAATGCTTCCTCCCTACCACCCCGTCTCCCATTCCTCTCACCCATCCTCCGCATCCTCAAACAGCGAGCTGTTACCTCCAACCTTCCAGTCAAATACGTCCTAGTCTGCTGCAGCTACCGCGGCTACTGGACCTCCAGTGGTCGTCCCTCAGAACAAGGCATCGCCCACGACGCCCTAGCCTCTCTACAATGGATAGCAACCCAAGCAACTTCCTCACCCACCGTCCCCACCCCCCTCATAATCTGGGGCCAAAGCATCGGCGCAGGCGTAGCCTCAACCCTCTCTTCCTCCTTTCCCCCTTCCCTCTCCTTTCCCCCTTCCCTCTCCAAATCCCTCCCTCTCAAGACTCTCATTCTCGAAACCCCGTTCCTTAGTATCCATGCTATGTTACAGACTCTGTACCCGCAGAAATGGCTTCCGTACCGGTATCTCTGGCCCTTTCTACGGAATCATCTTGATTCTGAGAAGGCGCTGGGGGTCATGAGTGAGAGGTGGGGAGAGAGAGGGGAGATGACTCCGAAGGTCTGGATTTTGCAGGCGGGGAGGGATGAGCTTGTTCCTGCTGGGCATGCGGAGAGGTTGGAGGGGAGGTGTAGGGAGGTGGGTGTTGGGGGGGCTTTGCATACGGAGGTTTTGGTTAGGGCGGAGGGGGTGAGGGCTGTTGTTGAGGCTGTTGAGGAGGTTGCGAGGGAGGGGTGGGAGGTGGAAGAAGTATGATGGAGTTACAGGNTTTTGGTTAGGGCGGAGGGGGTGAGGGCTGTTGTTGAGGCTGTTGAGGAGGTTGCGAGGGAGGGGTGGGAGGTGGAAGAAGTATGATGGAGTTACAGGAGATGATTTTGATATACGGATGGTGGGATGTGATTAAGAATGTAGTGCTTTCATACTTTGAGTTTTTAGAAGTTAGAAGTGTGGTCTGGATTTTGCTATGGCTTAAGTACCACCAGGCGATTTATTCTAGCTTCTATAACTATCCGTGACCACGAATTTCTCTTTGTGTAGCATGTGTAGTCTGTGTACTCTGTAAATCTTCCAAGCACGATCATGTTGTGACCTCATGTTCCTTAGAGTCTCGCTTAATTACTGAGTACAGGCAAGCCCTGAAGACTTTCCGGACACCAAGTATCGAGTATCGCCCAACGCTACAACTTCTGTTGATGAGCCTGATTCTTGTGAGACTAACGCTGTGTATTAATCTACATCGTCGTCTTCAAAGTCTCGAAGTGTATAAACCAATGAATGTACCCGAACAATCCCTCTCGCTTAACTCCCGCCTTCCCATCAGCAGCCAGAACTCGTAATTGACACGGGTACAAACCGCTACATCTAGACAACTGTCCTGTGTAAGCTCAAGAATCAATCTTGGTAAACTCAAGATGTCAAGATTCTTGGTTATTAGGAGGGCGGGATATTATCGAGTAAAAGTGTGGTAATACAATACGTAGTACTTGCGGGAAGGAATATGTTTTGAGGATATACACCGTAGTTATAGGTTGGTTTATGTCCTGATTCTCCTGTTCAGAAGAAATACAGCACAATCTCAGTAAGGCCGTGGGGAAATCGGATGATGAGTGATTAAGGCTGCCTCAAATGGCAGATGGAACGTTTTGTTTATTACTTGATTGATTAACCGAGAGCGTGGGGGGGGGGCGACGAGAGAGATAGTGGAAACATGGAATAAGTTCGGATTTAATTGGAGTAGCACATCTTTAGCCAAGTTGAGGTTGAGGTCTGTGTTTTCTGTTGTATTAATCATTACTCTACGTACTCAAGTGTAATGATTGCCTGGCTTCCAGAGAATTCTTTGAAGAAATTCGGTAGGAGTATATGCTTGCTTCTTCTCCCCCACTACTCGAATCCATGACGAAGGTTTCGAAACTTTTCTCCCACTATACCTCGTCACACACTGTCTTTCTCTGCCAGATCCTATCAAATCTTGTGCCCTTCGTTGATCTGAGTAATCCAAGGAGAATTAACCATACAACTGAGATCTCCACATCTTCATTTTGTATGGAAAACCCACTCCCGGGTGGGGTCGTGACGAAGCCAGTCATCGAAGTCATATTTTCCGTGACTTTATCCTTCCCTCTTGTAAGAGCATTATACTCCTCACCCATAACAATCTTTTCCAGTCTCTCCTCTCTAGATCTGAGATCCGTTTCGTAGGTTTCTCTGTCCTCGAAGACCACGTACTTGCTCCACTCGAGTACCCAGAAATCCTTCAGTCCTTTCAGCACCGTCAATATCTGCATGGTTTTCCTGAGAACTCTCTGTTGGTTCCTACGATCATCTTCGGGGCTACTAAAATAACTGAAGGAAAGAGTCAACGCAGAGAGATTGGCTGATCCTTTGAGTAACTCAATCGCTCTAAGCCATGAGAGATAGCTCCTGGCGGCTTCTCCAAAACAGGGGTACTCGGGGTGTGCGATGACAATCTCCAATCTCCGCAACCTGTTGATGTTGGACCGTCCAATGGAATTCAGGAATAACTCTACCTCTTGCGTGTTGTCAAGAGGTTACCCGTCTCCTGTCCTCCAAGCCGCGTACCCCTATCCTTGGCATAACCACAAAACTGTTTTTCGAAAAGAAGATCGTGGACGCCTCAGCTTTCATCTGTTTGAAAACCGGGAAGAGCGAGCGTATGATGAGGTGATTATCGCAGGTTCCAGCCAGGCGTTGAGTTGAAGTGGCGGTATGGCTACTCCTGCATGCTAGTACTCTGCAGGATGTAATCCTTTGAGGCATGAAGTAGCCCCAGCGTTGATGCCAAAATACCTCTTCGTTGTCGGCTACAAGTCCGGTATATTCTAGTATGCGTAAACGCACCTCGATGCTCAGATCGTTCCAACGATGGAATGTTGATGTTGGAGAACGACCAGTGATTCGATCATAGACTGCATCTGCGAAGGACTGGAGACCCTTATTGTGGTACTTGGCAAGACGAATTGCAAAGCTATCGAGGATTGGTAGGTCATAGAGTGGTGTTACTACCGCATTAGCCGTGGCAGCGTCAGCGCAATCGCACATAAGTTCGAGTTCGAGGGTTGGTTGTGCGTGTTTGGCAAGTCTGCTTGCAACCTCTGCCCAGACCTGTATGATTTTTGCATCCTCTGGTTTCGCAATATTCAAAGGCTCCATGTGCTCATAATGATATGGCTCACAGTAATCGAGACGAAGGCGATCCTCCTGCTCCTGCTGCTCCTCCTGCTCTTCCAAGGACCCCGTAGGTTTCCGAGGCCCCAACCCTTTCGCGAACCTCTCAGGACAGCGACAGGCCCTAATATCAACAACGAGATATGTTACAGCCGAGAGAGCGCGATCAGAGAGCCGAGACAATGCTCAAAGTCCTCCATTGCCACTTCCTTGTACCTTAATCCAGTTGGAAGAGTAGAACTCGTCTATGACCTCTTCAGAGATCGCGCGGGACACCAGCAACAAGCTCGACGCCAGCTCATATCTCCAGAAGGGGGTCGGTCCAGGGGCGGGATTGAGATGTATTATACTATTGCTGTCTGTCGTATGGTTGCCAAAGCTTTGAAGGCCCGCCTCGTAGTATATTTGCATCCGAACCTTGTATGGGAGGCTGAGAAAGTTGACTGGCTTAGGCGAGATGCCCAGAGGTTGATGGTCTCTTTCATCAGCTTGATGAACGATGTAGGAGGGCTGCGAGTCCATCTTTGTCTGTGTGTGGGCGATCGGTTTGCGGATGAGAAGAGAGAAGATGGTATTGCGCAAAAATATCAGTGTGGTGTTGTGTGCCGAGATCAGTGTTGACTTAAACCGACGCGTCTTCTCGCTTAAATATGTCGGAACAGGAAGCTCCAGACAACAAGCGCTCTTTGATTCACTCTTTGTTTTTCCTAGAGTTCTAAGCATAGTATAAAGGTTCAATTTTGAGTTTTATAGTAAATGGTTTTATACGTGATAACCCCCACTACGAGTAAATGTAGGCATTTTATATATACTTAATAACTTAATAAAAGGATATTTAAAGGTTCTTCACAACCTTTTTCGTATATTGAAAATTTTGTTCTAAAACGCTCAATCTCTCTTACTCTCGTTTGACAAGCTAAAATTCCCTCCATGGAGACTCCTCCAGGGAAACCTCCGATTTCGCCCACGCCCGTTGGAAGGGGCCTGAAAAAGGGGGGAGTACGCCCGATGCCCCCACTACCCAATATACAGCAGCACTTCGTTTCTGGAACCACCAAAGCTCTAGAACGTGGTGCTATAGGCCAAATCTTCTTTGGAGGTACCGCGGAAGCCGTTGACGACCACCTAAACACTGCTCTTGATAGGGCTCCCCCGGAACTCTTGCCCTACCTCAGGGCCTTTTGCACTCAGGTGGCCGACCTTAGCTTAGCTTTCCACCGAACATACACCTCAGGGACCCCGCCTCCACTACCGTCCGCTCTTGGAGCCTCCCAAAGGGGCAGAGATGGCCCTATGTCTCCTACGATCTCAACCCCCT